CAATTTCTCCTTTCACTTCTAATGTTATTTTTCGTTTATTTCATTCTATCATTTTCTCTTTCTGTTTTTCTTATGTCATTATTTGTTTTTCCATCTTTCATCTTCTCTTCTATCTTTCCATTATCTATTCTTTGTCATTTTCTCTTTTCTGTCTTTCCTTGTTATTCTGTTTTTTCCTTCTAGTCTCATGTTATTCTTTGTTTTTATTATTTTTCGTTTCTTCCTTCTATCACCTTCTCTTATGTAATTGTGTGTTTTTATAATTCTATCACTTTCTCTTTCTGTCTTTCCTTTCTGATTTACGCGGCGATATAGTAAGATGACGTCATTTTGACGACGGGGTTCGAGTTTTCTGACGAACCTCAAATCGTAGATGAACGCGTTCTCAAATTTAGCCTGACTAGACAACGTGAGACCCGACGCATGCGCAAATCGCCGAACTGAGGTCATAATGACGTTGCACCCTGATTGTGGCTATACCGTTATCAATATTAGTTACTCTTCAAAATGAAATAAATTCAAGGTCACACAGGTTTACCTCTTAATCAAATCTACCAAGTTGGGTACACTATTTTTAAATGCACTGTAATACACATAATTATAACATTAATATAACATTAATGAGTGTCACATGACATCTTTTCAGCCAATATCATACTCATGTCGTATTTGTTATCGCATCACAAACAGGCGTGTCTCAGATGAGATAACATTTTGCTAAAATGATTCTCAAAATATCTATTTAAGAGAGATTTTAAGGGTTTTTAATCTTCTATGAGAGATCAAATCTCCAAATCTAAGATTTTATAAGAGATCAAATAAATATCAGAATAACACACCTTGTCCACTACTAAAGTATCTAAACAAAAGGAATGTACATCTATTTTAGGCTACAATTTTAATAACAAAAAAGCAAATCAAGGCAACTGCACCAGATTTAGTGTTTCTTGTCCAAAACACACAGAGCTCTTGAACCACATAATTATTTGGTACAATTTTGTTTAAACAGTACCCTACAATAAAGAAAATTGACTATTGCACTACATGACAAGACAGTAAACATCTAAATCAAGGATATTAGACAAACATTCTTGCATTTCTACTGAACACAGAGTAGACTCACCTAGAAGGGGTCACTTTCTTTTAGAAATTAACTAGGACAGAGATGCATGTAAAAAAAGGCTGCTCTCCATCTAACCATTCTGTAATATTCACTAAAAAAAAAATGCCATTTTCTATTTTTTTACCTTAGGGGTAAATTCATTGAAAATTACAGCATAATCACCTTTTCTTCCTACTAAAAAGAAAACTGATTACATATTGTTTCAGACATGACAAAGAGACCACTCTTTAGCTATACATTATCATAACTGTAGACATTTTATTTTAATTTTTGGTCTCCTAAAAGGAATGTAATCATAATGAGAAATTACAGGCTCATACTTTTTGACTCGTAAAGAAACATCCATGACAGAAATAGACTTCTTACGTATGACAGCATGATAAGGCTTTTTCTGTAATATTATGATACAATGATAGAAATTAAGAAGAAAAAGCAAAGAGATTAGAACGATACCATAGTATGTATTTCAAAAAGTATACCATCTATTCACTAATTTTTTTTTTTTAAACATAAGCTAATGAAATACAAAATTCCATAAATAAATCATCAAAAAGTATTCATCTCTAGATTATTAGGTGCCCTTTTAGAGCTAGCATGACATTTTGTCAACATTAATCAACTGTTCACTAAGAAGAGATAAAAGAGAATATTAACAATTTTACAAAAGGAAGTAATATAACGACCTGTGCAAATGACATGTTGAAGTGTTAACTTCATGAGCTAGTATGTCACATTTGCTATGATATTTCAATGATTTAAAAAAAAAGAATCTATATGAAACTTAAATAGCTTATTGACAATCTTATTGGAGATTCTAAAGACTTTATATTTTCTTATGAAACATACAACAAGACTTAATAGTATCAAACTGTCTAAAAACATGAGATAACACATGGAAATGTGGCATTCGGAAGCGAGACACATAAAAAAGCACATTATAAAAAATCCACATCTAATGGACTATTCTCATGGTTCATCAAAACACATTTTGCATCATGCAAGCAGGGCTCAACACTAACAGGTCTCCAGTATTTTCCACTCACAAAATGTTCTTTGGGACCCTCAAAATGTTCAACATACACAGAGGCCTAATATACACAAACCCCAAACATTTAACTCCAGACCCCCAGGGGGAAAAAAACAACAAGTTAGTGTGGAGCCAAGATGAGCAGTTGGCATCCTTCGTTTGAACAAAATGTTCAGGGGAACCCTTTCCCCCTTAATCTGAAGGTGGTTCAAAAATTGGAGAAACAGATCAATGAATGTTTGAGCAAACTACAATGGAGAAAAAAAAGTTATTTATTTTTTGAAGTTGGAATAAAGCAAACAAAAATTGGCAACTCTGTAATGTATCTTGCAAGCGCCTCTCCCATTTGCTATGTACTAAAAAAATCTTGAATTTCTTTTTTCTCTTGAAGTGACTCGGTAATATTGTTGAAGGTTGATGAAAAAAACTGCATAATTTTTGCATGAAATGTTACTTATCATATTCATTTTACTGTACTAACCCTCTGACATGCAAAAAATCCTTTAAAAATTCTCAAACCACAAAGATATTTATGGTTTTCTTTGATAGCATCACTGTGCGACACCCTCTAACAGTAAATTCACCCATTTTTGAATTTTCCCAACCGTTTTTCCATGTAAATAAGACATAAGACAGGCTATTAAAAAACCACAAAGATATTTATGGTTTTCTTTCATAGCATCACTGTGCGACACCCTCTAACAGTAAATTCACCCATTTTTGAATTTTCCCAACCGTTTTTCCATGTAAATAAGACATAGGCCTAAGACAGGCTTTTAACAATTTGTCAGGACTGAAACGTCTGGAATGGTATATAGAGTAAATTCATTGCTTTGTGACGATTTACATTCAACTAAAATGTAAATAAATTGTAATAATATAGTTGGGAGAATTATGGAATTGATCAGATCAGCTTTTCCCAATTTTTATCATTAATTATGGTCTGTTTTCACTCCAACTTTCAGATTATCTTTAATTGTACATCTAGCATTGAAATCACTACCATAGCACATCCTGTGAAGTATAATATCAATGTCACATAGTCATATTTAGGGTCGGACCCTAGTTTACAGGCACAAGCCCTTGTCAGACGTTTTGCCTTTAAGTGTCTATAATGTGAGACTATGCCTAGGCTCTGTCCTTAAGCTGCTCCTTACAAAGCCAGATACTGACAGAGCTAGGCTCTGCTCAAGGCTTTAGTAATTATGATAAAGTGTCAATTTAGAGTGTGTGCCATCACACTAGCCAGATCATTACATACTAGTCCACCACGCACGTACATGTACATGGATACCTGTGCACGGCAGGCAAAGATTTCTTACATCGGATATCACTGCACTTACTTCTGGTCCACATTGTAGCAGGATTGTGAAGTCATATGCTGTGTATGTGAAAGTATTTCAATTTTTTTGATCTTTGCACAACAATTTAAAGCACTGCATGGAAAATGAGTTGTAATCTCAATGGAGCTGGCCATGGTTGTGCGGTGTTCCCTAGTTAATATAGGGACATGAACATACATGTATATATTCGCAAGTCAAGGATCTCAGAAGTTGACACATTTCATCCAGTCCTCTCAAGATCGACCTACTCAAAGCTGACTGTATATGTTTCTACACAACCCCTGTGAGAAAAAATATATTCCTTCATCAGCAACTAAGAAAAAAGAAATTCATGAAATTTCTGTACAGAGTAAATGGGAGAGGACTGCACAAGATACAACTCAGTGTTGCCAATTTGTGATTGATTGAACTTTTTAAAATTCATAACTTCCTTCTTTTTGGGGGATTTTGCTAAAAGTTGCACTTATCTGTTTCTCTCATTTTTCTGCTTTTATTAAATCTGACTAAATATCAGGGTGGATTTCCTTTAAAGTAGATATTCATTGATTTTAAATACTACCGGTAACTTTATTTTCATTATTGCAAAGTTGAAACTTTGATTCGACAAGGTTATCAAAATTCTTGGAAACATTCGAAGTAATGATTATTATAAATTACAAAATGCTTAAATACAGCCCCTGCATAGCACCTGAAGAGCTCTCCGAATGCTGCTGAGATGTGTGAGATCACAGTATGGACATGACTTGCACAAGCAGACGATGTCCCATGACATCTCACACATTTTCAGTGCCTGTGTTTTCATGTTCTCTTGAGTTCGTTCTCTTACTACACTAGCGTCAGGCTAATTTATAATTTATTGCCTCACTCTAAACCCTGCGCATGGTTTTATTTTGATGACAAATGCAGCGATACAAAAATAAAGGAATTTGTCGCTTGTAAACAAAATAAGACGCCATTGTATATTCAGCTGCACACACCGGGGTATGTTCGGCATTTCAAGAGGGAACAAATGCCGTCCTTAATATCATTCCGGGGGGTTTTCAATTTGAAAGTCTGGTTTCTTTGATTGTTAATTAACCCCTATCCTGTGTATTTACAAGCAAAAGATTTTAGTTATCAGAATTGGGTCATATCCCCTTTTGAATGGTTTGACATGCCATTACATTTCTATACACTAAACTCATTATAATTTGAGAAATAATAGCTTTGCAATTATGTTCATTCTCTATGCGATGTCGTCTGCTTGGGCAGTGTTGGTCCATATAGTGACGTCATTAAAACATCGTTATTTTTCCGGCCAATCTCTCGTATATCCCAAGTGCTATGGAGGTGGTTGTATTTGTATTTTTATAAATCACCCGATATGTAGTTGACCTAAAACTTGTCCGATGGCATCTGTTAGCTTACCAGTTTCTAGTGATACATTAGTTGACATATTTGTGATCTTCTTTGAATTTCACCTTTAAAGGGCAGTCCAGACAATTAAAAAAAAAATTACAGCATATCGTAAATAAATCAAAGAACAATGTTCCCAAATTTAATGAAGAAATTCTTATTAGTTATTTGAAATGAGATTTACGGCACAAAATTAAATTGATCACAACCCTGTGTCGTAGTTCCCTCACATTGCCTACTGATTTGAGGCTTGCATACGATCGACTAGCTGCTTCCGTTCCTGCCAGGGCCCGCAACAGCTTGCATGCATGATGTCGATGTGTTAGGCATATGGATGTTCTAATAAGCCAGACTAGTGATTATATACAGTGTGTTGTGGAAAAAAGAAAATCAGATTTCTTGGCAAAAATTTTGTACCATAGATAATAATATCCTTGATGAGATATATATGTTGGAAAAGCTCTGTTTCTCTTCTTTCAATTGATGCACTACTTATCATTCATAACTTACGCATGATTGAATTTAAACGACAGAAGGTGGTGGTACCAAAAATTCATGTGCATTGCACAAATTGCAATTTTGCGTGAGTTTTTAAGGTAGTAAATATAATCTTTTATGAAAAGGAAAAAAAAATCATGGATGTTCCAATCAAGTTCTTTCCTAGATAGACTATATTAGGACACCATATATTTGTCTTTCATCTGTTAAAAGTTAAGAATTGTTTGGACTTGCCCTTTAAGTCTGACTCTGTTGTAAATGAGTTTTGCAGCTCTTACCAATAAGGTTGAGTTCTGGTCATGTGATTACATTTTAAAAGGAAGAAATTGGGAAAGTTTGATATGTAATACATAAGTAATGATTGTTATGTATAATGTGAGGTTTTTGGAATCACTAAAATATGAAAAAATGTACTCAATATTGCTGAAAGTCATATGCGATGCACATAGGAATGTGTACGTGTAAGGGACAACATACATGTGGCATGACTGTTTGGTCTGAACACTTCAGCTATTTCTTGTCATACTATAAATATGAGTGCATTTGTAGAGTAATTCTTTTCCAGGATAATTTCTGCTATTACATTGTTCCAAAATGACATACAATGTACATGTAAATGTATAAAGAATGAGAGAGCTCAAAAATCTTTTTTCACCATTACCAGAACCCAACCTTCTCTTTAGAAGACAGACTTTGACAAGTGCGTAGTGGTAACCTATTTAGGTCTACAGGATTTCAGCTTGTTGGAACCACTGGACGATCCCCGACACCCTTTGTCAGATCATAGACTCTCCCTGCAACTTCATAGGCCAGTTTGTCCGCTTGTTCCTAGATAAAGAAATAATAAAAGGCATGTACCAGTACGTGTTTCTATCATCAACAAAACTGATATCATTTCTTCTACGAAGCACTGTGTGTAATCACATATAGAAGTATGTGCGCTTATCACTGTGCTGTGTGCATGCTTAAATAAGTCCACTAACTTGCAGGGGGTTTATTTGTTAGCAATAATGACACAAAACAATATTGAAATTATTTTTTATGTTTTACATCAAATAACAAGGATCTAGGAAATTTGTTGCATAAAACATATGTTGCATGTTTTCACTTGTATATTACAGGATCTATCCGTTCTTAGTATGGTTGTTTATGAACCTATCTTACTCAGCCTGACGGCTATCATACGATAGATGCATGAAGCCTCAACTCGAGTGCAGATAGATCATATAATGAACTCATTCATATGCATCATTTGTAAACATGAACAGGCAGTCAGTGTGGTTCATGCCAGAGAGACTTGCAAGGCTAAAATTGAAGGCATAATCAGTCCAACATCCATCATGAGATGGGATGAAAAGCAGTTCTGTCATGGAAAAGACAAATAATTCAATCTTGATATCAATAATAATAAATAATAATAGTGGGTTCTTGTATAGCGCTCATGTCAGTCAGATTTGACCCTCCTGGTGTTCCCGATTATTACCCTGGCTTTAGCACGGCTGCCATACAGTGCTCTAGCATTTCCAGGAATTTGAAGTTATTTTCCATCATCTAATTCTTTAACATTAGTAACTGCTGAGTCTACCTAGAGCACAGTATCAGGTTTGAAGCAGAATCAGTTGGGTAAAATAACAGGTGCATATGTATGTCATAATTGTGCAACAATATGAAAGTAGGTGTGGAAAAGTCACCAAGAGGATTAAAATAGAAGGTGAACAGCATCAGCCCATTGACTGAACCCTGTAGAATTCCATACAGTGATGTAAGATCATGTGTGTGAGGTCGACACAGATACAGGCGTAGATACTTCAGTCTCTAAGATATGACTTGATCAGCTAAAGAGCGAGACCAAAACAGTCTCTGAACAATATGGTTAACAGCATCAAAAGCAGCAGATAGCTAAGGGAGCATCATCACAATTGACTTATTATTCTTTATGACTTGATCTTTGTTATAATGCTTGAAATTCATGCCCCAAATCATTCTGTAATAATAATAATAATAATAATAGCTCGTTCTTATATAGCGCTTTTCAGGACCGGAGGCCCTCACAAAGCGCTTTACAGATAAGTATATTATTACCCCGGTCATTGGATTCAGGCTTACCCGCACACAATGTATGCACATTCTCCACTCCCTGGGGAGCATTCCAGCCAGGCGTCATTTTTACATGCGCACACTTGCTAATCTAACCACATTAGCTTTCGCATCCTACCGGGTACCCATTTAACACCTGGGTGGAGAGTGGCAAATGTAGATCAATGTCTTGCCAAAGGACATTAGTGCTGCGGCGGGACTTGAACCACGGACCTTGTGATCCACAGTCCGGCGACGTATCAACTCGTCCACAACACCTCTACAGTTGTCAATCCCTTAAAGGGAATATAATCTTCACAGAAAACCACTCCAAAAGAAAGTAGAACTAGATGGACCTTCGACTGCGGGCAGTCGAAAATGATGCCTCCACCATGGAGCAATTTTACAAACCAAAACAGAAGCAATTTCTAAAATTCAAGTTTGATTGTAATCCACTTAAAGATTCTCAGAATAATGTGGATACAAGCTATTTTTCATATACATGTTTGACCCTTCGATCTTTGACCTCATGAACCTAAAATCTAATCACTCCATTGGTTCTGCAAGATACATGTTTTGTGTTTGATAGTAACCCATCTGTAGGTTCTACTGATAATACGTTCACAAGCTATTTTCACATACATAATGAGCCCCATATTCTTTGACATTTGACCTCCTGACCCCAAAATCTAATCATTTTATTGGCTCTGCAAGATGCATACATGACCCAAGTTTGGAGGGAATCCATCAAGCCGTCCTTAAGATAACGTGATCACAAGCTTTTTTTGCATACATGAGCCCTGTGACCTTTGACATTTGACCTCGTGACCCCAAAATCTAATCAGTTCATTGCCTCTCCAAGATGATCCAAGTTTGGCGGGAATCCATTGATGGGTTCTTGAGATAATGCGATCACTAGCTATTTTTGCATACATAATGAGCCCTGTGACCTTTGACCTTGGATCTCGTGACCCCAAAATCTAATCAATTCATTGGCTCTGCAAGATACATACATGACCAATGTTTGGCAGGAATCCATCAGTCGGTTCTTGGGATAATGCGATCATGAGAACGGGACGTACGGACAACCCGAAAACATAATGCATCCGGCTACTTTGTAGCGGAGGCATAAAAATCAGAGAAGCAGACTGGTGAAAACTTGAATTAAATCGGACAAATGATGAGAAAGTTGTAATCACTATACATAATACATATGGGCACTTTAAATTGGCTGAATCGGTAATGGCACTGTGACAAACTGCCGGACTACTTTTCCATTTGTTTCAACACAAAAAAATTATTGAAACATCAACTTTTCAAAATTATTAAAACATCAATTTGTCAAAGTGCATGATTATAGGAGGATCTTTTCTTCTTAGAGGACCTATAATATATTTTTTTGAGTAATGCCCTAAAGGAGAACGCACTCAGGAAAAAAAAATGAATTAATGATATGTTTGTACACAACGAACGGGAGAGTTGTCCCATGATTAGGTCACAATCCACTGACCAAATAGACCATTTTAAATTTTGATTCAGTGATCTCATATTTCAAACATTCGTAACTCCCATTTCATTTGCCTAATTTATTTCAAACTTTCGCCATTCTCTTTCTCTTATCATTACAAGGGTTGGATTGCCCTTTGAACGAAAGACAGCCCTGACCTTACATGTTACCTTTGGCACCACATTGTGTGGACATACATACATAAAATCAGTAAATAACTCACTCTCGTAGCAGCTTCAGCATAGACCCTTACAACATCTTCTGTTCCTGATGGTCTGACAAATGAACGTGCTGTTTGGTAGTTTGCTACCAGTGAGTTGATAACATCCTGCAAACCAACAGGTCTGGTGCACTGTCTTTCTGCATCTGTAGTCTGTATAGCTGTACGGTCTGCCACCTGAGATTAGATGACAATCACTCTGTCAGTTACATCAGAATACAAAGCACCTAAGATGTACATCTTTAGTCTCAAGACACCCTTTTAAAGGCATCATTTAACAATGTTAAATCTGAGATGCATGGCCCTACATATTATCAGTGTCTGTGATATGGTGTTGTATTGAAGCCCTAAAATAAATTGTGATTCAAAATGATCATGAAGTGCCTCAAAAATGTAAAAATCATTGAGTGATCAATTTAACTATACTCATTTTCCCCAGTTGACTGTAGTGTTATGAAAAACTATTAGGAAAATGAAAAATTGTTAGGAAAACGAAAAATGAAATTTCGATTTCCAATCATAAATATGTTGATAATCAGACAGGCGATCAGCTTGTAAAAGTCATGGGATTCCTGACTGCCCTAAAGGTTTATAACTATGATTGTAGCATGAGCTAAATCCATCCAGAATTTTGTTTCAGATTCTGAGGCAATGACACTTCAAAGGTACATGTCTATCTGAAAGTCAAACTAGGATATAATGCTTCCTCCATAATGACTGATTGTTTGATTGCTAAAAGCTTTGCAAAAGCCAAATCCTATGACTGCATGCAAAATATTTTTCAGGCAGAAAAAAATAAAAATTCAGTGTAAAATATGGTATCCCTATAAAATTCAAATCAAAGAATCTGTAATTACCGGTACTGAAATGAATAGGTCTGAAATAAAATGTTACTACCGTATTTGCCGGCGTAAAGGCCGCAGTATTTTTGGATGAAAAAAATATCAAAAAGTCGGGGTGAGGCCTATGCGGCGAAAGAGTTAAAAAAAAAAATTTTAAAAGTCAAAACCAGCACTAATTTGCACATATGGGACTAGATCTACGAACGGTACAATAACTATTTATTTCCACACATCTTACCGACAATTTTATCTTGCATTGTTGACATGAAGACGAAAATAAACTTCCAAAAACAACATCTGCCGATAGACCTTGATCTAAGTTCGTGCCAATGCATTGCAAAAGTAAAAGAAGGGCCCGTTTGTCGGAGCTGCCGCGAAGCATCTAGCACGCGAAGTCGCTATTTTGAATCCATTTCAATACACAAGAGAGAGGCGCAATGTATACATCACAGAAAACTCCATATGCTAGCATCAGTGCGGCATGGCCGAGCGGTCTAAGGCGCTGATTTTAGTCACATCAACATTTGAACGCAAGAGATCGAATCCCGACTTTGACAATTTTTTTTTTTTTTTTTTTTTTTTTTTCCGAGCGGTCTTAGGCAGTGATTTTAGTCACATCAATATTTGTACGCAAGAGATCAAATCCCGACTTCGACAATTGGGGTGCGGCCTATACGGCGCTGGGGCCTTATCGCCAGCAAATACGGTAATGTGAATAGAAAACTTGAAATAAAACCAAAACCAATTTGGTAGGACTGACTGACCTTGACTTTGAGTTGTCTATTTGGTAAGTCTGTATATGATGCATCCCATGCTTCTACTGTCCATCTCTTAGCCCAGAGAATAGTTTCTACCAGGAGCAGGTCACAGAGGGCATCTCCTACTGTCTGTTGGCAAGAATAAGAGATAACTAGAAATGTCCCTTGCTGCGCATGCAAATGCATTCCCAGACCATTACAAATTCACATGCATATATTTATGGCATTATAACAAACATTACAGGGGTCTTCTCTTTCCTATCAAAGCTGTAAGTACTTTAACAGGATGATTGAGAAAAGACAAGATGAATGCGGCTGCATCTCCAATATGCCTCTGACTAAATTTCATTTATTTTATTATCAATCTATACAACATATTGTATAATTATTAAAGCTAGTCTTTTCATTGTATGACCGGTCTCCAAACTCCGGATTACTTCATCTCTCTATGATGCTGCAAGCTAGTTGATTTATATCCATCAATGAGTTTTAGGAGACTGTGATTCATGTACAATACTAAAATCACTTCATTATCAGTAGCTGACCTTTGTCCTTGTGATCATATCTATCATGTAATTTGCAAGATGTCTCGATAACTGGTTCAACTTCAGATTTTTACCACTTACATGTGAAGTTCCCCTAGGCTCTGTAGATGGGCTGACCCTATTCTCATTATATTTATTTGGTCTGAAAAATATTCAACAGCACTCTCTCTCTCTGATGTGATATTTATGCAGATGATATTCAAATATTCACATCATGAAAACCAAATAAAACAAATAACAGCAGCAAAAACAAAATAGATAAATATACCAGCATATAAACAGGTAAAATACAAATTAATTGGTATCGTCATGAAAAATTGATAACTTTAATGAAATATAACAAAAATCTACTGACCTAAAATGACCTTTGACCTTGACTTGTGACATGGAATTTGTGTCATATGATTTGTGATAATTGATAACCCTTGGGTACAAGTTTGGAATTTGAACAAACATTTTTGAAAAGCTAAAAATTCCAAATCTTGATGTTGATGTCACAACAAAGTCTAAGTTTGAAGACCTGAAATGACATTCGACCTTGACTTTGTCACCTAAAAGACTAATCACATGATTGGTGATACTTGATAACCTTTATTTTCAAGTTTCATGGAATAGGAATGTATACTTTCAAAATAACAATAAAAATTCAGAATCTTAACCTTTGGTTAGGTTTTGATTTTGATTTCACAACATAGTCTAAGTTTGTTGACCTGAAATGACCTTTGACCTTAACCAGGGGTGATAGTGAGCACAAAAAAAAAATAGGTTTTTTGTTTTCCCCTCAACCACGCCCCCCTTGAGTAAAAAAAAAAAGAAGAGGATTCGTGGGGAAAAAATGGCATCTAACAACATTTCCCCCCTTTCGAGTAAGAATATTGGGAAAAAATTGGGAAATTTGGAGAAAAAATAAGGCAAAATAGGGAAGAATAGAGAAAATGTGGGGGAAATCATGAAAATCAGGGAAGAAAAAAAAATCTGGTAAAAAAAAAATCAGGATTTTTTTTTTTTTTTTTTTTTTTATAATCAGGAAGAAAGAAAAGAAAATCGGGAAACCGATTTAAATCGGGTTTTTATCAGGCCTGCTTAACTTAGTGACCTGAAATTCTACTCACATGATTGGGGATACTTGATAACTCTTTATTCTAAGTTTCATTGAATAAGAACTTATACTTAAAATTATATTCAAAATTCAAAAACTTAACCTTAGGTTAAGTTTTGTATGTTGACGCCGCCACCGTCGCCATCACAGGAAAAGTGGTGCCTATGTCTCGCTTTTGCTATGCAGGCGAGACAAAAGGGGCATCTAACCATTCAAATGTTGATGAGCTCAATCCTTCTCATTGTTTTTCATTGTTTGTTTTCATTGTTGTTCATTAACATTTGAAAGTCTCTATTTTTGCAATATTTTTAATCACACTTTCTAAAGGTTAAATGTCAAATGAATGTGCCCATCCAAGCATGCAAGTTCGAAACTTGATCTAAATTGAAGTTGGAAGAGTATAAATTTTCTTTTAAGTTGATGTATATATTAATATATTTCATTGATGGTTTACATGAAGATTTTGAACAATAAAGAGTGCCCACCTTCTTTTTGTTTTGCCGAGTGTATCATACTCCTTTTATTCTTTGGGTTATAATGCAGACGTGATTTCATTTTCTTTTCACAAGTGCGCCTTGAGCACATGATTTCAAGAGGATTTGACACCTTACAAATCTCATCATTATTAGTAGTAGTAGTAGAGTAGTAGAAGAAGTATTGTTATCATTACTGTTATCATTGTTCTATTCTATTCTAATATGCTCCCCCAAGATCTTGGCTTTGAATGGTCCAATTAATGTGAAATTCTGCATGGGTATTGATATGCATAAACAGAGTACAGCTGCATGATATTTAAAACCAAAATATATATGAATGTGTCTCTCTAATATCCTCCACCTGTATATTCATTAAAGGGATAGTTGAGTTCTGTTGCAGAGGGCGCTACACAAAATATTTTTGTGTAAGATAATGAAAAACTGAGTGTCAAATTTGAAAGAACATAATATTTAAATGACAAAATCATTGAATTGGCTAAATTTCACTCATTTTGGGGGCTTGAATTACCTTCATAGCAATTTAGGTTCTAAAAGGGCACTATAAATGTCATAGATAAGAATAAAAGCAATAACCATGCACTTTGAAGGCATTTGCGGTCTGAGAACAGAACTCAACTATCCCTTTAATTGGTTTGAATGGCTTCCATACTTTTTCAAGTTATCGCAGTAATGAGATATTTTGGGGATCTTTTAACACTTATCTGACCCCGTTACCACGGACATCTGACGTCCAAAATCTAATTAGTTCATCCTTGTATGCTCATTCATACTTCATCCCCTGTTGGTTTGAATTGCTTCGATACTTTTGAAGTTATCAAGTAACAAGACATTTTCTAGCATTTTTCAAAACCTTTATGACCTTGTGACATTTGACGTTATCAGCCCTAAATCTTTAAAGTTCATACTTCATCCAAGTTTAGTTTGAATCACTTTAAAGGTAGGGTGACATCCAAATATAAGTTGATTCCTGTTGATGTGCAGGGCTGCATACAACTCATATTTTGTTATTCAAACATCTAAATATATTTCATATCCGAACTGAAAAAAGAAATGGATGAATTATATATCAACGGAAACTTATAAGCCATAGATTACAATTATATCAATTATATGCCAGGGTATCAGCTCTATGAAAATTCAAAATCTAAAGCTTTGAAAATCAGAAGTTTTCGACCTAAAACTTGTTATCGACTTGATGACATCATCTTATGTGGAGTATGCATATTCACAATGACTTTGCATTAATTAAGCACGACTCATCGCCTAAATTATATAGGTGAACCAGTCAGGTCCACATGTTATATCCTCACTGTAACTTCGGCAAATTTGACCCCTGTTGACCCATAATTTGGACGGGTGCGGAAAGTTCGATTTTAATTTGGTTTTGTGCAATAATGAATGGGTATATACTTTTTATTCCTTGATATTTGTATTCTACATTCATTCAGTTTTCCATTTATATCAAGTTGTATTTTCATCGGATACTAGGGTGTTTAAATATTTTTTTATAATTATTATTACTCTTTGGACAATATCTCATATCTGAATCTGAATCAACTTTACCTGATTTGTGAGGTCGATAAACTGTTTCAGGATGGTAGCAGATTTCCGTTGATCATTTGAAAGGCTGTACAAGAAGGTAAAACCAAAAAAACAACTCCAATTACTATCAGCAACTAATATGCTCCTCTCTGAACAAAGAGGATGAATTACAAATGGACAAATTTCAGGGTTTTGTTTTCTTTCACTCACATCACTGCTAAATTACTACTACAAAAAATCCTACCAAAAATATTTAGGATTTTAAGAAGGCAATAAAATTGTAATCTACACCTACATCACACTGACGATCATTGACATTTAATCTACAAGTATATATACATGTACATGTATGTGAACTTAATGCCAATCATTTTTTTTTTCTTCTATAATTTACATTACTGGTTTTGAAACAAAAGGAAAATGTATATTTCTTCATAGTTGGATGGTCTGATAATACAATGTCAACATCTGCTCAAATTCTCTTGCTTGAAATTGGTACTAGTTCAGTTTTTCCTTTCTGGTTTTAAACTACCATCTCACACCCCATTTCTCAAAGGACGGCAAAGAGGGTCTAGAAATTCCCCTTATCAACAATCATTGCTCTTTCATATTTTCATAGCAAACCATTCCAGGTTTAATAATGAGATTTCTTTATGATCCAATAGAAATCTTATCCTATCCCATGTAAAATATTGTGGTAATGTCTACCTTTGATCCTGACTGGCTTGTTGAATCTTCTCCTCTGCATTCTTACTATACAGTACCTAATAGATTAAAAACAGAAAGAAGAGAACATTACCTTCTTGCTCATGGGTGATAAGTTTCTGAGGTTGGTGGTCTAGTGCAGGGGTTCTCATTACTTTGTTAGCTGGGCCATAAACACTGAAAATATGAAGTTATAGCCTAGCAGAGCCGGTAATATTCGGAGCGCCTTGAGCACCTTGCATGGTGGGTATGTGGGCTATATAAATATCCGATATTATTATATTATTATTATTATATCTAATTGTGAAATTACAATGAATATCACTCATACCATGAGTTTATCCAGGAGCAGTTGATTTTTTGTTTAAATAAAGGGATACCGTTTTCATCATCATGACCTCACTATCATAAATCACTGTTGCTATTATGATGTAATCCCCACTGTTGACCACGGGAGGACATTAAGGCCTTTTCGACTGTGACAACAACGTTCACGTCCAGAACATGTGTTCACTCAAGTAGTTGACACCCCTTGTTCACATCCGTTTGAAACCATTTCAATTTCAGTCAACACAACTCGCCGTACCAGTGAACAAGATGACGTTGAAAGTTGAATAAGCTTAAATCATGTACCGGTACAACTAGCCAGGTACACACTATCATAATTAGAGAATGCCATTCTAGATTGAGGTAAACGTCAAAACCGAGATGGACACGTTCTCAATTCCGGTAGACAATGTGGTGCATGCACAGATTGTCAGAATGAGGTCATCATATCACAGTTCACTATGTCGACATGGACAGGCGTAGCCAGGATTTTTGAATAGGGGGGCCAGACGTGCAAGCGCGTAGATAGGATTTTATTTTAGGGGACGGTAGTGAGCACGCAAAGCGTGCAAATCACTTACAAAGCGCGCAAAACGCTTCCTAGTGGGGTGGGTGTAGAGTGGGAGGGTTTCCCCCTCCCTTGCGAAGCATGGAAGCTTTGGTGTTTCATTAAATTATTAGATAAAGAAGACGATTCATTGTACCATTCATAACTTTTAATCCTTGTCTGAATTTTCAAAAGTATTTCTTTGTCTGCTCCTTTTTCTTCCTACTTCCTCTTATTTTTTAATTTTCTCTCTCTCTTTCTCTCTGGTAGAGCTTAGCGTAAATTGGTGTGGGATTACAGGGCAAAGCCCCAAAGGGGTCAAGGGGCAGAGCCCCTGGATCTCAGGGGGTATGGGCATTTTAAAACGGTCAGATGAGCATATTTTGATACCTTATTTGTGACACTGGCAGGACACTAATTGGCGTGGGGTCCATGGGGCAGAGCCCCCAGAAGCATGTAGGCCTCCAAATAAGCATATTTGTCATTTTCCAACATATGCATCAAAAAATATAAGTTACTAAAAAGTGAGGAAAAATCTTGGAAAATATGGCATTTCAGCAACATTTGTAAATTACTGGTATTGAATTAGAAATAAACCATGTCTGATTTTTTTTTTTGGGGGGGGGGGGGAGGGGGAGGCAACTGTATACAATTCCTACATGAAGCATGAGGTACAGCATGTTTTTTAGATTTTTTAGGGGCTGAATAGGGGGCCATGCCCCCCATGTGCCCGCCTATGTCGAAATGACAATTGAAAAGCCCTTAAAAGTAATCCAAAGTTTTGGGAATTTTGAAAATTGTGTGGATAGTGATTCTTTACAATTTTGATACATTTGGATGCCCCTGTGGATGTATTATAAGCACTAGAAAATTTAGCCCCTAAAACACTTCTGCTTTTGGGAAATATTGAATATAAGAATTTACCGGTGCTCCCCGTAAATTTTGATAAATTTCTTATAGCGACTACGGCCGTGCAAATCTCAGAATATGTAGTTGTGATATATAATTTCCAAATGGAAATAGCTAATCGGTCGATTTTAGTCAAGAAACATTGTTTTATAGCTTAATTAATATCTTGACATTGAGAGGGAGCTATACAACATAAAGAGTTTATTATTTAAATTTTCACAACTGTAAACTCGATTTCAACTGCGACAACGATCACTCAATATTGTAGGATCGCATATGCTTCCAATATGTCCATTTGAACTAAATTCATGACCCCATACCAAAACTTTGTATTACCTTTAATAACAGATACGATAGCCAGGTCTGGTGCATAAGACATCCATTTTAATACAGCATCTGAAAATATACCTAACATGGCTTCTCACAGGGATTTTGATACTGCTCGGGTATTTACAGTATCCAAATACTTAGTAAACCCTCTAAACAATGCACTATTACAAAGTTGTATTAAAAACACAAGCCTTAAAGCAAAGATAGAGATGGCATTCTGGGACACATTAATAGGTACCAATTATTTATTCCATGAAAACAGAAAAGCAGTATTGTACAGAACAGATGTTACATCAAAAACTGGGAGTGTACTTCACTTTTAAATTGATTAGTCTTACATAATGCGTTACCACCAGAAGAATTTCAAGTAAATGATCTTACAGACAGACATTGCATGTTGACTGCTGTCTGATCAGCAATGCTCAAAGTACTTCAAATAAAATGATGTTCATGGAATTTTTTCTTCTCTTACTGCTGAATGTGAGATCTATGAAAATACTAGAGCAGTGTCAAATTCCACTTGAAAACTCATGGTTAACTGTCTTTAATCATACTTTTGTGTCTTATATTTTACTTGTCCGGAAAGCCAATTGCAGACCACAGGCTAATCGGTAGTAGTGATGAGGAAACAATTTGAAAACGATACTCACTGTGCCATGTCCATTAGCTTCAAAGTAGACTCCAATGTCAAAATCCTCTGCTTTGTGATGCAGGTGCTTTACACCAGTACTTACACAAGCAACAGGCACTTTCTGTTTGGATTAGGAATGAAAGTTTATTTCAAACAAATTTGCCCGATAGCCTGAAAAATATTGTGCTAGGCAAGTATTTTCATAACAATTAAAAAACCTCATTTTGTTCAGAGTAGTAGGGTAGGCTGGAGACCGAAAATGTTGCTTTGTTACTTTTGTGATTGCTACATATAGCCTGTGTAACCCGATTTTGAAAGCAGGGTGTGTGCAAGTTAGTTTTATTAAACCAAGAGAGAGGTATTTGGTATTTATGGGGAATAAAATATTTCTGAGGTTCACCCTATTGTTATTTGTACAGTTTGAAATTGATTGAGTAGTGAAAATCCATTTAATACAGAGGAGAGGGATATAAATTTTGGTGATCAGCTCACACTAATAACCTTCTTTAGACCCCTTCATTTAATTCAGGACCCACACGACTCTAACACAGTTAACATCATCTGTATGATAGTATCGCAACAGATATGTTCTTCAACACAGAAAATGTTCTTCTTCCTAAATGTATGTAACCACTATAGAAACATGGTCTTTATAGAAGAGAGCACAAAGGCTAAGTGCATGCAGGAAGCTGTAATTAATGGAGATCCCGTCCAAGAGGCCCATTTGAAGTCATCCGTGGCACTGCGCGTCTTTTGTTTCCCCTACCGTAATCCCCTTAATCCCCCCGAAACCGTACAGCTCCCTAGTAGCACTAAGTCCTCCCTTTCCACACACAGCCCAGCCCAGAGAGCACGGCGGCTTTTGCTTTGCCGGCCTGTACTTGGGGTGAATAGTGGTGATAACTTGACAACTTCTAGCCCTAAATCAATAAATGCGCAAACATATAACACAATTTCATTTAGTTCTTAGGAAGATAAACCTTTGGACTACCTTTCTAGCTATGTACAAATTTTGGAAATTTTCGGAAAATATCAATAATTAGATGAGAAAATCATGATGATGAAAACATTTCATTCGCTCTAACTCATGATTTCCTTGGTCGATTTCGCTGGTTGAAATGGCCATGTCTTCAGTAGAGCTATCTGAGAACGGAAAAAGCATTTGATGACTAATAGAAAGTTGCATTGGTCATATGTTGTGAATTCTGTATTTTATATGTTATAGCTAAATACATCTTCACTGAACATGACTTAATTTTTCGGTGCCACGCATGGCTTCAAAGCTCGATGCTTGCATATTTTTGCAAAAGAGTGAATAGAGAACTTAGGGAAGCAGTTTACATTGCGTAACATTTCGTATTATATACCTCACTTAAGTAATCCAGCCCTCTGATTGGTCGAAATTGCATTCATAAACTTCAACTGTTCCTGTAAAATTCTCGGTAACCATGCATAAAACATTTCACTATTTTTAATAACCATGGTTATTAAAAAAATAGGTCAGCCTCCATGGTTACCCCATAGGTTTACATGTTAAAAAATGGTTTGAGCGATCGAGGATACCGTATGTGTGCGAAGGATTGGTCGGTAATTTCAATACAATTGAATCTCGATCGATCTTACCGACAATTTTATCTTGCATTGTTGACATGAAGACGAAAATAAACTTCCAAAAACAAAAAAACAACATCTGCCGATAGATCTTGATCTAAGTTCGTGCCAATATGCATTGCAAAAGTAAAAGAAGGGTCCGTTTAATGGAGCTTTTGCGAAGCATTCATCATGCCGAAGCCGGTTTCAATCCATTTTAATGTATATATAGTACAAAACTGCCAAGCACGTGAACAGCGCGCGATGGACGAGTGGTGTAAGGCATTGGTGTAAGATTCATCACTCATTGTACGTAAGAGTTCGACTCTCACCTTCGACAAAAAAAAAAAAGTATTTTTTATTTTTTATTTTTTAGTCTATTTTTTTTCGGCATATAAAAGTATTAATGACTGCTTTAATATTCGAGAAATAGTTGTTTTTATACGCTCTCGGGAAGGTTACAATTGGGCTATTCCCCTCGGCACGCCTCGGGTAATAGCACAATTCTAACCTTCCCTTGAGCGTATAAAAACAACTATTTCTCTCAAAGCAGTCATTAATACTATACTATTTGCCAGAGAGGGACTGTGCATTGATATGGACAGCTGTTGATGGAAATGGTGGCTGGAGAGGGTTACATTTCTTTTTGTTAAGCCAGGTTGATCTTGAATATTTTTCCCTCAGAAAATTCTTTCGAGATGGTATCTCCATTCATTACAGCTTCCTGTAGCTTACTCAGTCCAAAAGACCAAGACATACATGTACTTGACTTACCAAAGTTTCTGAGGCATATTTTGTGGAACTTCCATTGGCATATGCAGTCTGCACTAGACCCATTTTGAGTTGTGACCCACTCTGTGTAAGTAATTCCTGAATATAACCTGCAATCTGAGGAAGAAACAGGACAAATTTGAATGCATGTCCAATATGCCTATTAAACTGCCTATGCCTATTAAATTCAGTTAGAATCATGGCTATTACTATTCTTGAAATATCATTATGAAAATAAAAAGCCTATCATGAAATATCAATTGATCTTTACGACCTTAACCTTAGACCCGACAATCTAAAACTTGATCACTTGTCTACCTATAGTGATGCATACTAGTAACAAATTTTAGTCACACCTAAACTAGCTTAAAATAGTTATGGATATGGTGATAAAAGTTTAAGACAACCGGTGTTGACTTGCTGACCTGTTTACCTTCTTAGCCAATAATCTAATCAGTTTGTCTCACTATAATAATAATAATAAAAGTGGGTTCTTGTATAGCGCTCATGTCTGTCAGACTTGACACTCCTGGCGCTCCGATTATTACCCTGGCTTTAGCACGGCTGCCACTACGGCGCTCTCGCATTTCAAGGAAATAATTCCTGCCAGGTGCTCATTTACATCACCTGGGTTGAGTCATATTTCATGTCATCCATCACCCCAAAGAACTACATAGTCAGACTCAAACTTCAAGCAAAATGATAATCACAATCCTTCAAACCATCCCACTTCATCATACCCAATGCCAATGTTTGTAGAGAGTCAATGTCAGACCCGAGCTATGCCTTCAAACAGCAATTTGATTTTTTTTTTCTTTATTAAAAAGCCGGGTACAAATGACCTGTATTAAGCAACTTTTGCATATTTAATGAGCTGTGACCTTTGACGTACATACTCATCAACATTACCGTAAATCTCTGTGTATAAGACACACCTTTTTTTCCTCCAGAACAAATTTAAGAGTCGGGGGTGCGTCTTATAGACAAGTACAGGATATTGTGAGTCATCAAAATGCTGATTTTTAGTGGTTTTCGATAATCTCTGTGTCTCAACATAAATTACATGATGCAAATAAATAATAAGACCTACTATTTCAAGTTAACCTACATTCCTAATTTGAAGGGAAGAGAGTTTGTTTTTTTTTAGTTTCAATTTTATCATGCCCCTTCACATAGCACTATGCCGGCCGACGCTCACCCGTGCCCGGAAGAACAACGGCATGGTCCCAGCTCATGCACATAAGGGATATCGACTCACTACTAGGAAACTAAAACCAAACTAGCCTATGTCCAAATTTCTGTTGAGACTCGGAGGAAAATTTGTCAGTCATCTTTAGTATTAAAGCCCCACTGTCCTACTTGTAGCTACTTGCTCCCTTTATATAGAAAACTTCCCCAATCAGTGCCTGTTGGTCCCCCATGATCCTCTTTTTCTTATGTTAGTTGAGAGCTGAGTTAATAAGATAGCCACCTGTCAGTGACCTCGCTGTGTGGTCTAATCCTTTCTGGCCCAGTGGTATTGACGGTCTTTAAAACAACATTGTTACTTTTATTTTTGACAAGTTCTCAAGCACTTAAACTGCGCCTCGTAACAAAACGAAGGCCTTCCCTGTAAGGGTTTCCAAATGCTGAAATAAGATGCGATCTGGCTTGCTGCCTACGGAGTCGGCAAAAAAGCAAAAGAGAAATCAATTTTTTTAAAACAACATTGTTATTTTTTTATTTAAGACAAGTTCTCAAGCACTTCAACTGCGCCTCGTAACAAAACGAAGGCCTTCCCTGTATGAGTTTCCGAACGCTGAAATAAGATGCGATCTGGCTTGCTGCCTACGTAGTCGGCAAAAAAGCAAAAGAGAAATCAATTTTTTTTTCTTAAAAAAAGGGGTGCGTCTCATACACAGAGATTTACGGTACTTACATTATTGAATGAAAACAACATTTTCGCATATATAATGATATATGACCTTTGACCTACATACTCCGAAATCGAGATTGGGCTGTATTTTGATACCATGTACCTTCATATCAAATTTCATTAAAATCTGTCAAACATTATTACAGTTTCGAAAATAATATCACTAGTGATATTCGTTTGTCTCACAATGTATGGTCAACAAGTAATCTAAATAAATCACTATGTTTCGTGCGCCGCTGGAACAGTTCGTCAGGTAATAAAATGTAATGTAAGCAACTGCCCGTAGAGTATACTCTACGGGCAGGATTCGTCAGTCAATAATTAGAACAATAACAGACAAGGCCTATTGGCCGAAGCACACGGGTGCTCAACCAATCAGCTCGGCTCAATCAATCAGTTGGCTCAGCTCATCTGACGGGCGGGAACAATAGCGTGCTCAACCAACCAGCGGGCCGGCTGGACGGGGAGTGTCGTGGCGGCGCATGGTACTCATCCAAAATTTGGGATATCAATCCTGTTGTCTCTGTTGAAATTATTGGGATTGAGACGGATATTGATAGCTTTTTTAACCCTCCGTGTGTACCAATGTCGTTCTTGGGAAAGGCACTGAACCTGTCCCAGTCTGGATGATGCTGGTTATCCCAAGCATGTTCGGCTATGGCTGAGTTGTCAGTTTGGCAGAGCCTGACGTCCCTCTAATGCTCTGATATCGGACGGGCAGTTTCGCCGATGTAGGAGGTTTGCGAGACAAACGAATATCACTAGCAATATTATTTTCGATTATATGATTGTTTAAGAATTTCTGAGAAAATAGAAATATACCAACTTTCAAGTACAGAGCAAATAAGAGAGAGTCTCAAAAGATAAGGTACAATGTACGTCGAAATTGCTGGATGTTAGATCGACTGCCACTTCAAAATTCATACCTTTCCTAGTTTCAATTGGATTTTGCTCAATTTTTCACTGATCTGCTTTTCATGAACACCATAATGTGAAGTCCGTCAAGGGCTTCCCTGACCCAAGTTTGGTCACAACAAGCTTAACAGTTGCCAACTTATTTGTCACAAGTGAGTCCTTTGTATAAATGCAGATAAACTGTAACATTTGATGAATGATGGACGCCATTGAATCCCATAGTCTAGACTCCATCATAAGTGGGCGAGACAATAGCTATGTTCATACAGATCCGGCATAGTTTTAAAGTTTGTTGCAAACAACGATCAACTAAAAAGTACGGTTCACATGGGACCAGAAAACCAATATTCAAATTGAATTAACAGCTAGGAAAGCTGCTTGTAATATTGCGCTAACCTTAAGATCTGTCAAGGTTTGTAACTTTAACATAACTTAGTTTTGTAACCACAAGTGTGTCCGCACAGTCCCTAACTGCAAAAAACTTTGAAGGTTAAACCAAAGCCTAGCCTTAAAGTTAACAGAATATGGTGTGAACCTTATTAATAAATGGACAAACTGTCATTGATGAACATCCCTCCCCCCACAACCCCCAGTCCATTAATGTGCTGCTCATATTATACCTTTAAAAATATGAATGAAAACTAACTGAAAACAGCTTCTTACCAATGTTGCTAGTTTGTCACCATCAAGAAGATGGAAGCGCTGATCTACAGAAAAATAAGAAGAGAATATTTCAATTGATTTCCAAATTGAAACTGTTCTGAAATTTGTAAACTTTCAATGGAACCTTCAAAGATAAAGGTGAGTTCTGGTCATTCAATTGTATTGTGAAAGAAAAGGTGTGGAATGGATCAGAAAAAGTTGATCATGTAACATGTAAGTATTGGTGTATACTATAAAGTTCTGGAGTCATCAAAATCATAATAAATTTGGCCTAGTCTTGGTAAAGTAACAAGCACTGTACACAGAAAGATGTATATGGGACTACACAAATGGTGTCGGGGCTACTAACCTTGATTTCCAAATCTTTCTATGCTCATTACTCAGCCAGTATACATTTTCTACCCAAATTGTTTGGCAAATGACATTTATTTGTAATCTTGAACATTCAGTGTAAGTTTTGTTTGATTCTGTGAGAATTCATTTTCTTTTTTTTACCAGAACTCTCCTTTATCTTTAATATAGTGTACCAATCACCTGAAATAATAATCATTTTTATATAGCAAGAATGTATGAAATCAATCTCAAAAACCTTAATCTGGCATTCTTGAGATTTCGTTTACCGTTTATAGAGCATGAAGAAAAAACAAAGGCTTACTTAAAACTCTGTACACAGAACCCAAGTCTGCCTTCCGAGCAAGCCCTAGTTTATACTGGCTCGTTTGCCTGCGTCTCCTAATCTAGTGTGTACAAACAAATGGTATTGGGGTTCAAAGGTTCAAATCATTTTTTCAGCTTCAGGGGGTAATTCTAATTGGCAGTAGAATGGCAATTATGAAATAGATAGGTAAGTATAGCAAAATGAAGTAGATAGAAAAGATTAAGAAAATCTAAATAATGAAAAAGATTCCATAAATTCATACCTGTATCTGTGTAAAAATAAACAATACGATCTGCATCTCCATCAAATGATACACACTTTACTGCAACCTTGCTTGGCATACCTAAAGGAGAAATAAGAAAGAGTATTAAAAAAATCCTCCTTTGTAGGAATTAGTATATATTTGAAGATAATGAATTTGGTGCAATCCTTTAGATCCAAATTATGTTTTTTTTTCTTTCAAATACAAGTAAATTTTATTTGAAATCACTCAAACAACTGCAAAAAATTCATGTACAATATATGATTGATAAAGAAATAGGAAATTAATAAAAAGCAACAGCTACAGAGAAAAGTGAAAAGGGGAAAGATATGACAGAAATAACACAGCAAACAGCTGCGGTGATGAATGATGATTAATATCAAGATAACAAGCTAATAATCATTATAAACTTAAATGAGCAAAAGACTGCATAAAGTACCCTGGTAATAGTGATATTTAAAGAGTTTCTGATAAAACGGTCTAGGTGTCAAATCAATCTAAAGAAGTGTTCATTTTATTTTGGAGTTAAAGCAATTTAGAACTAGATCGAGTGATGAACCATAAATCTCTGTGTAAAAAAAAGGATATTTGAAAGTGAATTTGGATCTAAAGTTAGACCAACATCTTTCTAACATCAGCAGACTTCAGGCACCTTATCGCTCTCACCGTCACAAACAAACGTGTCTAGACTTTTTTCACTTTGTCTGGTGATTAACTTGTAATTCAAATTCAAATTCATGTGAGTGACATTGTGATAATTCAGTTTCATGTATTGTATTGTACTGTATTTATTAAACTTTTTAGCACCTTGTACTCATCTGAATCATCACAGTATATGTAATACATCAATCTCAACTTCCTAGTCATACCAAGTTCTTCATGAAACTAGATGGAACTTCAACTGCGCGCAGTCGAAAGTGATGCATCCGTCATAGAGCAATTTTACAAACCAAAACGGAAGAAATTTTTCAAACGCAAGTTCGGTTGTAATACATTAACAGGTTCTCAGAATATCGTGATCACAAGCTATTTCTCATATACATGTATGACCCTTTGATGTTTGACCTCATGACCCTAAATGCAAGATACATAATGTATGGTAATCCATCCATCAGTTCTAATGATAATTCAATGACAAGCTATTTTCACATACATAATGAGCCCCATGACCTTTGACCTTGTCCTCATGACCCCAAAATCTAATCACTTCATTGCCTCAGCAAGATACATACATGTCCTGAGTTTCATGGTAATATGTCCATCTGTTCTAATGATGTGATCACAAGCTATTTTTGCATGTAGGAATCCATCAGTCGGTTCTTGAGATAACGCGATCACGAGAACGGGACGTACGTACAGACGTACGTACGGACGGACAACCCGAAAACATAATGCCTCCGGCTACTTTGTAACGGAGGCATAAAAATACAGTTTACTTACATATACAATAATTCTAGACAAAATCTATTGAATGTTTCTTTTTCTATCACTTCTTTGATAAGTCATTGATTATTTGTGACACATTTATCATATGATGTTGTGACAACCACAATAATTGTGTAAAACATAAACTTATTATAAACATTTATGCTCAGTACATCATGTACTCAGCACAAAATACAACAAACTGAGGAACATCTTATCAAAGTGAAAAAGACAATAGAGTGCTGGTGATAGTGAATATTAATTGTGCCTATAAGAGCTTACCTGAAGATGGTTTTTGTTGTATTTTCACGTAGTCTGCTCCACACTGTTTAGAAATCATCATGATGGATGGACAGGACAATAAAGAAGAGAGTATAGAGCACACAGAAATGAAAGGAAAAGAAACAATCCTTTTTAGTTTTTTAGCAAAGTTATTCTTTTTTTTTCTTCATCTTTGGCATAATTTTTAAATTCTCCTTTATAGAATTTTCCTTTGTTATTGTTGTACATGTCCTTACAAATGACTTCAAGAAGAATGGTCCGTAATAAAAAGTGGCTTGGAAAATGATCAATTAACTAGGAAAGCAAACAAATCTCAATAAATGCTGGTATTTATCTCTCAATAATAAATTGTTGCTCTGTATCTATATTCATTATCAGAGGTACAATCAAATTCACAAATATTACTGCAAACGTTTCATCAATTTTGCATCCTTCCACCTTACCATCTTAGTGGCTTGGAAAATGATCAAATAACTACGAAAGCAAACAAATCTCAACAAATGCTGGTATTTATCTCTCAATAATAAATTGTTGTTCTCTATCTTTATTCATTATCCATTACCATCTCCACCTTACCATCTCATTGAGTTTTCCATTTGATCCATCATTACAGACAGTGATGTTAAGAAGAGAGGTCTCTAGGTGGTTAAGAAATTGCATCACTTTAAGAGCACCAACTCCATTAGCTCCATCCAGCAAAATCTGATTACTGTAGTCTCCTCCTCCAGCATCATTCTGGAAAATGTTTTGGTAAAATACATGTACATTAATTAGTATTCTTGTGGAAAACATTACCTTAGTAATGATTTACAGCTGAAAAGTATATGCCATCATTGTCTAGTTAGCAATTCAAAGAGAAGGCCAAATTCTGGTAAAGGTGAGTTCACACATGATCTGTGAGCTTTCTCTTTTTCTTTATGTTGAAGAATACCATAACAGAACTGTCGTATGAGAAATACACACTGTACATGAAGAGCTTGGATCCAAACATTTATGCCACTTGTTTTTGTAGTCCCATATACTCATTTCTGAGTGCAATGCATGTGATTTTCAGTGAGATAGAGTCAGGTTCTTATCATTTTGATGACTCCAAAACTTTATAGTAGACACCAGTGGGCCTGAATGAAAAAAAAACACATCTTAAGCCAAATTGGCCAATGTGTGCATATAATTGGATCCATTCAAGCTTATGAAATATGAAAATGGTTTGGGGCATTTTTCAACACTCTCTCAACCACTTGGATTTCTTAGAACTTAAAAAATGTTATTGATTTTTTTTTTATCATACTATGACAGTTGAAAAACTTTATGTTGCAATTAGCTCATGCCTAAGTTTTAACGAAATTAATGTACTATGTTTGGTTACTGAAGTAGTGCAGATATTACCCAAAGACTTCCAAAGTTCAACCTGTGGGAAGGGAGTAAATATTCCTCCTGTAGCAATCTGAAAGCTCTCCAATTTATCTTATTCTTTTAATGCAACCTTTCTTAAAATTGTGATGATTGTTAAATGTTATGTTGAAATGTAATTATTTTGTCTGTATTTATATATTTATATTTGTATGTACATGTATAGCACCTATGTCTGAAGGCAGATTTTATGTATTTTTTACATGACAATAAACTATCTTGAATCTTGAATCAATCTCTAGTCATCAATGTTCTGAGAAATCCTAAATTAATAGGATGATTATATGATTATACAAGTATGTCCTTAAGCCCATATGAGGAAAACAAAATGATGATGTAGAGAGCTATTTTACCAGCTTGTGAAGGCTGTGGAATGCATGGGCCAGTTTCTGGTAATATCCTTGCTCTGTATGCTGTCCGTAGGCTTGCTTAGTGTTGTAGCATCTTACCATGTAATGAAGCTGTGGTGTTGAAAGCAATCCTGCGAATAAATATTTCAGGAAATAAAGAAAATGGCACTTCAAATAGGTAAATGTACGCCAGGGTCCTGCTATAGCTTGGGTGTAAAGAACCTTGCTAGTAATAGTTGCCTTGCAATATCTCGAGAGACTGCATTGATGAAGCACTGATTGATTATCCATACCAACCTCAGATTTAAGGTTAGACAAGATGTTACGTTAAAAAAGGATATTTGAAAGTGAATTTGGATCTAAAGTTAGACCAACATCTTTCTAACATCAGCAGACTTCAGGCACCCTATCGCTCTCACCGTCACAAACAAACGTGTCTAGACTTTTTTCACTTTGTCTGGTGATTAACTTGTAATTCAAATTCAAATTCATGTGAGTGACATTGTGATAATTCAGTTTCATGTATTGTATTGTACTGTATTTATTAAACTTCATTGATGTACATCAATATTCTGTTTATAAATATATAAATCAATTTACAATGTAATGTAACAAATCAATATTCTGTTTGGAAACATATACCAGTATATCATATCAATCAATTTAAAATGTAATGTAACAAATCAACATTCTGTTTGTAAAAATATATATTGTATAAATCAATTCACAATGCAGTGCTTATAACAAAACAGAAGGAAAATTATATCCAGCAGAAACACTCCTTTGTTGTCTTTTGTAATAACATGACATAATGCATAGTAATATAATGTACCATAATAAATCCTAATTGCAGAGTTGGTGCTCAAGGGAGGAGGGGAGGGGGCACAGTTACCCCTCCCCCCACAGGACTATTTAAATTCCCCCAAAATACCCTTTTGAGGAATGAAACCCCCCCCCCCTTACTTCAGATAAGAGCCCTTTCAAGTACCCTATTTACTTCAGATAAATGGCCCTTTTTCTTTCTAATAAGTGCCTCTTCTCCCTTCTCATAAGCCCCTCTTCTCCTTTCTCATACCCACTCTTTTCACCTCTGATAAGTGCCACTATCCAAATCTGCTAGGTGCCCCTTTTACCTTCACAATTATCCTTTTTCCTTTGAAATAAATGCATATTTCCTTTCTAAGAAGTGCCACTTTTCATTTCTGGTGAGTACCCCTTTTTAGGTATGATAAATGCCCCTTTTGATTTTAAGCGGTGCCCCCTTTTCATTTCAGGTGATTACCCTTTTTACCTGGACATGTGCCCCTTACTTTGACAGGTGCCTATTTTCCTATCTAGTAGGTGCCCCTTACTTTGACACGTGCCTATTTTTCTATCTAGTAGGTGCCCCTTACTTTGACAGGTGCCTATTTCCTATCTAGTAGGTGCCCCTTACCTTCTTATAAAAGCCCCATTTTCACCTATGATATGTGCCCCTGTCAAATACGATAATTTCCCCTTGTTACTTTTGATGTAATTGCCCTTTCATAAGTGCCCCCTTTTTACTAATATATTCCACCGCCTCTCACAAACTGTGACCTTTGCGGTCATCCAAAGAGTCATATCTAGTTTCACAGAATCTAAGCAGCTTTGTCTAGTATTAGGAACCTATTTTTGTAAAACCAAAATGAAAGGCAGTAGAGCCAGGGATGGGGGGGGGGGGGGGCAGGGGACATATTGCCCCAAATTTCAAAAGAACAAACTGTGCCCCTTTGAGAAATATAAATGTGTGTGTTTCTAAAGCTTTCAAATGTCTTTTCTCTAGATCATTAAGTGTGTCCTTTTTACACTAAAACGTTATCCCCTATAAACTATAAACCTTCATTATCTATTAACTGCTAAAAGAAACAGTTTCCAGCCTATCATCCATTTAAGTCCTTTTTCAAATTCATAGTATGCTAAGGTAATCAAGTGCCCTTTGTTCAAGATTATAAAGATTTAGACAATATAGTAGTTTTCAAACTCAAGCCAACTGCATTTACTTGCTTTTATTTCATGTAAGGCAAACAAAACCTTCTTTGAATATTTCAAGGACTTAGTCTTACAACTGTACATGCTTTTAATCTTAAAATCCAGATAGATATTTTTTTTTTTTTAGCGGTACTCAAAATGAATTCGCAAACCAAAATATATTTGATTATGACAATTGCTTTTTGGTCTATTTATAAAATGATTATTTTTTGTAATAAGTATGGGTATGAAAATAGAAATTTCAATTTGATTTATTCATTTAAAGTAGCCACACGAAGAATCAAAAGTGTTTTGAATTGATGCAAAACTCATATCACTGCAAAGGGGAAGCCTTGTCGATCAAATACAACAACTCTTCTCTTCAAAATATGTTTGGGGCCACAGTAATCAACTCTCAAAAATGTTAGTTTTGAGATCCAGATTTTCTGCCTTCAGCGGTCCTTTGTAGAGCGTCAATATTTGTGACGTCACATATGGGACACGGCTGGCTAGCCGCATACACTATGAACATGACTGACAAAGAAAGCGGACAAAATATACAGTTCCTCAGGTAGACAAGGGAACATCCCTTCACTGCTATTATGTAAAAATGTGTAGAACAGGTGTCACATGCATATTCACCTTTTTACAAAGCAGTGAAGGGATGTTCCTTTGTGTACCTGAGGAACTGTATATTTTGTCCGCTTTCTTTGTCCGTCATTTTCATAGTGATACTGCAACACGGCACTGAGCTGTTCGTCCAGTGTGTGACGTCACGATTCAGAGCTCGCTACGCTTTTGTGTTTGACTTGCGTTCAGGGGCGTTCGGGGGTCTAATGAGGATCTTGAAAAATTGCATTTTACGCCTTTCCATGATATCTATATGATTTCTCAGCAAATTGTTTGTGTTATTCAAGAGAAAATCTTTCTATCCATATGTAATTTGTTCTAATTATGAGTTGTTAGTGAATTTTCTTGGAGTAGCTCCTTTAAGAGAGAAATGGCTCACAGAATAGAAATAAATGAACATTTGAAAGTACAAAATATGAAATTTCCTGCAAATTTGTTTACCGGTAGTTATATTTGAACAAAATTATGTGTATTATTGATGTTCCATTGTTTTGCTTAATTGTAAGTGAAATAATGTTGTTTGAATATTGCATGAACACCTCACTAGAGGAAAGAGGAAAAAGAGGAAAAAAATGTTAAAATTAAAAGACTGAGACATCAAGATTTGCTATTACCCCACATCTCCCAATGAACATTACATTTCTCACAGCCTCCCCAACATAACAACTGTGAGTTGCTTTTTTAATTGAGTGATCAAACAACAATGTAACAGGTATAATGTTACTGAATGCTACTGAATCCAATGACCGGGGTAATAGTATATCTGTAAAGCCCTTAGAGACATTGTATTTAGCGCTATATAAAAGCGCAGAGCTGCCAACCTTGTGCGACCAAAAAAAGGAACCATGATGGCAAAAAAAAGGAAATCATTAAAACAAAAACTTACAACCATGCGCGAAATACTTCCAATGCAGAAATGTCCATTCCCTATGCAGTTTTTACCATATTAGGACCTATAGTTTATTTACAAGTACCGTAAATCTCTGTGTATAAGACAAACTTAATTTCCACCGGAAAAATTCAAAAGTCGGGGGTGCGTCTTATACCTGTACCCGGTAGAGCACCGGCATGGTCCCAGCTCACTCACACATTGGATTTCGACTCACCAATCTAAAACCAAACTAGCCTATGTCTGAATTTCTGTTTGGACTCAAAGAAAAATGTGTCTGTCATCTTAAGTTTTAAAATGACATTGTTACTATAATTTGTGATAAGTTCACAAGCACAAATCGGTGCCTTCAATTTTGCCCTCCTCGTAGCAAAATGAGGGTTTTCTAACGTACTAAGGTATCTGCTAAAAATAGGGGTGCGTCTTTTACACAGGCGAGTGTATACATGGAGATCTACGGTAGGTATTTTGTTGTTATTTTGGAATTATCAGCATTTAATTCTTTGTGCGAATATTTTTCTCTTCAAGTATATTTTAACCTTAGTTTTCTATTGACTTTGTGATCGAAATAACATTTTAGGGCAGTTGTTTTTAATTAAAAAAATATTTTAAAAACGTATTTTGTATAAAATAAATATGTAAATTGGATGAAAAAAACTGAATAATTCTGGGAAAAACGGAATGGTTGGCAGCTCTGAAAGCGGAATATCATTATTTATTATTACCTGCATTACCATATTGCAGTAAATTAGAGTTCTGGTAACAATCAAATAAAATGTCTATAAAAAAATTAAAACATACAATTATCACCAAATTGTACTGTACATGTATAAATATAAATAGTATCTGCCATATGATTTGTAAAAAAGAATTGTAATTCAGAGTAATTAGCGAAATCAGAAAAACAAGTAAGCTACACCACCTATGATAACATTCATTTTACAAATGGTTCCTCAACTTAGATTCACCATGTAACGGTATACTCAAAATTTGGCTTTAATCTCCCCAATACTGTTTGAGAAATAATAACCATTAGGCCCCCAAAAAACGTTGTTTGGTTGTCCTTGATTGCTATTCTTCTAATTAATTTCATTGGGATGTCAAGCATTAAATCATACAAAGTCAATAAAACACAGTTTAATGTCATCTTTTTTAACGTATAAACAATGAATGTTTGCAAGACGCGCAGAAAGTGTTTTGGCTTTAAAATACAGCACTTTTTAAAATGAGTTTAGGAATGTTCAGTACCTGATTTTAATGAATGGCATTTTCACATAGAAAAAATGAAAATGGCAAGTTAATAATTTTGTTATCTGCTGCAATGCAAGACCTCATGTTGGATCGTAAGAGTGGCCAGTGCATTCTGCCTGGGAGCCTCTAAAGGTGGTACCAGCACCACATCATGATCCACTCTGCCACAAGAATCCTGTAGTGTAGGAGCCTCTAAAGGTGGTACCAGCACCACATCATGATCCACTCTGCCACAAGAATCCTGTAGTGTAGGAGCCTCTAAAGGTGGTACCAGCATCACATCATGATCCATTCTGCCACAAGAATCATGTAGTGTAGGAGCCCCTAAAGGTGGTACCAGCACCACATCATGATCCACTCTGCCACAAGAATCCTGTAGTGTAGGAGCCTCTAAAGGTGGTACCAGCACCACATCATGATCCATTCTGCCACAAGAATCCTGTAGTGTAGGAGCCCCTAAAGGTGGTACCAGCATCACATCATGATCCACTCTGCCACAAGAATCATGTAGTGTAGGAGCCCCTAAAGGTGGTACCAGCACCACATCATGATCCACTCTGCCACAAGAATCCTGTAGTGTAGGAGCCTCTAAAGGTGGTACCAGCATCACATCATGATCCATTCTGCCACAAGAATCCTGTAGTGTAGGAGCCCCTAAAGGTGGTACCAGCATCACATCATGATCCACTCTGCCACAAGAATCATGTAGTGTAGGAGCCCCTAAAGGTGGTACCAGCACCACATCATGATCCACTCTGCCACAAGAATCCTGTAGTGTAGGAGCCCCTATTTGGTACCAGCACCACATCATGATCCACTCTGCCACAAGAATCCTGTAGTGTTGAGATTGACTCATCCAAGCCAACTACACTACTCTGCGTATTTGTGCGTTCCCTTATTATTATTTTTGCAACGATAAGTTATAGCTTACCATAATCTGTAAGTTGACCTTCCATGGCAGTGACCCCATCCTTTAGAGACTGAGCAAGAACTACACTGCTGGGTCTGGACAAGTCAAACATAAAGTAAAGATACATACATACATATCATTATAGACAATCTAATATGGGTAGACAAGTATCAAAAAGTAATCTTTACAGGCAGCCACGCACTTTGTGAAACGTTTCATTGAACAGTTACAAATTCCCACAATGTTAATTGCATATCATTTGAGGATAAATGAAAGTCTTTGTGTGCACAAACTTCTATTTAGTTTTATCATATAATTCATCAGAGTACACAACTGTTAGACTTCAAGTTAAAAGTGTTAAATGCCATTTCTGACCAGTTCTGCATTTAATCTGGTATACAAGAAACCTTAAACAATAGCTTTCTGGAATTATTTTCTTCTTCATCCCCTGTAATGGTCTATGTTCAACATTTTCCATACAGATGCATAATAATCACTGAGTAATAGCCAGGACTTGGTGTATAGACACATAGCTTTCTGTGAGACACAAGACAAAGCCAATTTGTTTTATGCACAGCCTTCATGGCCTTAAACCAACAAGTGGGATGACTCGCATCAAATAGGACTATCAAAAGGTACGTAAAAAATGAAGGCCTCATGGTGCATATCTTTTAATCTGATGGCAAAGCTGGAGGTGATGATACATAGTAACTAGGAAGTCAACAACAAAAAATAGTGTACCGTAAATCTCCGTGTATAGGGCGCACCTGTGTATAAGGCACACCCCTATTTTGGGGGCAAAAAAAAAAAAAAAAAAAAAATTGTTTTTTGTTTTGTTGTTGTTTTGTTGCCGAAAATCCACGCGGGGAAGGACCTTCATTTTACATCGAGGTGCAGATGAAGTTGTGAACTTGTCACAAATAATAGTAACAATGTCGTTGTAGAAGAATGTGTAAGATCATTAATGTAAATTAAAAACAGGTCCAGACTCTAAGGCTTCATGATACCAAGTGTCCCACACCAGCCTCATCACATCACCTAGCACAAGCACTGTGTTCTATGCCAAACATCAATAGTCATGCATGATATGAATAGCATCCTCTAAATTTCTGACAATGGAGTACCTTGTGGTACACCATTTGTTATAGAAAAAAAAATTGAGGAATTATTATTATAAACTACATATTGAGATCTATTAGAAAGATTACTTTCAAACCAAGATGACAGTCAAATTTGAGTGTTGTAGTTTCGGAGTGGTGAGTAAACACACTGATTACTGAGCTGGGAGACATTGCCAGGCATAGCGCCATAAATCGAAACTTTAAAAAAAAAAAAAAAAAAAAAAAAAAAAAAAAAAAAAAAAAAAAAAAAAACTTTTTTCTCTACCTGTGTATAAGACGCACCCCCGACTTTCAAATTTTTTCGGCGGCAAAAAAGTGCGCCTTATACACGTAGATTTACGGTATTCGTTTAAAATCAAGAAATTTGATACTCATATAAATTAAACAATAATAATCAGAAGTGAGAGGGCCATGCTGGCACAGGAGCATGCAGCCAGCCAGCGTGCAGAATGGAGATCAAGAGCGGGCAAGTGAGAGGGCCATGCTGGCACAGGAGCATGCAGCCAGCCAGCGTGCAGAATGGAGATCAAGAGCGCGCAAGTGAGAGGGCCATGCTGGCACAGGAGCATGCAGCCAGCCAGCGTGCAGAATGGAGATCAAGAGTGCGCAAGCAACACTCTTACACCATCTCAAAGTTTGATTTTGTTCTGAAAACTTTACTTTGAAAAACAATTATCAAAAATCAGTGTACATGGCCAGAATAATCACAATCCAAGCTTTGATTTCAAACCTCTATTCATGAAAACTATATAAAAATTGTGGCAATCATGATGAAAATAGATCTCAATTTCAGAGTTTCGCCCATGAAGTCTAACCATTAACAGTATGGACCTCATACCAACGGATCTGCTGAGAAGTAGGGACTAAATGTTTACACACATGTACAAAACAAATAGGAGAAAAATAATAAACAATGTTGAAACACTTACTTTTTAATGCAATGCTCCAAAATCATACTATTAAAGGGATCCTATAACTTTGTCTCAGGTTCTGAAACAAAATCCTGGATTTAGCTCATGCTGCAAACGTAATTATAAACCTTTAGGTCAGTCAGGAGCCCCATGAGTTTAACAAGCCGATCACCTGTCTGATTATCAAGATATTTATGATTGGAAATCGAAACCAAATTTGCGTTTTCCTAACGGTTTTCATACCACTACAGTCTATTGGGGAAAACGAGTATGGTTAAAGCGGTCACACAAAGATTTTTACTTTTTTAAGGCACTTCTTGGTAGTTGTGGTGGTGGTTATTTTACCTGGCTGCTAAGAAAGCATAAATGCTTGTTAGTAAGCAACCAGACGGCCGGCAGCTTTAGGTCCTCTCTGAGGGACCTGGTAATGAGGATTAATGCCTTACCAAAGGGCACTAGCGCATCGACTTGGTTTCAATATTACACCATATCACAGACACTGATAACACTTAGGGATGTGCATCTCAGATTTAACATTTTAAACGATGCCTTGAATGTAAATGACCATAATAAAGCAGTTCTGTAATTTTCAGCTGATTCACAGCTCAATATCATGTAGAAAAACTGAAGAAACCCCGGCTTATTTTCAAAGTTTTGGAATGGGGTCATGAATTTGGTTCAAATGAACATATTGGAAGCATATCAGTTTTACAATAGTCAATTATCGTTGTCGCCGTTGAAATCAAGTCTAAAGTGATGAAATTGTAAATATAAACTCTTTATGTTTCATAGCTCCCTCTCAAGACTGATATTACTGTAGCTTTAAAACAATATTTCTTGACTACAATCGACCGATTTGCTATTCCTGTTTGGAAATTATATACGCTATCCAAACTGCATATTTTGACATTTTTGTATGGTTGCAGCTACCATGTAATGGCCTTAGGCGCTATTTGAAATTTTTATTTCACAAAAGCTCTTGATTTTGTTGGCTATCGGTCTAGTGAACCTTCTGAAAAGTGGCTTGAAGACCCAAAAGACTGACATTGTCCAGAACCTTTGTCAGACGGGGGGGGGGGGGGGGGGCTTTTGGTCTTGTGGGCTATCGGTCTAGTAAACCTGTAAATAGTTCAGAAGTTCCAAAAGACCCATATTGTCAGTCTAGTGGGCTGTAGACAAAATGAAAGTGATATGGAGACACTTTCTTGTTTCCCTAAGTGATCTCATTTTTCGATAACTGTGTTGTCGAAATACACATACATTTACATGAACACGCATCAAGTATCCCTTACATGAAACATAACTACTCACACAAGTCATATTGAAAATTCATCAAACATACCGGTAAGCCCAAATTACATGTACAGTCAAACCTGTCTATAGCAACCACCCAAAAGAAACACAAAAAGTGGCCTTTGTAGACAGGTGGTCTTTGTAGACAGGTTCTTTAAGTACATGCTTAAATAAGAAACCATTTTCAAGGGAAACAACAAATGTGGCGTTTGTAGACAGGTGGTCTTATAGACAGGTGGTCAATAAAGCAGGTTTGACTGTACAAAACAATTCTATGCAATTTCATATTTCTCATTACCGTTTATTTCAAAGCACAGTGGGCATGCACTGCTTACCTTGTATCTCTGGCTATAAAGACATTAGCAGGTGCTAAGATGTCAACCTGTGCTTCTTTTACCACTGTCTTCACTGTACACTCAAGGTCCTCATCGCTGCAATCATATTACAGAAAAAGATAGAAACAAATTAAAGAAATCTTACAGATAGTACATGTATTCATTTTTCACTTCTGGTAAATATGACAAATGACATTTCCAAAGAATCATACAATCAACACTGAATGATCGCAACACTACAAAACATGACTTTAAAAAGTTATGAAGAAAAGATATATGGACTTGGTTTATTACCATTGAAACTTGTACATTAAGTGCTTTCAGTTTGCATGTCCAGGTTTGCTACTTTTGGAGAAATGGGGAGCCCATTGTATGATTGCATGTTGTTGAATAGAGTATTTCCCCTCAAACCTCGAAAGTATGTAGTATGTACACAAATGTAGTTTGTCTCGATTTGTATTGTTTACATCAATATGTTTGTAAATGTTGTATTTACATGTATGTTGAAGGGCCTCCATGGAAATCAGTATTTAACTACTGATGGAGCCACTCTACTAAAAAAAGGACTAACAAATAAAAAAATAAATAGAAACTGCTTCTACGACCTGGTTGTGACTCAGCAATATGCCATCTTTCCAACTGTTATTGTTCATTCAACACTGGTGTACTACTCTGATAGCATTATTGGCTGGGATTGAGGTGACTGGCACACTGACACTATATGAAATGAGTGTTTTATCCTCATCTATTTTGGATATTTCTGATTCTCTCTATGCAGTCTGCAGTCTTTTGAATGTGATGTTCACACATGATCTAGTATGACCTTTGACTTCATTACCCCGAAATCTAATCAGTTCATTGGTTCTGCAAGATACATACATGACCCAAGTTTGGCGCTATTCTATCAATAGGTTCTTGAGATAATGCGATCACAAAAACGGGACGTACAGACGGACGGACGGACAGAAAACATAATGCCTCCGGCTACTTTGTACTGTAACGGAGGCATAAAAAGGTAATTGCTTGTTATTCAGCAGAGTTTTTGAAACGTAGTCTAAATCCTTTATCATTTCAGTAAGATCACTCCTTTAATAAAAGTTGCCTTGAAAAAGAATACCAGTAGTATAAACAATTTCCTGCAAAAAGTCTGCATTGTACATGTAGTATGTACACTAGTATACAAATACTAAAAGAAATCCAACATACGGAAATCCAATTTATACATGTACTGCAAGGTAGTGCAGTTAATGCAGCTCAGTGTAAATTGCATTGCTTGAGCGCCGTGACACTGCAGGAGTTGCCTGCTGGAGGGCATTTGAACTCCTGTACGCTCTGTGTGTGTGCAAAATTTGCGGAGGGGTTAGGCATACTATCACAAGGTTAGGCTTACTATCACAGGGTTCTGCAAAAACCCTCTGACACAATGATAGATTGAGATGCACCTTGTCCTGTGATATAGTTTTGACCAATCAGTGAATAAGAATCTATGTACGAGATATATAATATACAATAAGCGTGTGCTTGACATGACCTTTTGCAGGAAATGCATATTTCTTATTGGACAGATGGTTTCTTGCAACGCCTCTGGCCGCTCCATTGCGTAGTATTGGACCATTTTTTGTTTCTGTTCTCATTAATTTGCTTTGCACCGCATTTGCAGAGTTAGTTAGCCCTTCTTTTTTGCAGGGCCAACTCACCCCGTACTAGAGGTGGGACTAGCCCACTTTGGTAAATTAGTGTCTGAACAGAAAGTGGACTAAGACCCCCTTTAAGCCCCACATACAGTCCCTGGCTAAGCACAATTTTACCAGTGTGAAAAGCACATCTATGTCGGATTGACATGATGCAGGAAATTGAGGGTACCCTGGCTTTTGATGAAATTGGAACTGCAGCTCTTACTTAAAAATAAAACAATTTAATACAGAGAAAATACTTCTGAGTAGTGCTGTAACATCACGGATATCTCCAATTCCGTTTAACCGCCAGTCAAAACCGGACGGTTTTGTTTTTTGTTTTTTGTTTTTTACCGACTCTGTCGGCAACTTTCATTTAACTGCGAGGTGCATTTAAAGGGGCCGATTTGTGCTTGTGAACTTGTCACAAATAATAGTAACAATGTTGTTTTTAGAAGAATGTTTTTAGAAGAATGTGTAAGATCATTAATGTAAATTAAAAGTTGGATGAATTATTATTATAAACTACATATTGAGATGATGAGATCTATTACAAAGATTACTTTCAAACCAAGATGACAGACAAATTGGAGTGTTGTTCTAGTTTTGGAGTGGTGAGTCAACACACAGATTACTGAGCTGGGAGACATTGCCAGGCATAGTGCCAGGTGGAGGGGCATAAATCGAAACTTTAAAAAAAAAAAAAAAAAAAAAAAATTATTAAAAAAAAATAAAAAATAAAAAAAATTAAAAAAAATAATAAAAAAATCGGGAAAACGAAACCGTCCAATTGAAAACGGAATCCGCCATGGGCGGTCGGATACCGGACGGTTAAACGTTTGACTACAGCACTACTTCTGAGTCCTATGGGCGTTGCAAGAAAGTTGCAATTGATTGAAAGTTGCACAATTTTCAACTGATATTTGCAATCGATTGCACCTCAACTTTCTTGCGACGCCCCACTAGTCTCCTTAATTTCCTAGGATTTTGTTAGGATTAAAGTTATAACAATTAAATTAAGTTAACTAGATCTAGCTATTATTATCCCCCCCCCCCCTCTCTTTCTCTCTCTCTTACTAATACAGTGTTGGAAGAAAGTTGAGTTGCGATTAATTGCAAATTTTCAAATAATCGCAAGGTTGATTTTGGGGATTTACAATTGATTGCAAAACGCCCCACTACCAGTACTATGTAACTTACCTAGAATTTGCCATCCGAGAAGCATAACCTTCCCAGTTTGGTACCAGCATCTCTCCCATAGGCTCTACTAGCTTCACACCATTATCCTCCTCTGGGTTGTGGGAAGCGGTTATCATCACACCAACAGTGGCTGGTATAAAGAGGAAAGGGAAATTAACAATCAATACCTATCACATTTATAATAAAAGGGCTCAGGGTTGGACGGCTCTTTAAGTGCCTTTTTTAACAAATATTGTTTATTTTTGTTAATTCATGCACCATTTCTTGCCATTTACAAAATATTACATTTCCGCTTGGTCTACACACACCCTCATACTACAATCTGATGTATTCTGATTACTAAGTCTGCCCCACTTGCCTTTCTTTCTTTCTATCTACAGTATATATATAGAGTGGTGAAGTGTGACGTCATCAAAAATCTATTTTTTAGAATTTTCACATTTTTCTTCATTTTCCGAAAGAGCATCAAAATAATGTCCAAAATGTCGAAAACCAATTGAATATGTTAAGCATTGGCTGAGATATGACCATCTGAATAAATATAGTTCCTATAGGAACTCAGTGTTATTTGCTCTGGCTTGTAATGGTTAGGAGACAGAGCAAATAACATGAATTCTCTCACTGACTTTTTATCTCTCTATTTATGATCTTTTTATCTCCCTCTTACATTATATCACAATATTTTGAAATGTAATTTATTTGCTTTCATCAGAGGGTGTCCTTGTAATTTATTGCTCAGAGCAGTTAATGTACAGTAACATAGATTGTGTAAGTTGAACCACAGCACATGTTGCTTTGTTAGGCTAGCACACAATTGAAGCTGAAAAGCCTATGTGCATAATCAGTTCCCTTGAAAATTAGTCTTGACTCTTTATACTTTTCAGCACTTTCCTGCACTTTCCAGCGAAAGTGATAAAAGGAACAATGTCATATCAAACAGGGATACTGATATGTAACATTATTGATGGAATCACCCATTTCATGGAGCTGACCATGAAGAACTTTGCGCATGGAGCGCTGTACAGTGAGTTTACAAGCTCTCATTGGCCGATCCGCTCGAGTGGCTTCAAATTAAAGTGAGAGAGGGCCTACTTAACCTAAGCGCAACTTAAGTTCAATGGCAAAGTCAAAACGTAATATTACGTCAAACCAGAGATTTTGTCCTGCTTTAAACAGGTGATGCACTTCACACATAACTGACGCATAAAATAGAAAAATCAGCTAACATCTCAGAATAAATTTCCAGTTTGTACCTTAAATATGACGAAAATGAGAAGTGTTCAAACTTACAAAATAGTTACGTAAGAATTAAAATTAAGTGAAATACTTAAGTGAAAAAATCATAACAAATAGAGGGTTTGACTGAAATGTAGTATAAAAAAAAACGAAAATCGCAAGTTTGCTCGTCGTAGAAATATCTTAAAGCATTGAGTTAATGGAAAACAGCGATAGTCAATAAGAACTTAGAAGGGCCCTTGTCGGTGCCAATTTAGTAAAATGAAGCTGTGATTTGCCAAGATCGGTTGAAAGGTTTGCGCATGTGCTAAATGTAAGCTAAAGTTCTACGTGCTGACTGTAAGAATGTAGCAGCATACCTTTTGTCTGTTTTGACCGAAGTGCCGCAAGAATTCCCATCCTATACATCACAGAATCTAGCAGATTAGCCCTGAAATGAAGACAAAAATGAATAAAATTAACATTAAAAAGAGGGTCATGCTTGGAGGACACCTGCCATTGTTTTTGTTTTCTTCCAGTGTAACACTGAAATGTGTTACACTGTATTTATTGCTCTGAAAACATGTCACAAGGCAGAGTGGGAGTCTGTGGGACAAGTAATGTTCATCATAAAGGCACCGCATGTGCAGTGCCGCAATGTCCCTGTAGAGTAATGCAGAAATAGTTTTTGTCTCTGATTCTGAAACAAAATCCTGGATTTAGCTCATGCTGCAATGATAATTATAAACCTTTATGACAGTCAATGGCCAATCAGAGCACTTGTTTAATATTGGCAGAGATGCCAAGTTCCAAGATCTTTTCTCCTTCTCCTTCTTTTTCTCCTCCTCCTCCTCCTCCTCCTCCTCCTCCTCCTCCTCCTCCTCCTCCTCCTCCTCCTCCTCCTCCTCCTCCTCCTCCTCCTCCTCCTCCTCCTCCTCCTCCTCCTCCTCCTCCTCCTCCTCCTCCTCCTCCTCCTCCTCCTCCTCCTCCTCCTCCTCCTCCTCCTCCTCCTCCTCCTCCTCCTCCTCCTCCTCCTCCTCCTCCTCCTCCTCCTCCTCCTCCTCCTCCTCCTTCTCCTTCTTCCTCTTCTTCTTCTTCTTCTTCCAGTGCAAGTACAGTCCTCTGGGTAGAGTATTTTTGTACTATTGTGTAGTGCTGTGAACGAGTGTGCCATGCTGCATTGTGTGAGCCTCCAAAAAAGAGGTCCCAAATGGTTTTAGACTTGAGTAGTAAAAAGTGTTCATTGTGCAAGTAACAATAACTCCTTCTCCAGCTAGTTTTGACTGTTGTGTTGTCTACATGTGTCTTCCAGCTTATACACGTAAGTAAGTCCGTAAATTTCGCGTTTGGAAATAAGCCATAAAAACTTTGATAACTGTATATAGGATAAAAATATACATATTTTTTTTCTTTCTGATTTATAAATCAGAAAATTAGATCTAGATGAGAGATCTCATCTAAATAAAGAAAATCGGGGGAGAAAGTTTTTGTAGAAAGTTTTGGTAGAAAGTTTTTGTAGAAAGTTTTTGTAGAAAGTGGTCCAGAGGCGGCTCAATCTCTTCCCCCTGTGCGAGCTGTCTGGGTTTCCGTCAGGGTATGGGGAATGTCAACAAATGTCAGTTTTATCAAAGAATGACCCATACGATACCAGACGGTTATTTCTGTCTAACGCTAGATGAGATGGATGAGTTAACGAACGAAAGAAAGAGACAGATATTTTCCATCTACTGTAGCCTACTCTAGGCTAACTCCAGGAAGCTCTGACGCCGCTTCAGCGGCTGCATAGGAAAACATTCAAACAGCGGGTTGGACGACATTATCTCAAAATATGCAAAGAGAGTAATTACAATTTTGACTCCTCTGGGCATCTCGCTAGCCACTAGCCACTTGAAATTATAATTTGAAGAAAATAGAAGTACGCACTACCGCGCATGCATACTTTCTCCTCGCCATGTTGAATCGTTGATACATGGAAGAATCGTCAGGGTAGGACGACGAATCACCCCCTTTTTCCAATCGAAGACTTCTTTAAATTATAATTTCAAGTGGCCAGGGAGATACCCAGAGGAGTCGAGCAACCTTAGATTGTAGTATTAGCAGAAGCGGATCTAGAGGGGGGGTTGGGGGGGTTGCAACCCCCCCCCAAAAAAAAAATCCGGGGACCGTTTTTTTAAATCTTATCTTTTTTTTTAAACTTGTAATTTTATTTTATTCTATTTCTATGTATTTATTTCATTTATTATTATTATTATTATTATTATTATTATTATTATTATTATTATTATTATTTTTTTTTTTTTTTTTTGGGGGGGGGGGGGGGGGTTGGGCGAACAAATGTCACAGAGTCCCTTGCCCCCCCCCCCCCCTCCATCAGCTTTTTTGAGGAAACGGGCCACCGCCGAAGTGACAAGCTAGGCCAGCGTTGCCGATTCTCATCCCCAAAATCCCCACATTAAAAAAAAAAAAAAAAAAAAAAGGAAAAAAAAAAGAAAAAAAAGAAAAGAAAAAAAGAACGCACGCTGGAGAGAAACCCTTTCAAGTGCAAATATTGTGAGAAGATATTCAACTCATCTGGTAACTTAACCAAACACATGATAACTCTGGATATAACTGTGTATTTAACTGTTACTTGATTTAAAAAGACGTTATCATGCACTGCTTTTTATGGTCTCCATTGTGTTAATAGATGCCAGGAAAACATCACTTACGGGGTTCAAATAAACACCCCAAAAAAAATCGGCTCGCCGCTTCGCGGCTCGTGGACGATGCTCTGCATCGTCATTATTGGTCAACCCCCCCCGAGCAAAAAGCTAGATCCGCCCCTGATTAGTAAGTCAAAATTGTAAATACTCCCTTTGGCTTTGCATATTTTGAGATAATGTCACCCAACCCGCTGTTTAAATGTTTTCCAATGCAGCCGCTGAAGCTCCGACGCTTCCTGGAGTCAACTCTAAGCCACTCCAGCAAAGCAGCATAGAGAGTCAATGCTAATGCGTATTGACCTGTAGCACTGCATACTTGCTGTAAGGCAGGTATTATTAGACCTATACACAAATATACACAACACACAATATAAGTATGTGTGCTCCGAGGCCGAGTCTACGCATATCTGAACAGTAACTCTCTCTCTCTCTAACTAGATTCTAAGTGCCATATCGTTTGACCTTGGCGATCACGCTGTTCCACAACCCTCTGCTCCTATAACCTTCTGTATTAGTACCAATCCCAGTTCTTTCACTCCTCTCTCTTCCAACAATTTCTGCAGACTGTCCATCCAAAGTATCCTCCTTCTTCCCCTAGATCTAGGCCTACTCCTTCTTCCCACAATTTTCCCTGTCAAAGCAAGATTCTCTAGGGTCTAGATCATCTAGGCCTAGGCTTAGGCCTTCTTTACCATGTTTACGTGTAATGTGACCAATGAACAGTACCGTAATAGAACAGAGATATTTACCGGCAACGAAATCCTGCGGTGCCATAAGAATACTTCTGGTCGATAGGTTTACAATGCCGGGAAGATCCTGTAGCTATTTTTTTGAAATACTCCATTTTCCCTGCTGAGCCTTAGTAGTAATGTGTTAGATTACTGCTAGTAGACATCTAGCTCTACAACAAGTGTGAGCCGATATGATTGCCCTGATATCGGCGCGCGATATTCGCCTATTCAAATCATGCAAACCAACGTAACGTAACCACTGATTCGATTTTTCCGTAGAGATCAGTGAATTGAACGTAACACGTTGATCCTGGCCGGAATCTATGAGACGCCGTTAGTAGACTTATTATATACACCAATTATTTATAAAATTGTAAATCATTATTTACCTTAATATAATATTTATATACGATGCAATAAAAAGTGTATGATTATTTATAAATAATCACTATATCCATTATATGTGAATAATGTTGTTAATATAGATCTATCCATAATATTCAAATAATAATGTTCACATTAATTATATATGAACAATGATTACACAAATAACACAATATTAGTTGCCCCCAAAATGTGAAAATCGAGCCGACCGATATCTCGCTCAGTGGTGGTGGTGGTGGTGGTGGGGGGGGGGGGGGGGGGGGGGGGGGGTTAGTGAAAGCACTTTTTTTTTGCCTCCGGAAATGTGAAAATCGCACCCACCGATAATTCGCTCAGTGGGGGGGGGGGGGTATCAATTTGTTTCATTAAACAAAATGAGGGGGTTAACCCCAAATTATTCTATGTTCTATAAAAATAGAAGTGATTGTAGCAAGGGCGGCGGAGCATCTTCGGAAGTGCCAGGGGGGGGGGGGTACCAACAAAAAAAGGCATTTTCCGGAAAATTGGGCACCTTCTTGAAAAGGGACACCTCAAAGCGAAAATATACAACTAGACATAGGAATTTTACCCCTATATTGTAATATATTATCAGGGATGATTTCAAAATTTGTTTCTCTCTTTTCTGGCAGTTGGGTGTAATGATCTGAATATTCATTTGCAAGCGAGCAAAATTAAATTAAGATTTGTGAGGTCGCAGTGCAAAAAACGAAATTTGTTAAAAAGGAAAAACTAATCCTGATGGGTTTTAAAGCACAATCTTATAATGAAAGACTGCAAGGACCTTTGATAAGAAATATAGTTATATAAAAAATAAATGCGAGCGAGCGTTACGAGCGAGCTTTGAGGGAAAATTTAAGAAAATGTTGCTCTTATTTGATTAAGGGCACACATGTTATGGTGAAAGGAAAAAGGGGCCACTTGTCAGAAGGGAAAAGAACACTTATTAGAAAAGAAAACGAGTAGAGCACGTGTCAAAGTAAAAAGGGCAATCATCAGAGGTGAAAATAGGGCACTTTTTGCAGCTAATATGGGGCACTCACCAGAGATGAAGAAGCAACGGAAAAGGGGCAATTATAACAAAGGAAAAAGGGCAATTATCAGAAGAAAATGGCACTATTTTAAAAGGACAAGGGACACATGTCAAAATAAAAAATGCACTTACGAGAGATACAATTGTGCACTTATTACAATGCTAATTGAGGGCACCTCTCAAATTTGAATAAGGGCACTCATCGGAAATGAAAAGGGGGACTTTTATAAGAATGAAAAGAGGCACTTGTCAAAATATTAGGGACACCTCTCAGATTTGAAATGAGACAATTATGTGAGGTGAAGGGGCACTTGTCAGAGATGTTAAAGGTAAAGACCAGTTATGGTCATGCGATTGCATTGTGAAAGAAACGTTGTGGAATCGATCAGAAAAGGTAAATCATCTAGCATCTAGCATCTGCAAGGTTCTGGAATCATCAAAATGATAAGAAATTTGGCCCATTCTTCGTAAAGTTACAAGCACTATACACAGAAAGATGTATATGGGACTACCCTATATCTCTCACAGACCATGAGAGAAACAAATTTACCAAATATATGAATTAGTAGGCGGTTTCCCGGCAATTTTTTTATCATCATGTATTAGTCAAAACATATTCTTTCACATGATTGGTAATGAGAGCTTCCATTTCATTTTTTGAAATTGGGGCATTTCCAATACTGGTCTTTACCTTTAAGAGGCCCTTCAAGTACATGCAAAAGGCCACTAACCTGAGATGAAAAGGGGCACTTGTGAGAATTGAAAGGGTCACTTATTACAAAGAAAAATGCGCACTTGTTAAATGAAAAGGGGCACCTATGAGATTTTGATATAGAGGCATCTATCAGAGGAGTAAAGAAGGGGCATTTATGAAAAGGGGAAGTGGTTCTTAACTTCTTATTAAAAAAGAAAAGGGGCGTTTATTAGAAAGAAAAAGGGGCATGTGTCAAATAAAAATTGGCATTTCTCAGATTTGAATAGGGGGAATTATCATAGGTGAAGGGGCACTTATTAGAGGTGGTAAGAGGACACTTTACCCATGTAAAAAGTGGCACTTTAGGAGGTACCTGAAAAAGTGTGGCACAATTGTGTCCACCCCTCCCGGCCCCCACTCAGTGTTATTTAGGGTATGCGTATGCGTATGCAAGGGGTTCCCTCCCTTTGAACGCACCCCCTAAGTCCGGTGTGTAAGTCAAACTAGGCCATTCTCAAGAACCTTGGTTTCCCGTTTTAACCTATGCAACGGTAACTTTTGATTTGAGACCTTCTTTCTTTACACAATAATCCGCTAATTAGTGTACATAATATTGTTCATCTAAGCTCTAACTCCAAGGCTCAAGGCGATATCTAGCTAGATAGGAATATCCGTCTCAGACCGTCTGGTTGGGGATCTTTTTTAAAATACATATTTTGACTTTCCAATCTCACCCAACACAAATTTACACAATATGCAGGAAAAAAATTATTTGGAGATAACTATTTAGGGTAGGTGCAGGCAATTGGAGACCACCAAGCTTGAACCCATCACTGTCTGTCCGTGATGGCTCCAATATTGCTAAAGCGCCATTTGTGGCCTTTAAAGATGAAGTTGAGTTCTGGTCATGCGATTGCATTGTGAAAGAAACGGTGTGGAACCGACCAGAAAAGGTTGATCATCTAGCATATAAGAATTTGTGTGTATTGCAAGGTTCTGGAATCATCAAAATGATACGAAATTTGGCCAAGTCTTGGTAAAGTTACAAACACTGTACACAGAAAGATGTATATGGGACTACACGAACACGCAGGCGCGTAGCCAGGGGGGGCGGTGGGGGCGGTCGCCCCCACCCAAAACGCCGGCCAAAAAAAAAAGAGAGAGAGAAAGAGAAGAAAAAAAAAGAGAGAGAACGTAGGAAGAAAAAAGGAAAAGGAGTCGAGAACGGTACAATGAATCGTCAAAGCTTCCGGGCTTCGCGCAGGAAGGGGGAAACTGAGTTCAAATTAAGAAATATGAGTCGGGAAAGGTACAACGAATCGTCTTCTTTCTCTAATAATTTAATGAAACGTCAAAGCTTCGCGCGAGAGGGGGGGGGGGGAACAGAATTCAGACAAGGATTAAGAGTCGAGAAAGGTACAACGAATCGTCTTCTTTCTCTAATAATTTAATGAAACATCAAAGCTTCGCGTGAGAGAGGGGAGGGACTGAATACAGATAAGGATTAAGAGTCGAGAGAGGTACAACGAATCGTCTTCTTTCTCTAATAATTTAATGAAACGTCAAAGCTTCGCGCAAGAGAGGGGAGGGACTGAATTCAGACAAGGATTATGAGTCGAGAAAGGTACAACGAATCGTCTTCTTTCAAAGCTTCCGCGCTTCGCGCGGGAGGGGGGGAAACTCCCCCTCCCTGCACCCACCCCCCTATAGGAGCGCGCTTCCCGCGCTCTTTAAGTGATTTGCACGCTTCGCGTGCTCACTACCGCCCCCCCCCCCTAAAATGAAATCCTTGCTACGCGCTTGCGAACACGTGGCGTAAAAAGCCGGTCCCAGATTTCTACGATGTTACATGCATATTTAGAATAATTATGAAGGCATTTGAAGAGCCATGCTTTTCAGGGAACATGTCTTATCTGAATTTCTTCCACACTTGCATAATAAGAATGAGTAACGCTCACAAATTATTGTTCACCTCTTCCCAGAACTCAGCCTTCTCTTTAACAACACTACTACATATATCCAATTCATTTCGAAGACTACAATGTGCTCTTTTTCCGAGAAAATTGGCAAAATTGACCAAGGTAACCTATTTTGATCGTAAAATTTTGCTCTGATATAAAAACACAATTTTCAATGAATGTTGTGGTGTATGCAGATATTTAGGGGTGGCTCTTAAAAAGTAGTTTTAAAAATGAAGTTTATGAAGTGTGCCAACCATCACAGAAAACTTATGGCCATTGTATGTTGTGAATGGGTGTTGCACAGCACATTATGAATGGTGTCTGATCAGAAATGTGTGCAGGCAATGGGGGACACCAGGTCCAAGATTTGTTATTATTATTATTATTATTATTATTCATTTATTGGTATATAATGACCGATCAGCAGCACAAGGCTGAAAAGATCAACTTACAAATGTATAGTGATGTAAATTATATACATGTACAATAGTATTACGAAACATAGTAAATAAATCTGTAACATAATGACAATACAGCAGAATTATATTGCGTTCGTTTATGTACACTGTCGCTCATAAATTATAGTTGGAATATTTTTGTTTTACCCCAATTCCCCAATTCATGGAATTATTTTAAAAATAATTTAAAAATAATAGATCTAGAACTCTAGATAATAGTATACATTTTCAGATTTTGTTGAATAATAATTGTGTGCCCATGCCTTGAGCCATAATGCATGGCCGTCCAGAGGATTTTTTTATGTTGGGGACCGGGGTAAAATGCAATAAATTATTGACAATTTATTGCATTTTCTGTTTTTTTTTAATTTATGGAAACTGCCCCCTACCCTAGCCCCCGCTGCGTAAGTCATGGTTCAGTGACAAAGCAATGGCCTCGTAACTTTGAGGCCCCAGGATCAAAACCGTGTCGATGTGCTATATTAGTGCCCTTTTGTGGGGCATTAATCCTCACTGTCATTTATGACTTAAGGGCGTAGGTCCCCTAGTTGATAAGTATAGTAGCATACACATGATTTAACAGTCACGCAAAACACACATTGGCGAATTGTTATTCAATAAACTTTGAGAATGTATACTATTATCTAGATCTATTATTTTTAAATTATTTTTAAAATAATTCCATGAATTGGGGTAAAACAAAAATATTCCAACTATATGAGCGACAGTGTACATTACATGAAAGGATTTACTAGCAGAAGATAGAGTATGCAGGGGAAAGTGAGAGTGATAAAGCGAATGGAGTAGAGAGAGAGAGAGGGGGGTTCGGAGAAAAGGTGAGGTACAAAGAGAGAAAGGAGAGAGAGAGAGAGAGAGAGAGAGAGAGAGAGAGAGAGAGAGAGAAGGGAATGGAATGATCATAATTAAAATTATTGTTATTATTATTATTATTATTATTATTATTATTATTATTATTAAGAGAGTCAGATTTCGGCGAGACAACAATAATCATCATACAAAAGTACAATATGTTAGAAGAGAGAAAAGGGAAGGTTAAAAGAAAAAAAGAAGGAGAGAAGTTTGAAGAGAGAGAAAGAGGGAGAGAGAGAGAGAGAGAGAGAGAGGGAGATGGGGGTCGTTTGTTGTGAATGTCGAGTATGCCGAGGACAGTCAATGACCTGATGCTGGTTGGTTAATTGTCCATGTACAGAAATATTTTGGGCCACATTGTTTTAAAACCGTTTCAAAATTACAGTAAGTTCATTGGCTGCATATATCTCTTTCAAAAAGTGTTTGAACTAACCATAACAATCCCATTTTTATTCAAATTGTATTTAAAATGTCTTGCAGTTTGTAACTGTCCCTTCTTAGCTGCACATAATGAGTGACCTTTGGTGCTGACGTCTTTAATCATTGCTATCTTATTAATCAGTTACATCATGCCCACAATTTTGTTACCAAATAAAGAGAAGAAGTTACTGAAGAGAATACAAAACTTTCTGTATGTGTAACATTTTTCATGTTTATGTAAATAATGTAAATGTGCTTAAGGGTCTCCAATTCCCTGCACCTACCCTAGACGTAGAAGTAGTCTCCGAAAGAAATAGACTGATCTTTTCTTCGGTCCATACCAGGGGCGGCGATGACGGGGGGGGGGGGACACACGTCCCCCCTAATTTTTTTAGGGGGGGGGGGGAATCCTCCCCCCTCCAAATTTGAAAAAGTGCACACAAAAATGTATAGCAAATACTGACTACAGACTGCAACACACTTTTAGGCTCTAAAGGGCCCAATAGTGCAGCGTTTAGACAAATAAAAATGCAAACATCTTAATAGCTACGCTACCTCGCATAATATCCTTCAAAATGTACAAGTAAATACCGAGAAAAGTGAAGTGTGAAAAAAGTACATTGCTTGTTTTTATACTATAGTTTTGCTAAGGAATGTAATTTTTTAATACAACAAAACTTCAAAAACCTGTGAGGGGGTGGTCACTTTCTTCACCTTCACCCCTGTCATTCACTAGCTCCCTCGCACATGCATACTGATGGGGGGGGGGGCTCGGGGGCTATGCCCCTGGACCCCACCAAGGGCCCTAAGGCGAGCCCCTGGTTGCTCATCTGACCGTAATTAAATGCCTAAAACGCCTGAGCTTCCGGGGGCTCTGCCCCTTGGACCCCACCAAGGGCCCTAAGGCGACCTGTGGATGCTGATCTGACCGGTAATTAAATGCTTAAAACCCCTGAGCTTCTATGATGGGGCTCCGTCCTCGCGGACCCCCGCCGGGACTTAGTCCCCCCCCCCCCCCCACCGGTCATGAAAAGAATCACCGTCCCTGGTCTACTATCCAGGGTTTCCGTCACGTACAGCTAGGGAGGACTAGAACCAAACAAAAATCAGTGATTAAGGCCCCTCTTATATACACCCCCCCCCACGTTTGAGATCCCAGTAAACTGACACCCCAATATATATATATATATATATATTTAGCTTGCACATAATGTTCGAATAATGATACAATGCTATTATCCAGTAACGTAAGCTATATGAAGTAGACGTCTCTGAATGTTGACCAAAATGATTTTGAATTTAAAGTCGAATTAAAAATATAATTAGATGCTTTACGCCTTTAATTTTTTATTAATTTTGGTATGATAAAACTGTCGTTCATGCTCATTGCAAATTTTACTAAAATGTTTATACATATAGGCTATTTTGTCTAATTTTTGGAGGATAAAAGACTGTGTTAGAACTTTAAATTTTGATCAGGAGCGCGCGCTTTGGTAGCGAGTGGGATGCTAATAATGACGTCTATGACTATATTCGACTAAAATAGATGAATACTCATTTCAAAACGTATGAAACACGCCAAAGTACGTACATGTACATCTTAGTGCGCAAATCACTAGACAAAAGAAAATGATAAACATGAAAAAAGGATTTCATTCCTTTTTCATGTTTTCCCTCAAAATTAGCACGATATAAAAATGTTTACATTAGATGTGAGGTTTCTGGTAGGAAACATGTACCCTTATTACGATGAAAGAAAGGTGAAATAGAGGGTAACAGATGACTCCCTGAAGTTATAGGGGTTACAATGTTTTAAAAAAGATATTATTGTAAACTGTTTCTCTCTTGTTGGGACATATGTGAATTTCGTATATTTTATTAACGCATTTCATAATACTTTTATTGAAAAAAAGGTTGACATTTTTTTTAAATGGCGAGAATGGTTGTTTCCAATATATTTACTCCCCTATTTTATTAATCGTTGTGACCTGCACACGTACTTCCGGTTGACCTTGTGGGTCGGTAGCTCATTTAGAAACTGCGAACTTTCATCACATGGGCGAAATACTGATCAGGACGTGGTTTCCAGCATATTGTGAAATGACGATTCTTTTATTCTCTCGTTTCTCCCTGTGAAATCCTTAGGAACAGAACTGATGTGACTTAATCAGCGTAGACTTCCACAAGGTTTGATTGTGGAAATTTTTGGAAAAAAGGAATTTCTACGGATAAAACATTTTTCATGAACATAATTACACGCCGTCGTTTACGGCGTGTTGCGGCCATTGAGATTTCATTCATTCTTTCATTGCACTGTGTATTACCGGCTTCTTCTGAATCGAGTCTACATGCCTGCAGCTGCAGTCAGAATTGTACTCTATCGAACTCAACGTGTCCACATTACTGGAACAATAGATTGGCATTAATATCACAAAATTTAATAATCTAGATCAGCATTACCAGTAACAGCGAAAATAAAAGTTATTTTTAAGCAGTGCCAGTGGAACTGAGTTGAATTGGTGAACAAGAGGAGGAAGAGAGAAAGATGTCTGGACAAGAGGAGACGGCGGCCGACAGGAATGTCGAGATCTGGAAAATCAAGAAACTTATAAAAAGTTTACAGGCAGCAAGAGGGTACGTTGTTTCACAGCTGGACTCGGAGTACCATAAATGTATTGTCAATGTCTTACTCTTACTTAGTCCTGTAAATTCATTTGAATTTCAAACGCTTGTTCAGAAACCTATCCAAAATTTGACCTGTAACTCCGGCGTAGAGATACCCTACTAAAACATACCCAAAATGAAGTAAATAAGATCTAATTCATTAAATGTCCAAATGAAGATCATGAGTTAAAATTTGTCATGTTTGTTAGGTCTACCTGTTTCGTTGTGTCAATTTTCTTGTTATTTTTTAAGTATTTTTTGGGAAGACAATGATATTAGTATACACTTACACTTTTTCACAGGTTTCACGGCAAACCGCTACACAATACAAGTGTATACCGATGGTGGGTTGCGGGCGGGCGCGTGCCTGTGTGAAGTTATCTAACGTAATGTCTCAGATCCTCATTACGGTAGATAACTTCACACAGGCCCGCCCGCAACCCACCATCGGTATGCACTTGTCCACTCCAAAAATAACTTACTTTTAAGAGAAGCAGAAAAATCAGACAAACCAATCAAAAAAAGTTCGAGCAAAATCGGATAACTAATAAGAAAGTTATGAATTTTTGATGACATGAAAAACTTTGAAAATCACTAGACAAATTGGCAACTCATTATGTCATGATTCTGTGACGTTAGGTCCTCACTATCCACTAATTATTTTCTTTATATTGATAATATAAATTTCTTATTTTCTCCCTTCGAATCATATTTTTATCACACCAGCATCCAAGTTAGATTGATACACTGTAGTAATGTGTTTTTGTGTGGATGCACTATTAAATATAGAGTAACTTTTTCCAGTTAAATCATGAAAAATTTTAATTTTGATAAACTATTGATATACAAATCAATAATTATGAATATGCAATATTCAGAAAATAGTATCGATTCTTTAGAGTTCATAAAAGATTTTGTGAAATGTCATGCACGCAATATGATACAAATCAAAAACCTGGGCAAAGGCATGGGGAAATCAAGTTTTGGGGGATAAAAAGGGAAATTAATGGGATTAAACTATAAAGCAATTGATAAATAGTGAGGACATGACATCAAAAACTGATAACCATATTGGCAATTTGTGTTGTGATTCTCATTGTTCCATAGTTTACATACTTTTTCAAAAATTCATAACTTTCTTATTAGTTATCTGATTTTGCTCAAACTTTTTTTGATTGGTTTGTCTGATTTTTCTGCTTCTATTAAATTTTTTTTTAGTGTACTTGTCCTTTAAGTGATGAAATCATGTTTGTTACTTCGTTTTAAAGGCTTCAGTGGTCTTATAATTCATGGAAAATTGTTCAGAATATGACAAAAATTGACAACACATTATAATCAGGTAGGCAGTACACATTTACATGTATATGATTGGCGTGGACAGCAGCCTTTGATTCATCAGGATTTGATGATCATGAATCACTGGCATTACTATTAGATATTGAAAAACAACTACTGGTACATGCATAATTCATGCCAAGAATTTGGCCTCCCAAATCCTTTTTTCTCCCTAAATCCTTCACTAGGCGCTACGTTGAAACTTTTTGCTTAAAAGGTTTGATGTACTTTGACTAAAGGACAAGTCTGCAAGCACAGGGTCTAATTTGACACTTACATGTGACCACAATTCCTAAAGTTTTGAGCAGAGCCTAGATCTGTCAGTTTCGGGCTGTGTCAAATCTCGTCCAGAACGGTTACAGAGCCTACTGTAGTCTCATAGTGCTGTCTCATAGTGCAGACACAATTACGCACAACAACGGACAAGGGTTTGTTTAACAGTTCATGTAAACTACAATTTATTTATGACATTTATTTTGACATTTGTTTAACTTTGATTGATAACTGGGATTTTATCAATCTACATTAGTACATGTACATTGTACATTAAGGCTGTGCCACAGTATGGGAGAAGTATCCCAAGTCCGTCTCCGAAAACTCAAGCAATTTTACTTTGAGTTGCAGTTGAAAGCGCTGATCTAATAATAATAATAATTATAGTACACATGCTGTTTTATAAACCAAAGATGACAGAATACTCCATTTTCCTTTGAGTCCAGACAGAAATCCGGACATTTGGTCCCAGTTTCTGAGTGGTGAGTTGACAGTGATTGAGCTGGGAAACATTTTAACCGCGGTACCATCCCGGCGCTGCCTCCTGGGCACGGGTGAGCGTCGGCCTGGACAGAGCCAGGCGCTGCTGGCAACAACAAAAATGGCGGCCGATTATTCGAGTACTAGAAATCGTACTCGAGAAGTTGTTAACAGTGCGAGTATTCGACTACTCGTTGCAGCCTTATTGTACATTGATACTGATACTTGACAGTCATAATACAAGTCAGGTTCCAGGACATGTCACATTCATGATAGCTTCAAATGGTCAACAGAAAGTAAAAAAAGTCCATATTTTAAAAAATCTATTTGCAGACTTTCTATAATCTTATGGGGAAGATTTTTGTTTGTTTTAGGTACTGTAATGTTTAATTAAATGATTTGGCAACTAATTGTTTACATTTTTTCTTGAACATTTTGTTATGTGTACATGTACATACAGGTGTAAAAGAAAACCCACACATTTGACAAATTGACATCAATAATTATTTATTGATTTATGGCTACAACAAAAAAAGTTAATGCGAGTATATCCGAAATAGCAAAGTATGGTACCCTAACAAATAAACTTCTGTCTTCTTTTCTTTGAGTGATACTTTACCAGAGCTACATGTAATCAAAGAACTCTATGTACAGACAGTACATGTGTAGTAAGGCTGCGACGGGTAGTCGAACTTGAGTACCCGCACGGTTGACAACTACTCGGGTACGATTTCTTGTACCCGAATATTCGGCCGCAAAAAAAAAAAAAAATGTCCAGGCCCACGCTTACTTGGCCAGGGAGAGCGGCGTCCGCTGGCCTGGTACCGTCAGTAAAAATGTTTCCTAACTCCAGCACTGTCAAACTCACCTTTCAGAAACTGGGACCAAATGTCCAGATTTCTGTTTGGACTTGGAGGAAAATGGATTATTCTGCCATCTTTGGTTTTTAAAACAGCATTGTTTACTGTTATTATTCTTATTAAATCGGCGCCTTCAACTGCAACTCAAAGTAAAGTTGCATGCGTTTTCAGCGAGGGACCTGAGAAACTGCCGAGTGGTATGGTAGTGGCAAAAAAAAAAAAAAGGAAAAAAATCCAAAAATCAAACAATTAAAAAAAAAATCCAAAAAATTCAAAAAAATTCAAAAAAATTCAAAAAAATTCAAAAAAATTATAAAAAAACATGGCGTCCGAATATTCGAGTGTGAGCCTGGGAGTGTACTCGGGTACCTCATTACACTGTTGTGCACAGCCCTAATGTGTAGTAAGCCATGTTAACTTAAGGGCATTTCCTGCAGTTACGTACATGTACATGTAATGTACCGGTATTGCATTCATCAGATCATTATGAGTCCTGAGAGGAATATCAATTCTACTATTTGTACGTCCGCGGTTTGAGGTAGTTTTCTATGGAGTGGTCCGCGGTTGCTGGCGTTTTCCTATGCACAAGGGCTTGATTGCTTGTGTGTGAGCATGTGTAATGCTCACACACAAGCAATCAAGCCACAACATGCAAAATGAAAAAGGATCAAAACTACATGTAGGCAAAACAAAGATGAACAAATATTACAGAGACAATCCACAGGATGCAATTGCAGAGCTCATGAACTCATTGAGCTGCTATTCCACTGAGTCCATGCATGTGATTATGATAGCGGGTGTCCTGAGGGATACCATGAGATTTTTTTGATACCACAAAATAGTGGAATGTTTTGAAACTCACGATTTATCACTTTACTTGATGTTTTTCTGGTAAGTGTTCATGTAGCCCTTTTTGTCTCGCCTGCGTAGCAAAAAGCGAGACATAGGCGCCGCTTTTCCGGTGACGGCGGCGGCGACGGCGACGGCGACGGCGTCAACATCAAAAACTTAACCTAAGGTTAAGTTTTTGAATTTTTGATATAATTTTAAAGTATAAGTTCTTAGTCAATGAAACTTTGACTATAGGGTAACCAAGTATCCCCAATCATGTGAGTAGAATTTCAGATCACAAAGTCAAGGTCAAAGGTCATTTCAGGTCAACGGACTTGGACTATGTTGTAGCATCATCATCGAAAACTTAACCTAAGGTTAAGTTTTTGAATTTTTGATATAATTTTGAAAGTATAAGTTCTTAGTCAATGAAACTTGGACTATAGGGTTATCAAGTCTCCCCAATCATGTGAGTAGAATTTCATGTCACTAAGGTTAGGTCAAAGGTCATTTAAGGTCAACAAACTTAGAATTTGTTGTGGCATCAACATCAAGATTTTCAAAATGCTTCTTCTTCGTTATTTTTCAACCGATTTTAATTCTGATTGTTTGATATGATAGGGCTAGGAGGGGGATTTAAAATTTCTACACAGAATCGTTAAATTCATTATCTATGCTAATTTATGCAAATTTATTCAAAACCACAAAAAACGCTTCTTCTCCTTCATTTCTCTACCGATTTTGATTTGGTTTGCTTTATATCATAGAGCTAACTTTGGTTCACTAAACTTCTACACAGAATTTTGAAATTGTTCTCCATTAATTAATTATGGTAATTTATGCAAATTTATTCCAAAAATAACAAAAATTGCTTCTTTTCCCTCATTTCTTGACCGATTTTGATTTGGTTTGCCATATCTGGTAGAGCTAAATTTGGAACACTAAACTTCTACACAGAATTGTGAGATTTTGTTCCATTGATTATTTATGGTACTTTATGCAAATGAAATGAAATTATGTCCCTTCCAGGGCATCAAATTTTTATGTTTTGACCAGTTCAAAAGTGTACCACATAAAATTTACGATATTTGTTGTTGCGAGATGTGGATGAGCGCTACGTCATTGACGTTCTGGTTTATCATATTGAATTGCGTTATGCAGGCGAGACCGCCGAGAGCGTTTCCCTTGTTATGTTTCAAAAACCGATGCCTTCATAAAGTTTTAGATATTCGGATAGCAATTTATCAACATCGCTATTCATTGATGGTCAGATGTTGGAATAGTGATAAAATTAGTATTCCAAATGGATCAAATGTTTTAATATTAGTCACCGGCCTAATCATCATTATTGTTATAATTATTTTTGTTATTATTTTCTAATCTACTAGGAATGGAACCAGTATGATATCTCTCATCATACCACCCAAGGATCAAATCTCAAGAGTAGCTAAAATGTTGGCTGATGAATTTGGGACAGCTTCAAATATCAAAAGTAGAGTAAATAGGTGAGTATACAACAAAAAGGGGAAAAGAGTGGTTCCCTAGCTTCTCTGTACAGCTCTAAAAGTTAAAAGAGTCTTCCCTCCTGACCTTCGTCAAATCAAATGTTTTCTTGTATTAGAGACAAGTATTTTTTCAAGTATACATGTAGTTAGGGGTAAGAGAGGGAAAAACTCACTGAGCCTAGACTGTTGCATGTTTGTCAGTCTCTATCACCATGCTTTCTCTCTCGTACACTCCTGGGGATCCAACATGTCTGCATCTGTTTTCAGGCTATGTGTGTATAAGAATATACAGCATTATGTTTCTTTCTTTTTTCCTGCAGACTTTCTGTGCTCTCAGCAATCACATCAGTACAGCAACGTCTGAAACTATATTCCAAGGTTCCTCCTAATGGGCTTGTCATCTACTGCGGGACGATCGTTACAGATGACGGCAAAGAGAAGAAAGTTAATATTGACTTTGAACCATTCAGGCCTATCAACACATCACTCTACTTATGTGATAACAAATTCCACACAGAGGTAGGTAATATCACAAACAGACATGAGATTTTAAAAAAAAAAGTAAGAAAAAGGACCGTTAGTTGTCTTGCTGTATACTCTGCAAGTCTGGTCACTTTCATCTTCTTCCTTTGGTCATTTGTTTTTTCTTGAAATTTACCGCTTCAGATTTATTGTCTGATGTATTTTCAAGTGGATGTTCAAACATCTTTTTTGTGTGTGAATTTGCTTTAGATCAATTAGTTTACCTGAAGGCAAAAGTCATGGATTAACTATACTTCATAGTTCACAATTGGGTTTGTATTTCATGGATTAACTATACTTCATAGTTCACAATTGGGTTTGTATTTCATGGATTAACTATACTTCATAGTTCACAATTGGGTTTGTATTTCATGGATTAACTATACTTCATAGTTCACAATTGGGTTTGTATTTGCTAAATTGCTTCAGCTCCAGGTGAGGCGTTGCCCCCTGCACAGTGCTCCTCTTTATCTCATACCTGCACAAAGCATTTAAATAGAAAATGAAAGCTGTTTGTACAAATTGGGTGAACTATGGATGGGGGGGGGGGTATCCTTGTGGGCTGGTTTGAAAGGATTCTGTTAACAACAACTTTACCTTTAACTAATTAATCTTAAGGGTACAGATTGCCTTTGGTATTTTTTCTGAAACCCATGCTTGATATTTCCTCTCTGGGGACTCCCCCCACCCCCCTTTTCATCATAAGTTATTTTTCTTCTTGTTCTATCCTTCGATTAGCATCCATGTACCGGTAGGCATTCTTTTTTTCCACACAAAATTCTAAAAACTGGATAGAGGGCTATTTCAGTAAGTTTATTTCTTCAAAAAATAGTTATAATAATAATAATAATAATAATAATAATAATTTTTTAAATTCCACTCCAAATTTTTTATTAAGTTAAACCGAAAATGGAAATTCATTGACCAATTGATCGTGAGCCCGGCAGCCACTGAGCAGCGCCAGATCGACGTTGCTCTATCCCTTATTGATGAACGCCAAACAAGGTAGCAGCAACTCCAGTCTTTTAACGTCTTTTGGTATGACGCGGCCGGGGTTCGAACCCACAACCTCCCGGTTGTGAGGCCGACGCTCTACTGACTGAGCCACCGGTATTTGAGAATGGAATCAATTGCTGTTAATATATTTGTTCTCATGATATTGCATGATTAATGAAACTTGATTTTATTCCTTGTCCAGGCTTTGACAGCATTGCTGGCAGACGACAATAAATTTGGTTTCATTGTGATGGACGGTAACGGTGCTCTCTTTGGTACACTGTCAGGGAACACAAGAGAAGTCCTTCACAAGTTCACAGTAGACTTACCAAAGAAACATGGTGAGTAAACCATGGTGTCAACAAAGAGATTAAAGTATGATGAATGTTAGCCGCCCTTATAGCGATCATAGCTATGACTAATTCTATCTGCAACACTTAACCCTAAACTCAGAAAAATAAGGTTTGGAGATATTTTCTTTTTTCGGGAGGGGAGGGAGGGGGGGGGGGGGTTGTTGTTTAACTTAGTGATGTATTTGAGTATTAGATTTTCTTTTGTTGTCACAAAGGATTCTTGTTTCAAAGCTTTAGGTGTGAAGATTACCATAACTGATAATGATGATGATGATGAAAGTAATCCTGATGGTTATGATGATAATGCTGTTGAATGTCATTTAACTTCTATACCAGTCATATCAACCATACATCGTGCTTGCAACATTAACAAACATTATTTCGACCAAGTTCTATTTAGAACTCATTCACCACACCAAGATTCAGAGTGGACATTGCATACAACATGTTTCTTGGCAGTCTTACCAAAGGACATTTGTACTGTCACTGCTGAGTTGGGGCGCGGATCCATGACTCTCTCCTATATCCAGTCAGGTGTTCAACCCAGCCATCTACAACACCTATTCCTTTTAGATTTTAAAGACACATGATGTTGTACATAGACAATCAGACTTTATTATTTTTTATGCTTAATTTCAAGTTTATCCCTAAATCTCACTTTTCTTTCAAAGGTCGCGGAGGTCAGTCTGCTCTTCGTTTTGCTCGTCTAAGGATGGAGAAGCGACATAACTATGTGAGGAAGGTTGCTGAGACGGCGGTCCAGCTGTACATCAGCAACGACAAGCCTAACATTGGAGGGCTCATCTTAGCAGGGTCTGCTGATTTCAAGACAGAACTCAGCCAATCAGATATGTTTGATCCTGTAAGTGATATCAAATTATGTTGGACCTGTAGAGAACAGTATGAAGACATTTCTAGCCTTGTACAGTAAATGTATTTAACAAGGAGATACCATTTGATCTTCCTCAAGGGAAATGTTTATGAAGTTGTTTTCTTGAAATCAGCTGGGTAAAATATGTGGATTGAAAAAGAAGGAAAAAAAAAAAGAAAAACAAAAATCCACTGTTTAAATGGTAATTTCCTTACCATTCGTCAACTGAAATCAAAGAAACCTGGGTAATTCAGTCCTAACTATAGTTGCACTCAGTCCATAACTATTCGATACTCGTATTGTAGCCAATAATGTTTTCTTTAATTTGATAGCTTGCTTCATAAAGTCTGACCACTATTAGCTGAACAAAATCAATTTTTGTGATTCATGTCAAATTTGCCTTGGCCTAAGTTTGGAATGAAATTAGTGGTCAATGCAAGATTTGAATGAATAGTCCCCATTCCAAATGAATGCACTCACACTTGATGAATACAACTCCTGAACACCATTCAACCAAAACTTAGGCTAAAGATATTGTTCTTGCTTTTTAAAAATGGTCATTCTTCAGACATCAGTGATAACATATTAATGAGCAACCTATGAAACTTTTTAGCACATATCATATCATTATAAGATTTTTAACAAATTTACCTCGTTTTTAAAGGCCCACTGCACTACTTGTAGCTAATTGCGCCCTCTATGGGCAAACAATGCCTGATCGGTGACCATTGGTCCCCCATGATCCTCTCTTTCTTATGTTAACTGAGAGCTGAGTTGATGAGATAACCACCTGTCCAGTGACCTTGCAGGGCAGTCAAATCCCTCCTGCAAACTATGGCAGATAAGCTTTAATATAATGAGGCTTGAATATGGGTTTCCTTTTTATTGTATTACTCTGTTTATATTTTTTTCAATGTGTGCTAAATAATCACACATGTCCATGTACATCACCCTTGCACCTGTGATGTACATGTATAGCATACAAATAATTCATTGTTGTCCTTTACAGAGGTTGCAAGGTAAAGTGCTCAAATTGGTGGATGTATCATATGGTGGAGAGAACGGATTCAACCAAGCTATTGAGCTGTCAGCAGAGGTCTTATCAAATGTCAAATTTATTCAAGAGAAGAAGCTCATTGGTAGGTATTCTTGGTGGAGTGAGACTACTGTCCTAGTTACTGTAACCTATCAAGGCAGAAAGCTGAATCAATTGGCTTTTCTTTTTCAAACTGGAAAACAATTTTTTTTTTTTCATTTGTACATTATTTCAATAGAAAATATCTGTATGAAAATAATGAATAGAAATAATATCCATAAATGAGTTCCTTGGTATTGCTGACTTAATAAGGGGAAAGCCACTTTTTTTATTTGAAGATTTTAATTAGGGTCTTATTTTTATTTCTTGAAAATCATTGCATCAAACAACATTTTGAAGTGAGCATTGGTTGTGCACTTGTGCAGAAATCTATGTGTATGTGGTATAATATATTTCAGGACAACGAATCAAAGGTTTGTTGTGCCAAACCACAAGATGTGGGACTATAACCTTGATTAGTTCCTGTTTAGCTGAGAGCTTTTATCCCACAGATATCATGAAATGTGTAACATGTTGGTTAGTAGTCAGAAGATTTTCTATGAGTATTGGTGAGTATATTAGTGTGTAAACAGGAGATATATAAGTCCATCACATATTTTCAGACTGTTAATTGGTTATCTCCAACTAGTAACCAAAAAAATGTACATTAAATAAATGAATGAAAATTTTAAAAAAATACCTTAGGATTGTACTAAATAGACAGGCAAGATATATAGAACTGCCAACCAATATGAGTTTACTGAATTATGTTCAATACAAAAATAATGTTTAAAAAAACAAAAAAACTTGGAGACACATGTAACAAAATTACCAGTTGACGTAAATTTGAACTATATTATCTAGGCACTGGAATTGATGTCCACTGAGGTAGGCAATGTACGGTATGATACCCACCCCGGTCACACTACCAAACTAATAAAAGAACTCACAAAATTATGGGTATTCAAGTTATGGAAAAAGTAATGTTTTATAGTTTGGTTTATCGGTAGGTCTCATATCCCTTTCAGCAACTACTATCACAGAATGGTAAAATGCTGTGTGTTGGTGAGGGGTGCCTTGGAGAAGCAGATCATTTTCTTACATCTCCGACAACAAAAATCAAATGTTTCTTCTTTCCATCTGCAGGTAAATACTTTGATGAGATCTCCCAAGATACAGGGAAGTATTGCTTCGGAGTCGAGGACACGTTCAAAGCTCTGGAGATGGGTGCTGTAGAGATTCTCATAGTATGGGAGAATCTAGACGTCCAACGATATGCACTAAAGAACCACTCCTCTGATGGTATGTAATGTTGGATGTTGGTCCCTTTACACATCATATGGATGAGAAGAGGAGGGGTTTTCAGACTTATCAGAAGTCTTTTGGGTTCTAAAATGTGTTATGTGAAAAGAGTAGCTTTCCTTGGTGGCAGTACTAAGACAATGAATCATTAATTATCTCAGCAGAAAAATTTATAATTTTCTTAATTCAGTCACACTTACAGGTAAAGACCAGTTTTGGAAACGCCCCCTCTCAAAAAATGTTGCTGGGAAACCGCCTACTAATTTATATATTTGGTAAATTATTATATCTATCCGGACCGGATAGATATCGTGCATGTGTCGCGTAGTCCCATATACATCTTTCTGTGTACAGTGCTTGTAACTTTACCAAGATTGGGCCAAATTTCTTATCATTTTGATGATTCCAGAACTAAGGCTGTGCATAACCGTGTAATGAGGTACTCGAGTACACTCCCAGGCTTACAGGCGAATACTCGGATGCCATGTTTTTGTTTTTATTGGTTTTTTTTGCCACCACCATACTACGCCAGCAGTATCCCAGGTCCGTCCCCAAAAACCCACACAATTTTATTTTGATTTGCAGTTGAAGGCGTCGATTTAATAATTATAATAATAGCAAACAGTGCTGTTTTAAAAACCAAAGATGACAAACTAATCCATTTTCCTCCGAGTCCAAACAGAAATCCGGACATTTGGTCCCAGTTTCTGAGTGGTGAGTTGACAGTGATTGAGCTAGGAAATATTTTTACCCACGGTACCATGCCGGCGCTCTCCGGGCCGCTTGGCACTACTAAGCATCGGCCTGGACAGTGCCAGGTGTACGGGCGGAGAAAAAAATGGCGGCCGAGTATTCGAGTACGAGAAATCGTACTCAAGGAGTTGTCAACAGTGCGAATACTCGAGTATTCGACTACTCGTCGCAGCCTTATCCAGAACCTTGCAGTACACACCAATACTTATATGCTAGATGATCAACCTTTTCTGATCGATTCCACATCGTTTCTTTCACAATGCAATCGCATGACCATAATTGGCCTTTATCTTTAATAGACTATGTTGTGGCATCAACATCAAAAACCTAACCAAAGGTTAAGATTTTGAATTTTTAACATGATTTTGAAAGTGTACATTCCTCTTCCATGAAACTTGAGCAGAGGGGTTATAAAGTATATATAAAAAAAAAATTTGTTGCTTTATATAAAGATAAAGTTGAGTTCTGGTCATGCAATTGCATTGTGAAAGAAACGTTGTGGAATCGATCAGAAAAGGTTGATCATCTAGCATATAAGTATTCTTGTGTATTGCAAAGTTCTGGAATCATCAAAGTGATAAGAAATTTGGCCAAGTCTTGGTAAAGTTACAAGCACTGTACACAGAAGGATGTACATAGGACTACACAAACACGTGACGTAAAAATCTGTCCAGATGTTTACAATGTTACATGCCATATTTAGAATATGAAGGCATTTGAAGAGTCATGCTTTTCAGGGAACATGTTTTATCTAATGTTCTTCTACCCTTGCATAATAACAATGATAACGATCACAAATTATTTGTCACCTCTTCCCAGAACTCTACCTTCTCTTTGATGAATTGAACTTGCCCTTTAATAAGTGATGATGATGATTTGATATGCTGACTGACTTGTTTTGTCTTTGTTTGTTTGTTTTTCTCCTTATAGAGGAAAAGATACTTCATCTAAATCCAGAGCAGGAGAAAGACAAAACCTACTTCATTGACAAAGATGTGAGTGTTTTATCTTCATATTTTTGTCATATTCTACCTTTATATATTAGGGTTTAGGGCATTGGGAGGCTGTTGGTATGCCCTAGTCTACAGGAACTTTCAAATGTGAAGATTGTGGTTCCAATTCTGCAGGTCTGTGTGGTTAAGGGAGCACTGGAAAATTGGTTTCCCTCGTGGCTTTCAAACTCAAGATTATAAGTTTAATCCAAAATTGGCACTTAAGAGATTTTAAAAAAAGTGTTGATAATTTTTTTTAAAGTGACTCTGTAACATTGTTGAAGGTTGATGAAAAAATTGCTTAATTTTTGTATAAAATGTTACTTACTATATTCCTTCTACTGTACTTATCCTTTGACATGCAAAAAATCCTGAAAAATTCTCAAACCACAAAGATATCCATGGTTTTCTTTGAAGGCGTCAATGTATGACACCCTCTAACAGTGATTAACAGTAAATTCTCCCAACCATTTTTGAATTTTCCAAACCGTTTTACCATGAAAAAAATACATAAAACAGGCTATAAAAAATCTGTCAACACTTAAATGTCTGGAATGGAATGTAGAGCCATTTTATTGCTTTGTGACAATTTACATTCACCTAAAATGTAATTAAATTGTAATAATATAGTTGGGAGAATTAAGGAATCGATCAGATCAGTTTTTTCCCAATTTGTACCATGAATAATGGTCTGTTTTCACTCGAATTTTCAGATTATCTTTAATTGTACATCTAGCATTGAAGTCACTACCTTAGCACCACTATCTCTCATCTGAACAATGCTCCCTTTAATAGTTTCTTTTTCTGGTTGCTACCTTTGCCTGGGTCCTGCTCTGAACTTATTTTTATGCCTCCGCCACCGAAGGTGGTGCCGGAGGCATCATGTTTTCGGGTTGTCCGTCCGTACATCCGTCCGTACGTCCGTCCCGTTTGACCGTTATCGCAATATCTCAAGAACCATTTAAGATTTAAACTTAAGACTCGGGAATAGTATTTATCACCATAGGAAGACGATCTGATTAGATTTTGGAGTACGTAGGTTAAAGGTCACAGGTCACAGAGGTCAACTTATGAAATTCCTTGTATTGAGTTTGTTAGCGCGATATCTCAAGAACCATTTGAGATTTAAACTTCAAACTTGGATAGTATGTATCACCATAGGAAGACGATCTGATTAGATTTTGGAGCACGTATGTCAAAGGTCAAGGGTCACAGAGGTCAACTTATGAAATTCCATACATTGAGATTGTTATCATGATATCTCAAGAACCACTGGAGATTTAAACTTCAAACTTAGTGATAGTGTGTATCACTATAGGAAAACAATCTGATTACATTTTGGAGCACGTAGGTCAAAGGTCAAGGGTCATAGAGGTCAACTTATGAAATTCCATACATTGAGATTGTTATCATGATATCTCAAGAACCACTGGAGAAGTAAAAACTTCAAACTTAAGGATAGTATGTATCACCATAGGAAGACGATCTGATTAGATTTTGGAGCACGTAGGTCAAAGGTCAAGGGTCACAGAGGTCAACTTATGAAATTCCATACATTGAGATTGTTATCATAATATCTCAAGAACCACTGGAGATTTAAACTTCAAACTTAATGATAGTGTGCATCACCATAGGAAGACAATCTGATTAGATTTTGGAGCACGTAGGTCAAAGGTCAAGGGTCACAGAGGTCAACTTATGAAATTCCATACATTGAGATCGTTATCGCGATATCTCAAGAACCACTGGAGAATTTTCACTTCAAACTTAATGATAGTATGTATCACCATATCATAATATCTCAAGAACCACTGGAGATTAGAACTTCAAACTTAATGATAGTGTGTATCACCATAGGAAGACAATCTGATTAGATTTTGGAGCACGTAGGTCAAAGGTCAAGGGTCACAGAGGTCAACTTATGAAATTCCATACATTGAGATTGTTATCATGATATCTCAAGAACCACTGGAGATTTAAACTCCAAACTTGTTTAAATTGCTCTATGGCGGAGGCATCATTTTCGACTGCGCGCAGTCAAAATTCCATCTAGTTTTTTTAATGGATCAATATGATCAATAAATTAATGATTCTAGTGTTTACAGGTTGAAATAAGGTATTTTGGTGAAAATTATATATTTTATTAGACCTACATGTTGAAGATAGATTAGGTGTATCTACTAGGCCTGAGTCGGTACGGTCAGTCACACCGGGTGCCGACCGTCGCCATCGGGTCCCGGTTTCGTTGTTTGGAAACCGACGCTCCCAAAAAAAAATGAAATATGTAAGAAATTGCAGTTTTGCACACCACTAACATTAATCCACATTAAAACTGAAGTATTTAATTTTTATCAATCATATTCTAGCTCATCCTGAATAGATCCGAACTGCTGATATAATATGGGTTGCAAAGCAGTTCGCTGCATGGGGTTGTTGTTGCCTGCACAGCTAGCTAGCTACTGTACTGGCGGGGTCTCTCGCCAGGATGAATAAATCAGGTTTAAAGAAACAATAATGTTCAAATAATAAAACGGCTTTCTAAAAAATACTTCTTTACAACATACCGATCAAATAATTTTTACAAGACAAAATAAATATTTTTCTTTTATTTTGAACACTGCATGTTTCTTTTAAAAGCTGAAAATTACTTGGTAATCACAACAAGTTTTTATACTGATAGCTGTTGCAAGGCAAGCTCTATCAGACTAGTCACAGAAAGAATGCGCTGTGCAATTCATTAGCTGTAATAGTGCCAAAACAAACCCAACAAATATACGTAATCGTAACAAGAAAAAATTCATTTACAACTACGAGATTACAATTGGAAAGACAACTACTCAAAATTACCATAAGCAGATACATAACTTGGAGGAAGAATACAATAGTTGTCCAAGAAAAGCCACAGAAATAGTGATATTTAAGGAGTTACTATAGGTACAATTATTATCGGAATGGGCCTGCTGCGATGTCCGTGCAGAATTACGTGTTTAAATTGAGCACAAGAATAGAAACAATATACCGCCCTCTACGGTAAAAGCAGTATAGCAATGGATTCAAGTATAGTGATTAGATATCTGCAGCAGGCCCCTTTCGATAAAAATGTACCCAGTTACTCCTCGATTATCACAATTTCTGTGTCATTTCTTGGACGACTTTTGAATTCTTTGTCCAAGTTAGGTATCCGATTATGGTAATTTTGAGCAGTAGTTGTCTTTCAAATTGTGCTCTCGTAGTTTTGAATGATTTCTTGTAACGTTCTTGTTACGTTCTTGTTCTTGTCATGTAGTTTTGTTTGGGTTCGTTTTGGCACGCATTACAGCTAACGAGGTGCACTGCGCATTTTTTCTGTGACTAGTCTGAACTTGCCTTGCAACAGCTATCAGTATCGAAACTTGTTGTGATTACCAAGTAATTTTCTGCTTTAAAAAAAAGCATGCAGTGTTTAAAATAAGATATAAATATTTTTTTTGTCCTAAAAAAATTATTCGATCAGTATGTTGTAAAGAAGAATGTTTTAGAAAGCCGTTTTATAATTCTAACATTCATATTTTTTTACCCGATTTATTCAACCTTCATGAATCAAAATTGCGGCTCGAATGTTGTCTTTCTATTTTTGCCCCAGTTCTTAAAACTTTTAAAGACGAAAATAATGTCAAATGGGAGAATATACCGATCTGAGCCGATCTGAATATATGCGCTTTTTATAGAGGCAAGTGACAAATCCTGCGAGCTGATTTCGGGGTCCCGATCGGTGCGAGTCGGGACCCGGTTTATAAAAGTCCCGACATGACTCAGGCCTAGTATCTACTGTACATAATTATTAGTAGTAGCAGTAGTAGCAGTAGTATTAGCATTATTATGAGTATCATTAGTAGGAGGAGTAGCAGTAGTAAAAGAAGTTGTTTTAGTAGGAGTAGGTCCTGGGACCTCTTGCTTTTATCTTGTATACCAAAATTACAAAGCAATGATTCAGTTCGGTAACTTCAATAATCACAAGTCCATCAGTATGTTCTAGTATATTTATAAAGGCTAACAATACCTTGACTGATATTTCTGATCCCTTACAGACTGGTGTTGAGTTGGAATTAGTGGAATCAATAGCTCTCCTGGAATGGTTGGCAAACAACTACAAATCATATGGTAAGTATTTGGAAATTACTATGATTACCACAGACATTACTTTGCTATAAGTTTTTGTTATTGTTGTTGTTGTCTTACTATCTGTAATATCTGGATCTATATGCACCCAGCCACAACAAAATGTTAGTTATCATTTACCTTTCAAAATTAAAATTGTAACCATTAAAAAGAGAATCCTTTAAGATATGCATGTACATATATTTAAATAAAATTGCTTCATACAAAGTAAGATGCTCTGTTTATGTCAAGTTGAGGATAGTTCATCACTCTGTAGCCAGACCCTACCCTTTCCCTGTTTCTTTGATATTGAAAGAATAATCTGGTCTCCTCAATTACCCAGTCACTAGCGACTAACTAAAATTATATGAACTTGAATGGCCAATGTCACTGGGAAATTGTCTTAAATGATGCATTATATAAAACAGAAGTTGAAAAATGTGGATAGCAAATTTGCCTTTTCTTTTACCACATCTGTCATACCAACAGGGTAAGAAATGTATTACAAGCCTGTACCTTTGTTTCAAGAGGAATTTATTAATGCTCTTTACGTATCGCTTTGTTCCGTAATGCAGGTGCCACACTTGAGATCATCACAGATAGATCGCAAGAAGGATCTCAGTTCTGTAAGGGCTTTGGTGGTATTGGTGGCCTTCTGAGATACCGTGTGGACTTCCAGCAGTTAGATTATGATGAAGACGATGACGACTATGGAGACTACGATGACTACTAGAAAGGGTCATGCCCCAGCTCTGAGGGAATGAAAAATGTCATCCAGGATTCTGAGAGGGGATGCAGAGATAGACTAACAATGAAATTTGATTGATAAAGAAGGATATTCGCCTAGGATTTCATGGTCACTTCAGACGATCTACAGCCCTCCACACCCCCCCCCCCCTACTCAATACACTATTATTGATCCAAAAGTGCTTTTATTTTCAAATAATTGCAATTACTTATAATATGGAAATGTAAACATATATATAATTCCTGGTCAAGGTTCTGAATAATGTTATGAATGAAAATGATCTAAGGTTTAGTGCATTGTAAGCCTTCTGGTTGGAGTAAAAAGCTAGAAATTGTAAATTGAAGCTATTTTAGCTTTTCCTCCTGCAATAAAGCTTCCGATTTCCCTAATCTTCAATTTCATTATTCATATTACTATGCAGAACCTCGATTATTAAAAATTGAATGTTCACATTAAAATAATATTGCAAATTCTTTCCAAAATTGGATCACAGTCAGATCGTTATCACATAGGAGGTTTGTCGACAAATCTATGTTTATGTGCGTCTTATGATATGTTTCAACGCGTTTTAAACTGTTTCAAACCAAGGTTTGTACAATTTCTATCATGCAAGCTAGCATTTTCCTGAACTTCACCAAACAGACAGGGATTCATCAAATGAAAGGGTAAAATGATAGGAATAGGGAGATAAGCATGAGTCTATGTTACAAGCTTCCATGAAGCCCAAGTTGAGAGATAGTTTGATCTTAATGGAGATGTATGTGGTGATTGCTCTCAAGTGATTGTTCTTCCTGCTTGCTTGTTTTGTTCAGCCCTTCATGGAAAGCAAAGAAGGGCTCTATATGTTGTTAACCATGGAATCCTAAGTGAAATGTAATTCATGTAGTCTATTTGATTAACCTCCATGAGGTTCTGTATTTTCTTCTTTTTTATTTCTAAGTTTACAAGATGTTCTCTGTCAGCTTGTATGATTTTCCCTCAATACGTACTGCACATGTTGTCCTGGCAAGAAAACAATTTTGATTCAATTTTTGGTTCAGTTGAAATGCTGAGTCCCTACCCCTACTACAAAGTTGAACATTGTTTTTCTCATCAAATTTTACATTTGATTTGGGAAGCACGGACAAAGTGAAAGAGTGTCTCAAGTTCATATTGTCGTAGATGTAAATTGAAGTGATAAAACTTGGGGAAATCAGAAAATCCAGTGCATATCCACATTCTTTAATATTTTTTCATAATGGGTATCAGTTTAACCTGTGTGCCATAATACGTGCCATAACACTTGTTCGGCTGCAACAGAGACACTCACAAGTGTGTTAGATTGGCATAAGGAATACCATAAAAAATTGGGACCTATCAAGCGTAGGGATTTGTAACAATATCTGTTTTTATTTATATTCATTTCTCCTTTGGGAATCGATGATGAAGTTTATATATATCTATCATTTTCCTTGATTCATAGGATTTTGTTTTTCGATTAGAGATATTTAGTATCCAGTTATATGATATCTGCTTGGTACAGGAAAGACCAAACAAGGGCGTAGTTGCTAAGATAGTGTATAGTCTATTCACAGAGCCATCCAGCGGTCGATCTGTTCATTTTTTCTTTTTTTTTCTTTTCGGTATCATTTCAGTATCATTTTGGCGAATGGCAGTGTTCTTATGTGCAAAGAATGATCGTACCACTACAATTGATACGATCAACGAGCTAACACTGAATGATTGTGATATTATTATTACAATTTTTGTTGCCATGATATCTTGTCACATTCAAGATTGGAATAGCTCCATCGGTTGTTCCTATGCTTTTATCACAAATATACTGTGTATTATTATTATTGAGTGATGATATGATTGATTGTGGTAACAAGAAATATATGCATGTTCTACTTCTGTCTTTGAATGTATATGACATTTCCACAGTGTATTGTTGCACAGATATAACAAATCGAGCATAAGATTTATGTGATAAAATACAGAGACCATATGATATCATGAAAGAGTTCTTATCTTCTCATTTTGGAATAAATTATTTTGTTCTCTCATTTTGGAAAGGAAACAAAAATAAAGCGAAATAGGAGGATGCAAATACACCTTATTATAAGACTTGCTTCCCTATGAAGATAGACATTCAAAGTGACGACCCACAAGATGGTTCACCACTTTATGTTGTTTAAGTATGAAGTGCACTTAGTAGGACATGTCCAGGATACATTAAGATCTATGATTTCCATTTGATTTAGACCTTTAACATAGCGATCTAGATCTGCCGAGATTCACTTCTATAAAAGAGTACATTCATGTCAACTATTTGCAGGCCGGCCCTCTTGATAAAGCACAAACCAGGCAAATTGGTTGAAGTGGAAATCTAAAGGGAAATGACATCCGATTGCATTTATAATTGAAAATATGAAGAAAATCATGTCAGAAAATTTGGATAAGAGTTCTTGTTTTACTACACCATATCTGCATCTAGAGAGTGCATGCATGATAGTGCAGAGGAATAACGTGGAGTTGCAATACAAGAGCTGCCACTCATTGAGGAAGATCATCAGCTTTTGTTCCTTGAAAATATTTCCAAGAAGATATATATATCCATTCTTCAAGTTATTATGGTGGCATTGCCAATTTTATAGTCTGAAAATGGTTTTCAATATTCAACAACAAAAAATGAGGCTTTTCATGTTGGGTTGTGCGAACTTGCAACTACTATGCATTTTGGTTTGGTCCTAAGTTGATTGAAAGTTAAATGTAGGGATGTTCAATGTTTACTGTTTAATAAAATGAAACCCAAACTATGAGTGGGGCAAGAAAGCTCAATATTCTTCATGTCTTTTCTCTCTCTCTCTCTCTCTCTCTCTCTCTCTCTCTCTCTCTCTCTCTCTCTCTCTCTCGTATCTAAGCGCATAGAGACAATTTTGTAATATGCTCTATATAAGAATTGAACATTGTTTATTTATTAAGAATTCTAATGGAAGTAGAGTAATTACTGCTCACTGGTTTCAATAAGATTATTATGTTGAAAGGTGAGGGAGAAAAGGAAAAAATAGACTGAGGCTATGTCTGTATCAGTATGTAATCTTAAACCTACTTATTTTCATGAGGACCGAAACAACAGTGGCAGAATATGTTTTTTGATATTCTATTCCTTTTTTGTTGTTATTGTAGTGAAAAAGGAAGAAAATTGTTTTTAGTAAACAGAGACAAAAATATGACATACAAGAAACATCTTTGCTAACACACCCCTTTCCCAGCTCTGATTTGATTGTACTACCTCTATGTAAAATAATTTATTCTGATGCATGTCAAACATTATAATGTATCCAAAATACAAGCTGACATATCCCCCATTTTCAAAATTAGTTTGTTCTATCGGCATAGTCTGAAAGACATTTTTGTACACTTTTGTTTTTGTTGCACTTGTTCCATCTTTTTCCTGAGGCTCTAATTCGTAACATCCATCTACGGGGTGTCTTTAAAAAATGCAACAAGATTTTGATTGGCAAAATTGTAAAAAGTACTCCACCATCCTCAATGAAATTTCATAAGCAATGCTGTAGCAGTGTCTCCTGACCTCGATATGAATTTCACAAGGATTTATGCCACAATTCCAAAGTTATGACTGTTTTTGTACGAGGTACCATTTTCTGAATGTAACAAAGCAAACGTGTTGCATAGCATCAACGGGCAATACACGTATACCTGTTGCTTATGCATCATCATACTAGTGCTCAAGCGTCTTAAGGAATTTATTCCTGCCAGGTGCCATTTCCCTCACCTAGGTGGAGTGTGACAATTGTAGATTAAGGTCTTGCTAAAGGAGATTTCACAACAAACCTTTCCATTGAAGTCATTGTAACTAACAATTTCTAACTGCAACATCTTAGATTGATATTTAATTTGTACAATGTCAATATGTAGTTGCAATGTGTCTCAAGTACAAGAGACAAAGAAAAGTATTTCAAGAATGGTTTTTTGCAAATAATTTGCTTATTATCTTCAACTTATATATATTATGATCACTATGATGCGAGCAATTTACTGTAGGAAACAGACGATTATTGTTTTTAAAGAAAATATCAACTGTATTACTTATTATTTCAAGTATTGATTTTAGGATATGCATTGTTAATGAGATCTATGAAAATTGCTTAATGTGCTTTAGGTTTCACCTCAATATCACAATTTGATTTGATATACCGGTAGCCACTATTACTCTTTTAGAAAGATAATACAGAAATTAATTTTACTTCATGCATTACATTAATCTTAATTCTTAAAACATATTTTGTGACAAGAATGAAGTTTAATTGAGAGCTTGCCAGGAAAAGCACGGATGCACTGGTACTATTCAACATGCTATCGTCATAACTACGTTAATTTAGCTCAGATCCTTCTGAAAATCATGCAAATATTAAGAGAGATATCCATAACAGTATCTACAATGTTTCATTGAGAATAAACAGGTACTTTCTAAGATGTTGCCAATCAAAATGTCATTGCATTCTGTTTAGACACCCCTTATATCTCTGTGTAGTGAACCTGCCAAGCTCATGATGATATGAAGGCTTACATGTACATTGTAAATCTGCATGTCTGTGTGCAGGTCTGCCTATCTTATGAAAATAAATCATCAAATTCTTATTACATCTCCTTTTTAGCTCCTCTTAGAATTTGTTTCTATATTATATGTTTGTGAAAGAGGGTGAAACTACATAGAGTGAGTGAGAGAGAGGGGAGCAAATGAAGCAATCAAAACCTGCCCTAAATCATGAACTATAACTATAAAAGGCAAACCGAATCTATACTATTACGAGAATTTTTTTTGTTTTATAATACTAAGCTGTTGTAACTGTGTGTTGTGCGGAGTGAGAGTCGAACATGTAGAGTCCTTTCGTAATATAGTTGACGATTACTTTTGTTGGAACCTCTCAACCTTTAATTTTTGTCATTGTTACGATGATGTGATATGATTTGATGAGATGTGATACACTGTCGCTCATTTTGTTTTACCCGATTTTTTCCTAATAGATCTAGATAATAGTATACATTCCCAGATTTTATTGAATAATAATTTGCCAATGTGTGTTTTGCGTGACTGCTAAAGCATGCATATTCTACTATGCTTATCAACTAGGGGACCTAAGTCATGAATGACAGTGATGAGGATTAATGCCTCACCAAAGGGCACTAATATAGCACATCGACACGGTCTTGATCCTGGGGCCTCACAGTTACGAGGCCATTGCTTCGTCACTGAACCATGACTGTACGCATTGGGGATTGGGTAGGGGGCAGTTTTCCAAAAATTAAAAAAAACAAAGAAAATGCAATAAATTTTCAATAATTCATTGAATTTCCCCCCAATCCCCAACATAAAAAAATCCTCTGTACAGCCATTCATTATGGCTCAAGGCATGGGCAAACGGAGGATTTTTTTTATGTTGGGGACCAGGGTAAAATGCAAAGAATTATTGAAAATTTAATATGATGTGATGTAATGTGGCGATGTGACATGACGTGATATCGATGTGATATGATATGATGTAATGTGGCGATGTGACCTGACGTGATATCGATGTGATGTAATGTAATGTGGCGATGTGACGTGATGTGACGTGATATCGATGTGATGTGATATGATGTAATGTGGCGATGTGACGTGATGTGATGTGATGTGATATTGATGTGATATGATATGATGTAATGTGGCGATGTGACGTGACGTGACGTGATATCGATGTGATGTGATCTGATGTAATGTGGCGATGTGACATGACGTGATATGATGTGATATAATATGATGTAATGTGGCGATGTGATGTGACGTGATATCGATGTGATATGATGTGATTTGATGTAACGTGACGTGATATTGATGTGATATGATGTAATGTGGCGATGTGACGTGACGTGATATCGATGTGATGTGATATGATGTAATGTGGCGATGTGACGTGACGTGATATCGATGTGATATGATGTAATGTGGCGATGTGACGTGATGTGATATTGATGTGATATGATATGATGTAATGTGGCGATGTGACGTGACATGATATCGATGTGATGTGATATGATGTAATGTGGCGATGTGACATGACGTGATATGATGTGATATAATATGATGTAATGTGGCGATGTGATGTGACGTGACGTGATATCGATGTGATATGATGTGATTTGATGTAACGTGACGTGATATTGATGTGATATGATGTAATGTGGCGATGTGACGTGACGTGATATCGATGTGATGTGACGTGACGTGATATCGATGTGATGTGATATGATGTAATGTGGCGATGTGACGTGACGTGATATCGATGTGATATGATGTAATGTGGCGATGTGACGCGACGTGACGCGACGTGATATCGATGTGATGTGGCGATGTGATGCGCCGTGATATCGATGTGATGTGGCGATGCGACGTGACGTGATATGATGTGATTTGATGTGACGTGATGTGATATCGATGTGATATGATGTGATGTAATGTGATATTATGTGACGTGATGTGACGTGACGTGATATGTGGTGCGTCACGATGTGATGTGATAAGATATGAAGCAGTGTGATGTGAGGTGATACGATATGACATGATGTAATTTTGGATGACGTGATTTACCAGTATGCTAAGTGATGTGATTTTACATGATGTGATAAGATGTTATATGGAACAACACAAAAAAGGGCAATATAAAAATAAACAACAAAAACAACAAGTAAAAGGAGAGTTTTGAAGCTACTTCATTGAAAAGACATGATCTTGTTTTAATCACAATATCCCAGTCAGCGAGTTCAAATTATCTTGAATACTTAAAACAAGGGTTCCCTACCAGTCACAAAAGCTCACAAAAAAGTCAAAATATGACAAACAAAAGAGTTTCTTTCAGCATTTTCCTTTTACATACAAGAGTTTTTGTGTGAAATAGCGTATTTACAGTACATTCGTTTTATATAGAAAGTTATTTCTGTACAAAATACATAAAACAGGATATCATAGTTTTCTTGAAACATCTAAAGTATTCAATACTTATACAACATGTGCGGTGTAAATGTTAACACAACATACATAGGGATTACACAACAATTTATGCTTTCACAATTAAATTCGAAATATTTTAACTAGAGAGTAGAGATGTCATTTTTCCTTTGAAAATATTTAATACAAAGAAAATCTTTGGAGGCTTTAATTGCACAAGAAGAAAATATCTCACTTATATTGAGCTCCTCCACAACTTATACATGAAGTAGTATTGCGGAAACGTGACTTGGAATATCTCAATTTTCTATACATAAATTAGCTTCGCATTTTATAAAATCTAGAGAACATTTTCATTTCATTCTCCCTTTACTCTGATCTCACCCCCCTCCCTCCCCCCTCTCTCTCTCTACCCTCTCTCTCTCTCTCTACCCCCCTCTCTCTCTCTCTCTCTGTCTCTCTCTCTCTCTCTCTCTCTCAATATAGATATCTCTTTATTTCTCTGATCAACCTCTTACTTTTTGTTAAGTCAGAATATGTAATATCTTGATTGAAATTATGTGCAATATAATTTACTACGTCTGTCATTGAATTGACACCAATTACAGAATAATATTCATATACAATGATATCTCTTTGAGAAGAAAAAAATAGTTCTGGGTAGCACACTCTTTCAGTTGACAGCCAGACACAGAGTGTGCTATTGGCACAAAAAAGTTAAAAAGTTTGTTTTATTACACCAACATAAAAGAATATTAAGTGCAGATTTGTCCTATCATAACACGAATAAAACCCTTTATTTTGCCCTATAACTGTCAGAATTCTTCATTAGAACCAATGGTAGATACATTTCAATATGGGATTCCCTACATTTCTTCACTCAGAAATTTTTCTAACAATATATATAAAAAAATGTCATGTGTCTGCACACTTATTTAAATTCATGTCATATTGCCTCTACTTTAAAGAGAGATAAAAAAGATGCTTGTGAATACTTATTGGATGTGAACATATTTCAGCCATGTGGTAGCATTGTGTTTACAGCTTTAGAAAAAACTATCACACAGGAAATAGCATTTCTTATATGACACTTCGGATTTACATACCGTATATAAGATGAGCATAACTTGTTTATGATTTCTTGTCAAGGAACAAACTAAATGAAGTCCTTCAATACAGGAACTGATCAGTGTTTCACATTAATGTAGTTAACAAATAACGGTACACAAATTGCACCCTATTGCAACTCTTCTGATCAATTTCTTGGGTTTTTTACGGTTTAATTTCATCTCTTCCAATACATATTTTTATGCTTAATTTCAATTTTTGTTATAGAAATGTTTTTATAGCAATTGTTAAATACTTTCTGAACTCTTACGCTCAAACAACTTTCACTTGTTCTTCTCCATTCTCTCCTTTTCATCGTCTTGGTCTTTCAACATAAAAGTGTATTACTGCATTAAACTTATAACTTTGTTTTGCAATTTTGATTTCATCTTACCAATGCTAAATAGTTTCTGCAATAGTTGACTTAAAATATGTATTTTACTTTTGTATATGTTTATCTCTCTTTATTTTAAATTTGTTTGTAAATTGAACATTTTCAGCCTGCGAGCTGCTTGTTTGATGTGTTTCGCAATAAACCAAACCAATTCAATTAAAGGGATAGTTCAGTTCTGTTTTCAGACCCCAAATGCCTTTAAAGTCCATGGTTATTGCTCTTATTGCTCCACTTTCAAAAAATATGGTGACCGTTAATTAATTAATTAATTAATAATAACAATACATGGACCGGCTGGTTGTGCGCAATATAACCAACAAGAAAAAGCCAGCAAAGAGTCAACATCGGCATTGGCTGAAATACAACGTAAAAGGCGCTATTTCGTTTTTGTTTTTTCAAATAATTGAATATTTGTGGTGGTACACAAATATGGGAAATAGTTATATTTATGGATATTTTAGCCATCTCTGAACCGATTTTGATCAAACAAAGATGAAAATGTCATCTAAATTGGATAATCTTTCAAATTTGACATTCAGTTTTTCATTATCTCACAATTTTTTTTTTTGTGTAGCGCCCTCTGCAACAGAACTCAACTATCTCTTTAAGGTGTTGGCGGTAAAATGGCCCTGGTTTGGTTTAATCACATACATGTTAAAGGTACTCAGCCTCTTGCCTCACCATATGACTGATGACATACATGTAGATAGAGATAAGTTTTGTTTATACATCTTACTAATACTCACGTATTGTCCTTCAATGCATGAACTCTTATCTCTGTAGTCTAGGATCCCATATTGATTGAAGGGATAATACAATAATATACATGTCACAAAATCCTTTTCAAAATTGAAAAATGAAGTAAGTACTTGCCTATATCCTGTCAAAATATATTTTTACAAATCAGGCCTTGGCACATAAACTTGTAATATCAAGTTAGAACAATTTATGTGAGCTTCTGAAATCACCAAATTCCAATGGCTTTGAACAAATTTCTTTCACATTACAACATTTATGAAACAAGTTCATGAAATATCTCTCATATAAGAAACAAGTATTATTATAAGCAAAGAAAGAACAAGGATTTCTCATTACAAAAGTCATAAATATGCACTAAACAGTCTAAGCCTCCACCTAAATATGCCTTAACATATTAATATGCTCTTTCTTCTTTTTTGTAATTGGTCAATTTTGCTATGGTCGATTAAAATAATAAAAATCATTGTGTGTTAAAAAAAAAATTAATTCAAGGTGACATTAACAAGTAGTGTGTTATCACGATTTCAAAAGTTACTTGCAGTCTAAAACAAAACAACTTTCTCAAAAACAACAAGAACTGATCGACATAGCTCAACATGGTCTGCTTACACGACTATCAAAAAAAATCTAGTTTATATCTACCAATAGTCCTTTATGTATCACACAGTACTAGTAATGATGCACAAGATCATTTTTTAACCTATACATAATACTATCATATGTTTACCTGTTTTCTTTGTTGCTATGGAAATCCCCACCATGACTCGATCTTGTCATGTTCAAGCTGTATATTTGCAATGTATGCACAATGTACCAACATAATCTCCATACTACCATTTATTATAACAACACAAATATCTAGGAATTTTTATATCATTTTTGTTTGTCCTCCAGCATATATGACAAACATTTGAATGGGAGATGCTCAATTTAGCTTCACTCACACATGCCATAGTAAACGACCTATGAAAATATCCATCGCTGCAAAATACAATAGTATAAACGTAGTGCTCTCACAAATCTGCATATTTGAAGCCACAGATCACACATTATACAACAACCCATTGGTTGTGCTCATCTTGTTTTCATCCCACTAGCCAATCAGTTTTCTTTTAGGTAGTTTATCATCTCATATGTGAACGATGTGTCATTAGAGTAATTATTGAGTTATGTCTATAAGATGCCCTCATTTTGTGATAAGTTAAATGTGGATGACATATAAAGAGAACAAAATGCAATCTTATTTTTCATGAAAAATAGAGGAGGAAAAATCTGCAAATCTGCTGTCAATCTTTCTGACATACGCCTATGTTCAGTTTCAGTTTCAGTATCAGTTTTATTTTTTAGATTAACTTGAACTGTGCAACATCTTCCTGTGGAGCTCTGTGGTGGGGATTATCTTATGGAGAATAATAACATTTCAGTATAGGAAATGGATGGTATTATTCATGACATATCGCGATGAAAACAAAAAGCCAATAATCAAATGTCATTTTTTAATACGACTATGATCTTGACCTACTAGCCCCTAAATGTACTTGGACCATCTTTGAAGTTCATGCCTCAAGAAGTTCTTGACATATTGTGATAACAAGGGTAATACCTCTAATTTTAGAAACTGTCAAATGTGACCTTCGACCTAATTACCCACAATCTGATCAGATTGTTTTTTTATGTTTTCCTAGTATTATCATCAAGTTCGAAATTCACATTTCAAGTGGTTCTTTAAATATATTGCGATAACGAAAAAGTGGGACGGACGGACGGATAACCCGAAAACATAATGCCTCCAGCACCCCTTTGGACATTTCAAAATCTTCTTGAGAAACTACAACACAGTAATTATTAAGGAAGTGAAACTGAACTTAGCTTGGTATATACCATGACTTTTGTAGAAAACTTTGAGATAGATCTTTGTGATACTCATAACATGTTTATCATATGCAATGATTTGTGTTTTCCATTTGTTTTACTTCTAAAATTCTCACCTATCTATTTCTCATGAACATATATTCTATTCAAAAGTAGAAATTGAGGGACATATAGGAGCATCTTTGGAATACTGTTTGCTGAGAGCGAGAAGGTCATTTTATCTAGTGAATATTCTATGAGTTGACTTCCTTTTTATCAGCGGACAATATGGCTTGGAATTGACCAAAGACAAGATACACAAATGATTTCATCTTGACCTTCTACTAATGGAGAGCATTGATATTAAAATACAAGAATGCAGAGAAATATATAGAATAAAGTCAATATGAAAAACGAATACTACTGCTATAATGTAAAGTCCTTCAGCCTTCCTATGTTCTACCATACAATACTACTACTCAAAATATCTTTGACTTCATATGATGTTGATAACAAGCGACGTACAGCTGATGAGAAGAGATGGTGGTATCCAGCATTACAGGGGGCAGGCTTGTCAGGTTCTTGCTCTCAAGTTTGGAGTGGTTGCCAAAGAAGACCACTGCTTTACTAAATCAATTTCACAAAAACTGTATTTTTTTTATAAATGTGAACCATTTTGGCAAGATGGAGGGAAAGGTAAAAAAAAAATTTAAAAAAACAGGGACAGAGAGAGAGAGAGAGAGAGAGAGAGATAATATGTGAAATAAGAAAGATAAGGTAGTAATCACCAATGGCAACATAGGCATCCTCAGACCCATCTTCGAGCATTTTACTCAGAGTAAAGGAGAGAGAGAGAGAGAGGAGGGGGCGGAGGGATATGGAAAAAGAAAGAGAGGGCGAAAAAGCAATGCACATAGAGTGCAAATGCCATTTGATGTTGCGCCCCTTTTTCCAGCGTTGTCATTCCTTCCAGACAAAAGTATAAATAATATACAGAAGAGAAGGGTAACAACACAATCTACAACCTGCACCCTTCTCCCAAAATATCATTCCTTCCACTCAGAATGAGAGATGAATTAAGAAAGGGAGGGGTCCCAACATTGGGCATTGGGTGCATCCCTGTCCCCCTTCTTCCAAAGTTTTCATTCTTCAAGAGAAAGTCCATAGCATATGGAAGGCAGCATTAGATGAAGGCTACGTGTCTAGTTGTTCATGTTCCTGTGGTAATGAGTCATCTTCTCTTTCCACGCTGGAGTCAGCATTTGAGATGGTCTTGGTCGGTGTGTTGAAAAGCTCTTGAGAGTGCCGCAACTCATGGTGATTACTACATCTACTGGCAGAGGAAAATGGAGGAAAAAAGGGGGGATCCCAATAATATCAAAACCAATAGCAGTAAAACAGAATCAGTTGTGATACCTATATCCATTTTCAAATTATTACAATACAGCACAAAAATACAGTTCTAACATGTGAAGAAGTTATGTCATTCACAATCGACCCTGCCATAAAATGTATATTAATGTCATTAGAAAATAGCAAATATAAGTTTCTTCTCCTACTGTCATTTGAAAGATAATAATCTCTTCTGCTTTATGAAGCTAGATTTAATATTCAGATGTTTAGCTATTTTGAAAATGATCAAATGGAAAGCAAAAATATCTGTTTCTGGGGTAAATTAAAATCATGATAGCTATATGCACACAAACCTTTCTCTGTTGTAGACTCTAAACTCTGCACTCAATGTGTCTAATGTTCCTTGCATCTCTTCATCCTGCACAGCGTTTACAAAAACAATAACAAGTTAGTATTGAGTCAATATAGCACTTTATATTTCAATATGTCAGCAAAATGAAAAAAGTTTCAAGTGATCAGGAAAGGATGACAACTGATGCAGACTGACTGTCAAGGCATGACATTATTTTTTCCCGTATTTGTTACGCGGCAGAATAATTACCCTTTTTACCTGAGCTGAGACTATCAGCACTTTCGCTACAGCGCAAAACAAGACCGTACGAAGGTACATCAACCATGTCGGTTGATCCTAGTTTTTCCTTCATTTATATGCAAAAACTGAAGGTATGTTTAATTCCGTGCTATTATTCTTATGAGTGTATGTTATGCTAGGATTGTACGTGTATCTTTAATGTTTTTGAGGTTTGTAGGACAAATTTGGGCCTCTTTTGAAGTGGGGATAGTGGTAAAAGTCCGTATTGGTTTTGACTGTGCTTACGGTACTTGTGAAAGTGATTGATAATTTGTAAAATAATTCTTGGTTATATACTTCAAGGAAGTGTAAGAGATGCTGAAATGTCTCATCATAGTTTATAAGTTATCTGGAGACGTTCATTATTGTTTTTGGTGTCATATTTCATAAATTCGGGATGACACGTGAGACCTATTTTTCTTACGCTATTTTAGGACTTCAGTGAATTGTAGTACTTATACGTACAGATTATATAGCGGAGGGATATTTTTAGACGCCAGGTTTAGTGATTCGCCTTACGGTTAGTCTTGTTTATGTCGCCCTAGGTAATATCGAGTTATTTGTTTTAATACTTGAAAAGGGGATTTTTGTAATGTGATTTAAAGTATGCTGAACGGATTTTTTATGTAATTCAGAAACGAGACAAAACAACACATTTTATTTTGCTTAAAGTAGACACTTTTTATTAGAGTAAAGAAGTGAAATGAATAGTTATTTGATAAGAGTTCGAATGTGAATCTTTCTTCTAGTTGCTTTACTCTATAGTCTTAAACTTAAATACACCCTTGAAGGTCATGTATTTACTCTAGTTTGCATACAAAGAATGTAATCTAAGGAAAAGTAACAATTTGGGTATTTTGAATCAATAGTCATTCTTTGTTAATTTTTGTTTCTTTACAGGATTCACACGATTGTTGAATGTGCTTTACAGCGCCACAACTATTAAAGGGAAGCTATTCAAGTCACGCCTCCTGTGTGGTTATTATAACAACGTGGAAGTTTAGACACGGTCTTATAACACTGACTATTAGTGAAGAAAATAATCATCAATCTAACAATTATTCAACAGAAAATCCCACTTGACATTGATATTCTATATTTAAATAAAGGAAATATAAGAATGCAATATTTTGGAAAAGTCTAATTAATAAAAGAGACATAAAAGAAGATATAGAGACTTTTAAAAAAAGCGAGAGAAAGAAATAGAAAGAAAGAGGAGATAGGGAAAGAAAGTGAGGGGGAGAAAGGGAGTACGGGTGAGAGAGAGAGACAGAGAGGGGGAATAAAAGATTTGCACTTACTATTTCTTTACTGTCTTTGGCTCTAGAACTCTGCTTAGCTAGTCTCTTTTTCTTCTTGTGGAGAGGCTTTGCTTCAATTATCATCTCTTCAAGTTCAAAGGTTGGGTCACAATTAAGATGATCTTTCTATAAGGGTTCAAAGGTTGGGTCACAATTAAGATGATCTTTCTATAAGGGTTCAAAGGTTGGGTCACAATTAAGATGATCTTTCTATAAGGACATAAAGGTGATTCCAGAGAATTCTCAAAGCAAACTGTTCGTCAACATATTTTTCATTTAAATGCAGAGTGTGTGGTAGATCTCTTACAAAGAGAGAACAGAAGACAAAAATCTTTCATAAGAAATCCCTCAAATTTAAACATCCATGACACTCCTAATCATCAAAACTTTTAAACATCGTTCTTATTTACACACATTTATACATTTATCATAAAGTGAAAGTCAGGCAGCAATCTTGAAGAATTTTAGGAAGCTTAAGGATATGTATTGGCAAAGAAAGATGCACTTAGAATGCAATAGGCATAATAGATAGTGATGTTGGTAAATAAAAGCTTTTAATATTTAGCATAATTAAGATTGTAAAGTTATTCACCATCATTTCATAATATATGGTTCTACCTCTATACCATGTAAGTGTACCAATCACTGAAACCTATTTTGCTCTGTATGTTAGGTGTTCCAGTATACATGTACTTTATATTCAAGATATATGAGCTCTTAATGCTAATTCTCTAAAGAGATATTGCAAGTTAAGTAGCAGAGAAGTGACCTGTGAGTAGGCTAGTCGAAATAGGGCTGGCACGGAACCCAAGACCCAGGTTTTATGTTATTCTTTCTTTTCTTCATACTCCTTAACCAGTAACCTGTACAATGTCAGGTAAGGATTTTTGAGCTAGGATTCACGCATTCTAGCTGTAAATGATTTATTATTTTATGTGATTGATATCCACTTTAAACAATGAATTTCCAGTTATTGGGTCTTCTAATGCTATACATCAGAGATCATATAATAAGTCACTGATTGCATGCCCAGGCTCTTGTAGTCCTTACGACTTGGTTTCCTCAAAAGCATAAGGCAAAGTGACAATCACAAAACAATTCTGTATCCTGCAAGTATTCCATGTCTCTCTGGGGTATGGAGTAACAAAGGTCTTGTCACAGGAGAGAAGTCAGTTGACACATTATCAGGTGTAACATATCTTTATGTATGGAATGGCTAAAGCAAGTTCATGCACATCAACCAACTCAAATAAGAATTAAATACAAACACATTGTAAAAAATTACTGATAAATAATGATTTCACAATTAGTTGGGGAAAGTATAAACTAACCTATGCCAGTATTCCATAAGTGTTAATAAAAGCTTATGATCTGCAATAAAACTGTTGATGACCCCATAAGCAAGCCTTTCTTAACAAGCTGTAGGTTAATTTTTCTATTATAGGAATAATGTCATGTCGTTATTAAGATAAAAACAGACAACAGGATCGAACTTTAAAAGAACAGAAATAACATTTAAATGATATAAACTTAAATATAAACACTTTGTTCTACTTTTGGTGTTAATTTACACAAACATGAGGTGAAAAAAGAGAGACAAAAGAAGGAGAAGAAAAAAAGGGGTCGATAACTGTCATTAGCAAATACACACTCACCATGGAAACCTACAGAAACATTAAAATTGATGGGCAGTACTTACAGGTGGCACAAATGATGGTTTGATTTCCATACTGAACACTACATCCCAGTCTACGTCAGCCATGAATGGATGTTTTGATAGAGACTCTAGATCTGATATCCTCTCACGAGGGTCTACTGATAAAAGCTGAATAAGGAAAGAAAAAAAGAGATAAAGGAGAGGGAAACTAGATGGAATTCGACTGCGCGCAGTCGAAAATGATGCCTCCGTCATAGAGCAATTTTACAAACCGAAACGGAAGAAATTTTTCAAATTCAAGTTCAATTGTAATCCATTAACATGTTCTCAGAATATCGTGATTACAAGCAATTTCTCATATACATATATGACCCTTTGATCTTTGACCTCATGACCCTAAAATCTACTCAGTTCATTGGCTCTGCAAGATTTCCTGAGTTAAATAGTAATCCATCTGTCAGTTCTAATGAGAATGCGTCCACAAGCTATTTTTGCATACATAATGAGCCCATGACCTTTGATCTTATGAACCATTCATTGGCTCTGCAAGATACATAAATGATCTAAGTTTGGCAGGAATCCATCAATCTGTTCTAATGATAATACGATCACAAGCTATTTTTGCATACATAATGAGCCGCATGACCTTGACCTTTACCTCATGACCCCAAAATCTAATCAGTTCATCAGCTCTGCAAGTAACATACATGACCTAAGTTTGGCAGGAATCCATCAATCGGTTCTTGAGATAAGGCGATCACGAGCTGTTTTTGCATACACAATGTGCGCTGTGACCTTTGACCTCGTGACCCCAAAATCTAATCAGTTCATTGGCTTTGCAAGATACATACATGACCAAAGTTTGGCAGGAATCCATCAATCGGTTCTTTAGATAACGCGATCACAAGCTGTTTTTGCATACATAATGAGCCCTGTGACCTTTGACCTTTGACCTCGTGACCCCAAAATCTACTCAGTTCATCAGCTCTGCAAGATACATACATGACCAAAGTTTGGCAGGAATCCATCAATCGGTTGTTCAGATAACGCGATCACAAGCTGTTTTTGCATACATAATGAGCCCTGTGACCTTTGACCTTTGACCTCGTGACCCAAAATGTAATCAGATTGTTTTCCTATAGTGATACACACTATCACTAAGTTTGAAGTTTAAATCTCCAGTGGTTCTTCAGATATCATGATAAAAATCTCAATGTATGGAATTTCATAAGTTGACCTCTGTGACCCTTGACCTTTGACATACATGCTCCAAAATCTAATCAGATCGTCTTCCTATGGTGATACATACTATTCCCGAGTCTTAAGTTTAAATCTTAAATGGTTCTTGAGATATTGTGATAACGGTCAAACGGGACGTACGGACGGACGGACGTACGGACGGACGGACGTACGGACGGACGGACGTACGGACGTACGGACGGACAACCCGAAAACATGATGCCTCCTGCACCACCTTCGGTGGCGGAGGCATAAAAATGTTGAGTGGTGCGAATGGAAGATAAAAATGTCACCTGTCAGCTAACAACCACTGGTAAAACCTCTTTCAGATATGATACGGCAGACAGCAGTGTTTGACTTAAATGATGACTTAAAGGGACTTGGTAACATTGTTCAGATGAGAGATAGTGTTGCTAAGGTAGTGACTTCAATGCTAGATGTACAATTAAAGATAATCTGAAAATTTGAGTGAAAACGGACCATTATTCACGGTACAAATTGGGAAAAACTGATCTGATCGATTCCTTAATTCTCCCAACTATGTTATTACAATTTAATTACATTGTAGGTGAATGGAAATCTCACAAAGCAATAAAATGGCTCTACATTCCATTCCAGACATTTAAGTGTTGAGAGATTTTTTTATAGCCTGTTTTATGTCTTTTTTTCATGGAAAAACGGTTGGGAAAATACAAAAGTGGTTGGGAGAATTAACTGTTAATCACTGTTAGAGGGTGTCCTACATCGACACCTTCAAAGAAAACCATAGATATCTTTGTGGTTTGAGAATTTTTTCAGGATTTTTTGCAAGTCGATCAGTGGGTTAGTACAGTAGAAGGAATATAGTAAGTAACGTTTTATACAAAAATTCACTTTAAAGTGTAATACGCTTCAAAGTTCTGTAGTGAATATGTATAGGGCCTTTCTTGCATGCAGTATAGCCATTCATTAATATGTAAAGAAAACTGTGGTAGCTTACTGCATTATCTGAATAGCCTTAAAGGGATCGTTTAACAATGTTAAATCTGAGATACACGGTCCTACATGTTACCAGTGTCTGTGATATGGTGTAATATTGAAGCCCTAACAAAATTGCACTTCAAAATGATCAAGAAGTGCCTCAAAAAAGTAAAAATCTTTTAGTGACCGGTTTTACCATACCGGTACTCATTTCCCCCAATAGACTGTAGTGTTATGAAAACCGTTCAGTAAACGGTTTTCAAAATTTGTAATTCCAATCATTAATATCTTGATAATCAGACAGGCGATCGGCTGGAAAAGTCATGGAGTTCCTGACTGACCTAAAGGTTTATAATTATCATTGCAGCATGAGCTAAATCACAGATTATTTCTAAAGGATCTAAGACACAGGTACCGGATCCCTTTAAGCTGTCAGAATTAATTGGTTGGTTTTATTGTATTCTCTGAAATTGGGGATAGCAACTTATACTTATGATATATAACGTGCGTATATAACAAATTTTACAAAATGAAAATGTCTTGCATTTCCTGCTGTTATCAAACAAAGTTTCCAATTGATGTGGACAGATCTGAGAGTAGATGTATGACAGGATCTTGAGACATATCTAGCCAGTAATGTAACTGTTTGTGCCTATGGCCATGTAACTCCTCTTCTCTTTTTTTCTCACACTTTTGAGATAATAGAGACGGTCGGTGTGACGTCACATCTCAAGAGTGCAAGCTGTCACTCGTTCTACCTTGCAAGACACAAAGTGCAAGGACCGTTTCACTCATCTTCAAAAAAAAAAAAAAAACAGCCTGGCGAATGTCCAGGGGGAGAGGGGGGAATTCTTCTTGTAAATGTGGGGGGGGGGGGGGGTTAATGGGAAATTTTGAACAGTTAACAAGTTGCTTTGACAAATGAATAGCACATGATCAAACAAACAATAACAAACTTGGGAATAATGATCAGCGATAAAGCGAAAATTCAGGCATGTAACGTGATAAATTCAGGATTGGTTATATGTTCTAACATGTACGTATTATCAAATAGAATTTTGCCAAATATTCAAGAAAAGGCAATATTTTAGTTGATATGAATACAACTTTCCATCGAGATTTGTACCTGTCTAATGAGGTCTGTCAGGGAAGGATACCAGGTTGAGGGGTAATGCACAGTACCAGTATCTGTGGTTCTTACCTGTCTAATGAGGTCTGTCAGGGAAGGATACCAGGTTAAGGGGTAATGCACAGTACCGGTATCTGTGGTTCTTACCTGTCTAATGAGGTCTGTCAGGAAAGGATACCAGGTTGAGGGGTAATGCACAGTACCAGTATCTGTGGTTCTTACCTGTCTAATGAGGTCTGTCAGGGAAGGATACCAGGTTAAGGGGTAATGCACAGTACCGGTATCTGTGGTTCTTACCTGTCTAATGAGGTCTGCCAGGGAAGGATACCAGGTTGAGGGGTAATGCACAGTACCGGTATCTGTGGTTCTTACCTGTCTAATGAGGTCTGTCAGGGAAGGATACCAGGTTGAGGGGTAATGCACAGTGCTGGTATCTGTGGTTCTTACCTGTCTAATGAGGTCTGTCAGGGAAGGATACCAGGTTGAGGGGTAATGCACAGTACCGGTAGTATCTGTGGTTCTTACCTGTCTAATGAGGTCTGTCAGGGAAGGATACCAGGTTGAGGGGTAATGCACAGTGCTGGTATCTGTGGTTCTTACCTGTCTAATGAGGTCTGTCAGGGAAGGATACCAGGTTGAGGGGTAATGCACAGTACCGGTAGTATCTGTGGTTCTTACCTGTCTAATGAGGTCTGTCAGGGAAGGATACCAGGTTGAGGGGTAATGCACAGTGCTGGTATCTGTGGTTCTTACCTGTCTAATGAGGTCTGTCAGGGAAGGATACCAGGTTGAGGGGTAATGCACAGTACCGGTATCTGTGGTTCTTACCTGTCTTATGAGGTCTGCCAGGGAAGGATACCAGGTTGAGGGGTAATGCACAGTACTGGTATCTGTGGTTCTTACCTGTCTAATGAGGTCTGCCAGGGAAGGATACCAGGTTGAGGGGTAATGCACAGTACCAATATCTGTGGTTCTTACCTGTATAATGAGGTCTGTCAGGGAAGGATTCCAAGTTGAGGTGTAATGCACAGTACTGGTATCTGTGGTTCTTACCTGTCTAATGAGGTCTGTCAGGGAAGGATTCCAGGTTGAGGGGTAATGCACAGTATTGGTGGAAAACAGGTGCTGGATGTCAGCGATGGAGGAGTTCGCATGGATGTCATATGGTCTCTGCATGTAGAAAAGAAAAACAATACTCAGTGAAAAATGTACATGTTGATAGCAACAGTTTGTTATAGTCCCACCGTTTTGCATTAAACTTGTATGTTAGAAGTCAAAGTACAGTCAAGCGTTAACACCACTGAAGACAGGCATTAAAATATTAAATGTAAGGAAAAATCCAGAACCCCTTTTCTTTTGCTTATTGCATTTCATTACTTACATACTTCTGGTGTACGGCAAAAATCAAGAGAAAGATACTCCAAACCATATCAAGGACCAAATTGAAACAATGGAATGCCCTTCGCGAAAATGACGGACTCTTCTTTAGAATACCCGAGCAAAACATAGTAATTTCAGTTTGTCGTCAAACGAGCCAACGAACCCTTTCTAGTCCCGTCTGCGAGTATTTTAGACGCGTTTACACACTCGCCAACAAACACAGCCAAAGAAAGTTGATTTTATATGTTCGAATCATAATACGTGATACAAGGAATAGGATATATTATTGGAATTATTTTATTACAGTTTTACCAAGAATTGTATTTTCCTGCGGTACAACGTATAGCAGGAAAATGTTGTATATGCGGATCCGTTTAATGATTACGTAATGGGAGTGGCGAGACGCCACGATTACGCGAAGCGGGATGGTTTGAATAACTTAGGCAGGTGTAAGTTATTGTTTTGAGAAGGAAAGGAATGTTCAGAAAGGCATAATAAGAGAGGGAAATGGGCGTGGTAGCCATTCTAGCTTTGTCAGACACTAGATACACGACACAAATTTCAAGTGGAAATTTTAATACAGAACAATAGTTTGGTGTTTGTTTTTGTAGGAGGTTTAGAGATTCAAATAGATTATTTTTATTGGGACGATTTGCCATTAGGTTTTTCCAGAGCATTTGCCTTATTTAGTTTATCTCTGGTTTTTTCAACCTAGGGAATCGGTCCGGGCGTGGGGAAAAAAGGCAAAGCCCCATGCAGGTTAGGGATCAAAATTAATATTTTATTCTATACAATGTCAGTATATATTGAGGTAATGAACGTTGACGATTGAGATTGAAATTACGCAATGTTAACAATATTTACACTTGATATTTTCAAAATCAAGAATGAGTTTAAAAAATTGGAATTATTTTGATGTTCAAAATGATATAATAACAAAGATTGTTCATGATTGTTCAAAAAGATACAATTCGAATAAAAGCTGGCTTGGTCGGTCTGGCAGGCTTTTCCATAAAGATTGTTATTGATGTAATCTGTGAGTCATTAACTGAGTAATGAAGGATGAGAATATACGAGCTCATGCTTATAATTCACAGTTTCAATATGCAGCTTGCACTAATAAAATACTCATACATCTTTCATAACTTGATTTTGTATCTATAACTTGGCCAGCTTGTATACTTATATATCATATCTGCAACAAGCTCAGACTACAACACAAGATTCCAATGCACTACTACACACGTAATACTGTGTTCCTTATACATCGCATCCAATTCCAGGAAACCCTTAGAAACGCCATTACTGCAGACTTTGTAAATACACGTTGACGGTGCTGGGTTGCCAGCATGCAGACAAACAAAACTCTGAAACTCAATCTGCAATTGTCAACACAAGCAGGAAAATCCTTCTTCCTACTCCATATAACAGTCAGCTAGTAGAGCCAGCAAGCATATTAAAAACAATGCATACAAACTAGTGAATACATAGGACTACATTAACCCTATGCAGCAGGCAGGGAATGCCTTGTATCCCTTTGTACTTTTAGTACCGACATGTTAATACAGTCAAACCTGCTTTAGTGACCACCTGTCTACAAAGGCCACATTTGTTGTTTCCCTTGAAAATGGTTTCTCATTAAATCATGTACTAAAGGAACCTGTCTACAAAGACCACCTGTCTACAAAGGCCACTTTTTGTGTTTCCGTTGGGCGGTCGCTATATACAGGTTTGACTGTAGCATGAAAAAAGCTGACTGAATGTATAACAAAGTAAATTGCACTATGGCTTTTCCGATTCCTATAAAAGATTTTGGGGTTAAGTTTTACCACTTATGATATGAAGAAACTGATTTACACCATTTCCTTTCTCTCAAGTATTGCATAGTGAATTTATATACTTCAATGACATCATTATGGAAACAGGTTGCCATGAGTATACGTAGCTAGCACATACACCAAGGGACCACTGTTCCTCTCAGTGTATAGAGGTGGTTTTATAAACAGGTTCCCTTTGTTCTAAGCTTCTGTCGTACATAATGAGGTGGTCTTCATAAAGACAGGTTAATCCCTTTGTTCTAAGCTACTGTGCTATCTAATGACATGGTCTTTATAAACAGGTTCCCTTTGTTCTAAGCTTCTGTCGTACATAATTAGGTGGTCTTCATAAAGACAGGTTAATCCCTTTATTCTAAGCTACTGTGCTATCTAATGACATGGTCTTTATAAACAGGTTAATCCCTTTGTTCTAAGCTACTGTGCTATCTAATGACATGGTCTTTATAAACATGTTACCTTTGTTCTAATGACATGGTCTTTATAAACATGTTACCTTTGTTCTAAGCATCTCGTAGGCACATACACCGAGGGACCACCAGTCAACAGGGTAAGAGTAACCTTTGCAATCATCTGTTGCTGTCTGGAAGATTTCTGGCGCTACCAACGTAAATCAATGTAAGAAGAAATGTGAAAAGTTATGATTAAATATAAACAAACAGTATTTTGTTCTAAATTTTGTGATCCCCCCAAAAAGCAGAGTTTCTCTGACATAATCTTGAGTCTAAAAGAAATATTTTTGTCATACAAAAAATATAAAAAATAAAAGAAAGAAATGTTAAAAAATATACAGGTCTACATCTACTGCTTTTCTCTCTTAAAAGGTTAATGGAAAATTAATGAAGCGACAAAAGTGATATAAAAATAATCAAAGAATGTGAATAACAATCTTTATTTTTCTATGGGAATAGACAACTATGCTAACATGTTACCTTTGTTCTCTTAAAAGGTTAATGGAAAATTAATGAAGCGACAAAAGTGATATAAAAATAATCAAAGAATGTGAATAACAATCTTTATTTTTCTATGGGAATAGACAACTATGCTAAGAAAATGTGATGATAATCTAAAACCTTGGTCACAAATGCCATCACGAACTGCTACGAATGCCGTTCAAACGATTTTCAAACAATGGAAAATCGGGAAGATAATGGAAAAACAGGGAGATTCGTACGAAATTATCGTTCGTATGAACTTTTGTGACCGAAGCATAAATGATATCATATTAAAAACAGCTCATATTGAAGGAACTAACAATTTACAAAATATTTGCTAATAACAACAACAGGTATTTATATTTTCATTATTTTTTTTTTTAAAGATTGTTATACCTACCCATATAAGGCTTTGTTCCTGACATGGATGTACCATATACATTTGCTTTGACAATGGTTGCTATATTGAAGTCTGTAATGTGAACATGACCTGCATGGTATTAAAAAAAAGCATAAATGTATTGACTACTTGGCATAAATAAGTGGTTTTATCTTTCATTCACACATCAGCTGCCTAAAAACAACACATGGCAAAATAAAGAATATAATATGGTTCAAATTAAGGAAAAGAAGATGAAGGGAGGGGTGAAGTGGCTGCATACTACATTGAATCCTCTACATAGAATTGTCTATTTCTGTATCATAAGATACAGAAGTGTGAAGCACAATATGCATTTTCCATTTATTTTTGCTGTGGCGTGTTTAATACAGAGTGTATTTTTGTCTAAGGCTGTTTACTTTTTGTTATGTATGAACGAGGCATGCACTTGTTGATTTAGTACTGCAGGTGAATTCAATAGAAAATGATCACTCGCACGTACATGTAGTGTTGGGCAATGGTAACAGCAGTCAATACACGCACTGGAGAATCATTACAGTGTTTATTATTAATGTCACCATTAAAGTGACTCCGTAACACTGCCTCAGATTCTGAAACAAAATCCTGGAATTAGCTCATGCTGCAATCATAATCATGAACCTTTATGTCAGTCAGGAATCCCATGACATTTACAAGCTGATCGCCTGTCTGATTATCAAGATATTTATGATTGGAAATCAAAATTTCATTTTTCGTTTTCCTAAAGGTTTTTATAACACTTCAGTCTATTGGTGAAAATAACTATGGTAAAACCGGTCACCCAAAGATTTTTTCTTTTTTGAGGCACTTCATGATCATTTTGAAGCACTATTTTTTAGGGCTTCAATATTACACCATATCAAAGACACTGATAACATGCAGGCCGGCCATGCATCTCAGATTTAACATTGTTAAACGATGCCTTTAAAGGTCATGTACAGTGATATCAAGAGTCACTATAGTGGGACAATAATGTGATCCTTTTAGTTTTTAAGATTTTATGTGGTAGAGGATGGCAAGAGGCTGTTCAGGGATTGCTAATGGACACCTTTGCAGGTGCAGGTAAACTTTAACATATGACCTCAATTAATGTTTGACCTATTAAGCATTCGTTGTACCCCAACAACACCATAATCATAACGTAAAGGTCCCTATGCATCTGTGACCCAAGTTTAGTCACAATACAATTAACAGTTGCGAAATTACTTGTCATAATAGAGTCTTACATATAAACTTTAATATATAACCTCAAATGACTTTTGACCTTAGCATGTAACCCTTGACAGCACCGCAGTGTGAAGGTCCCCAAAGTGCATCTGTGACCCAAGTTATTTGTCATAAGAGAATCTTGCAGGTAAACTTTAACATGTGACTTTTGACCTTTGACATTTTCTTGCCTACCAGCTTCATGCTATCTAAACATTTTTTTGTGTGGTATAAGCAAATGGTCATAAAGAATTATTAAAGGATGCTTTTCCATTTTACATCATTACAATTTTGTTTCAATAAAACATGAACACTTTGAGCCTGATAAACCGTCCATGGCATCAAAAGAATTTAGAAGAAAGACCTGAAATGGACTGAGATACTATCAATACAAATCTATTTTCAGGCATCAATAAATGAGAACAGAGGATTGAGTATGTGACGCATTTGAGATGATGTTTGACAATAAAATCTATTCAAAATAAAAATAATGTTAGCATCTGACACCTGCTTAAGTCCTTCTCACAGATAACTAGATCACAACACCCAAAGGCTGGTGGGATGTCAACAAAGATGATACCTACTCATTAAAGGTTACACACAAGATTTTACAGGACAGTATCCATTTCAAAGATCATACAACACTCATCTGAGGGTTTAAAAGGGAAAGTCCCACCCATTTGCCAGGTGAATTGAAGAAATAGACAAGAATTAAGCAAACGAAACATTTAAGTGACAATTTCGTCAAAATCAGACAAAAAAGAGAAAGTTACAAAATGTTAAAGCTTCACATTATTTCGTGAAACAGTGATATGTGTCACATAGGCTGTATACAATTTAGCGAGTTGATGATGTCATCCCCTCACTATTTCTTTTTTTTAGGGTACACACCTGTATACAAATTTCCTTTATATTACAAATAAGGTGCAGTAATCGTGATGTTGCTATATTCCATGAGGGTTCAAGCCATGTTTTACATTCCCAGAGCAGAAAAGAGACATTGTGGTTAAAATTACATACAAAACGGATAGAACAAAAGAGTGAGGGGTTGGTATCAACTTGCAAATTTGCAGATAGCCTATGTGATACATATCACTGTTTCATGAAATTATTATGCAAAACTTAAAAATCCAGTAACTTCCATATTTTTTATCAAAATTTGATTTTAGTTTTTAACTGTTTTGTTTTTCAATACAACTTACAAATGGGCCACGACTTGTCCTTTAAGTCATACACTTCACACAGAGCTAGAAAGCTGTGAAAAGATGATACGCTCCAGTAACAATCATTTGATGAGCAAATTTATAAGACATGTCCCTGGACCAATCACTATATAACTCCTTGCTAGTAACTCCGTGATGTACCTAACCTTAACACTATATTATGTATTGCTGTTTGGAGGTACAAGGGCATTTATTCAATTACTTTAATACAAAATTAATGCCCTTCAAGCTCTGAACAGAAAATATGATATAAAACCCAAACGCAACTGAAAAGACAAACCTACATTTTGGACAAATACAGCCTGGTGCAAATGCTGGATTACTACAATAAAATGCGCTTTAAATGCATTCTTGAATTGATGATTACCATATGAATTGAATAGGACTCTTTTCATTGTCAGCGAGAGGACATGGACATAGCTAGTGAGAGGATAATGTCTTTATTAAGTACTGGTAGCATTTATAAGTAAATTGAAAACAATATCAACTGTTGGGAATAAAAATGCACAGAATGCCACCTGTGCGCTTCTATTAGCTGTAATAGCAAATGTAGTGGTCATAGGATTAGATTTAAAAGGCAATAGGAAGAGCCTTTGTACACTGTCATAGATAATGATTTAACACTACAGCAAGTCTAAGGGGGTGACTTATTCAGCTTTATTCTTCAATTTGGCAACAATTACATTTTTTTTCATTGCTTTTTTAAAATAAAAAGTAACATATCTGAAAAGATTAAAGAAAAAGAAGGATTTTCAAAGTCTGAACATGTTGCCAATTAAATTCTTTTGAGAATTTCTTGCATGAAACGCATGATGGTAATACAACAAAAATGAAAAATGAACTCAGCATGTTCAGATATTAAGGCTTTTGCTCATGCATCTGGTGTAGTTTTGAACGGATTTGAATCAAAAGTAATTCTTAATCGCCAATATGCCCCTAATGTAGCCTATTAGACGTACTTTCGAGCAACTTCCAGGACTTACTGTGTACGACGGTGCGTAGGCGCGATACACATATTATGCATGCGCAATATGCGTACATATTAACAAAAAGAGAGGGATACCCATAAATTATAGCCACGACCAGATTGAAACAATGGAAGGCTCTTCTCAAAATTACCTTCGAGAAAATGACAAGCTTAACTTTAGAATTTACTGCCCAAACATAACATGTTGACTTTATTATTTCTATAGTTTATTTCTACTTGCTCTTGCATCTTAACAATATTTTCAAACATTTTTTCGAATTTATCTACTCTTGAAATCTCTTGAAAAATTTCTGTGATTATTGTCGGTAAATAAAGTACACACACACACTATCAAGCCGGCATGTATAGCACAGACGCACAAAATAGACCAGAAAAAACTTGGCAACCAAACTATCCCAGAGTGCATTTGAAATGGGGCGCCTGAACGTAAAGTGTAAAATTAGGGCAATTGTCCCTAATAAAGAGAGCTTTTAACAAAAGGATACTTAACTTGACCTATACCTTAATATCCTTGCCTGTATTGTGCTGTATCCCAATTAGTAAACAAGATCTCCTATTACTCATCATGCTAGCAAGCTCTCTAATTAAACTTCCTAAATTACGTTATCTGGGTCAATTCCAGGCAAAAGAAGTATTCACATATCAATTAACAATGCACAGCTAGGAGCCTTGTTTCTACAATGCTGATTATCTATTAGATACAGTTACAGATTATTATTTATTATTCTCGGAGCCGGGGCATCAAAACATTTGCATTAGGCTAGCATCCTTCTCATTTCTGTCCTTTAATAAAAGTGTCAGCGATGTTGCCACGGTAACGAGTGAGTCGTCAGTCAGTGGATGGCTGCTACACCCAGGGGAGAAGGGTGTTTTGCATGTAAATAACACCAGTTTCAGGAGCCTGACAACTCACATGTATTAAAAATACTCTTACATGTTACACAGCTCCGGGCTGAACAGAGATAGGCAGACAACCAGTAGTGCTCACACAACTTCTAATATACATCACCACCAAATTGCTCTCCAAATCTTATTGGAAAGACCATTTTTGCAAACATCCCGTCTTGGGTTCACAACTCCACATCATATGCAGAGCTGTCATTTCATACTCTCTGTAGAAAGGGCATTTAACCACTTTTTATATCTCTTCTTATAGCATGTATTTTTTTCATTGTGCACATACAAAATAAATGTTGCTATAAGGAGATACAACAAACAATAATGAATAAGAGGTTAGCGCCTTTATGAAAAAATAATTGCCTAATTTTTCACATTCCATATTCTCCAAATTTTCATCATAATTAGATTTTAAAGTATATGGTAACATTTAATTTTGACTTCTTTCCCCCCAATATTCAATATCAACACATATTTCTGTAAATGGATACATGTCACAATTAATAAAGCAAACAACTATCAAAACATCAAATTATGGTTCTAAAAGGACATACATTTAAACATCCATGAAATGATTTTGATAGTGTGGCCAAAAACACTCAATAAAATAAAACCTATGGATTCAACCTCTCTGCTCCCTGTAAGGGAGGCAAAAGGAACAGTTGCCAATTCAACGAGGTTGCTGCAATTTAGTGATGAGAAACTTGAATCTACTTGAACGCATTTTTCTCTTCCCGTACTGAACTGAACCCATGATATCTACACCCTTCGATTACCCGCAAGCGGCAAAAATCTGTCACTTCAATGACTTCATACATTCAAACTAGACTTTAACGCTCCAGCACTATGCCTTCATCTATTAACTTGATCCCTTTCTTTCCTTCACGTTTGCTTCACAATATGTTGTGTGCCCAGCAGAAATGTATGGGGTTAATTTTTCAACTTTTCATTTTTAGTGCTAAATTGACAACTAACAAAAAACATGTTACATGAAACACTGAGAAATTATGACATCACATTAATAACAATTTAGATTGTGGACTAAGTGAAATGCATTGTGTATGAAGAAAAAGAAAAGCTAAAACTTGAAATGTATTTTTGTAGAATGTAAATCTGCTGTTAAGGCATGAAAAAGAGTTTTGAATGACCCACTTTAGTAGCAGGAATGTCTGTGCCCAGTATACATTATGCACCCATTTTATCGGCAATGATGAATGAAAAACAAATCAATACATTTATCTTAATAGCCTGGAAGATTTTCATGTCTTAATTTCCAAAAGCCTGCTACTGAAATTGCAAATAAAATAGGTAGCCACAACATAAATATGAGGGAGTTTGTGTATTGCAAAAACATTTCTGACAGAGAAAAGAACTGGATGCAACATTAACAAAGGAATTACATTGCCTACTTGTGCTACTACTTCCTAGCCCCCATCCTCCCTTATACCTAATTATACAGGATCCTCTAAGACATACAAAGTCTACACACACAGTCACATAACGACCATCGCAGAGAGAATATCTATCATGCCGTTCAATATGTCTACTCTATTAAGATTTCATTATGGGGAAATTAAGCCTCAAAGTCTATTGTCAATTAAGGGGCGGCAAAGAACTTTGAAACTGAAATTTTTTTCCTTTAAAAGCAAGATGGAAATTATCTCAATTACTTTTAAATAGAGTTAACATTGTTTTGGCTCTCAACAGATGAAATCATTCCCCCCCCCCCCCCCCCGATCATCTTAAGAATGCCTTGGTCCATGCAATGTGTCTCACTTCAAAGGTGTAAAAATATGCTATTATTGTCACAGATAAATTATTAAACCAAGGACAATTGTTTTATCACATGGTTGAAATTTGAAAGTTTTTGTTTTTAATGCTCTTGATGGGCGAGTGCAAACATTGTTTTTTTTTTAAGACTTAGTGTCAAAATAATTTCTTATCAAAAAAAAAATTAATTTGCCATAGAAAGTTTGTGATATTAACTTACACCATTTTTTTTAAGTACTCTATTTATATAAATTAAAAAAATAAGTTTATACTTGCATCTCTTTTTATTACAATTTTTCTAATGCTAAATTGTGAGATACACCTCAAGAAAATTCATCTAGTTAAAGGAACTCTTGATATTGAACACACAGCTCACATCCCTTAATGCAATAGGCATTTCTGAAATCCAGGAATAAAAATGTAAGAGATAGGCAAAATTCTGCATCAAACAACTTTAGTATTATGTAAATATATTAATGGAAACATTACAAATTAAAAAGTATCACTTACCATCTTCATCTAGTAAAATATTGTCTGGTTTTATGTCTCTGTAAAATACAAGAGAAAAAAAAAGGAAAAAAATTGTTAAAGGAAGGCCAAACAAGACACGATGAAACATACAATTATGCAAACAGGCTCTTAAAAATAAATGTACACTACTACACTCCATTTGATGGATTCACATTTTCTTTGTTAGACAGAAGACAGACCTCAGGTAGTAAGATCTATCAAATTCATTAACACAGATAGGTGCTCTGCAGGGCTGTATTGTATCTCCTTTCCTCTTCTCTCTGTTTACTGGTACATGTGTCAGAGACAATGAGGCGCGTATTATCATCAATATATTGGTAATCACTGGTCACCTTACAAATGGAAAAACAAATGACTATGTCATATCTGTCAAGACTTCCACTGAGTGGTATGATGCACAATATTTCACTTAAATGTATTCATTAAAAAAAAGGAATTAGTGTTAGAGATAATCAGAGCAACATGAACTGTTCTTTGTTTTAGTATTGCCTGTTATTGCTGGTGATATGCATATTTACACATTTATGGAAAAGAATGAATTATAAATTATCAATTAATTATTATTACATATTCTTCATATTCCCTTAGCAGGAGACCCACCATTTATAAATTGACTTGTATCTCTTCAAGCAGCATAAGGCCTTACAAAAAACAATTAACATTTACCCAAATGTTAAAAAAACCATGTAACAAGGAAACAGAGTGTGACACTGCTGTTCTGTTACATAGAGACATTATTACAATAAGCTGTCTACTTTAATATATTATATTATGACAAATATGACGAAACAGCAAAAATAAAATAAAAAATGATTCAGATCACGACTAGAAATTAGACATCATTAATGAAGTCAGCAAGCAATTATCTCGCATATTGACCTCTAATAAAATGACAATTTTGGTCAAATTTTCAGAATAATGGTTGCCTCTTTTCTGCTGACTTGTAACAACAAGTTTCTTGTTCAGACGTTTGATACAGCATTGATGCTGAACAAGCTTTTGAGGTTGCCCAGATGACACTCATGTGGAAAGCATGCATTAAATAAACAATCAGAACAGGATACAATGATACAAAATTCAACAAATAGGTATGCATAGTTGATTTAAATAAAGAAATTGTGGCTGTATAACTTTGCAAATGATTTGGATTTATATTCCATCGATATACACACAATTAATGCAAGATGCTGCTATAATAATGCATTTTCAATTTGCATTTCTAGCAGGCAGGGAAAGAGAGACAAAATGTCAGTCTACGCATATTTGTAGACTTTCATGTTGCCATGACGATATGTCTTCCCTGCTGCCTGATGAGACTTTCAATATCATGGAGCATTTGAGCTTTGACAGTAAGCCTGTCTTTATCCCCATGGAAATTGTAAAGACAGTTATTAATATTTTTGGAATTGCTTCTTCTGTTTTTGAAATGTGCACAACTGTACTAATGATCAAATTGAATCCAAATGCCATACTAAATAATGATGCTAGAAGGAAGCAGTTGAGTATTTTCATACAGTACCAGTGCAACATGAATGTTGATGGAATTACCATTATTATCATATTTTAGTATTATTATTAATACAATATCATTATTATGTACTCTCTAAAAAAAATCGAGTGATCACGGACGTCACTCCTCTGGAGAGTGAAAATGTAGTGAAAATAGAGTGAACTTTCACTCTTTTCTTCTTAGAGAGCACTCTAAAATCAATCAATTTTCACTCCTAAACAAGTGATCACGGACGTCACTCCCAAGAAAGTGAAAAAAAAGTGAATTTTTTAAGAGAGGGGAGTATTCTACAAATTTCTAGCAAAATGATTAGTACCTTTAAGAATGTAAAAGGAGAGGTTTCTTTTGTAACAAATCTAGATTATGTAGTTATTTGGTTCACATGTATTTTAAATTGTGGTTTCAAAATGACTTAATAATTTACATTTATTTTTGAAACATTTCCAAGGTGTAGCATCAAACTTTATTGTAAGTATCTCAAACTTTTGTAATTGCTCATTATTTTGCAGCAGGACTGCCTGCTAAGAACTGATGTTGTAGAGTAGGCAACCAAACCCGATGTTGATATACATGTACAGTTTAATTATTCATATGTACAATTTAATTATTCATACTCCTTGTAAACTTAATGTGTTTTTTTTTGTAACTCAAGAAGATAAGTTGAATACTTTTAGATGCAATCTTTATCATGTCACATTAACAAGAACAATAAATTGAGACAGATCCATTTTTAACATATTGAAAAAATTGCAAAATGTTGTAAGGGTATAAATGATGTAGTTGTTATTATAAACTGTAAACAGGTAATCCATTGAAAAATAAACATGGGCCAAAATCTTTTTCTTTAATTTTAATCTTAAGGCTTTAGCCTTATGAGTGCTTTTTCCCTATATGAATAAATTATAGATTGCTCTACTCATTTGATATTAAAAAATTCCTAAGTTCATATCTACATTAGATAGCTTTATGTAATTTTTTTTTTTTTTTTTTTTTTTTTTTTTTTGGGGGGGGGGGGGGTAAATCTTGTCACATATTATTACAATTCAGGAAGTCATCTCTCGCTCTCTAACTCACTTTTCCTCATTCTCCACCCCACCCCCCCCCCCTCTCTCTCTCCCTACCTATGTGACTCTTCTCCTTCTCTCTATTACACTTCATCCCCTTCCCTTCCTCCGCTTCCCCCCTCTCTCTCTCTCTCTCTCTCTCCCATTATATCAGTCCTTAACTCTTGTCTTTCTTTCTCTCTCTCTCTCTCTCTCTCTCTCTCTCTCTCTCTCTCTCTCTCTCTCTCATTCTCTGGCAATTATTGTCTCTGTGTGTAAAGAACCTCTAGCCTAATCCCTGTAAATCTGCAAAGTTGAATGAAATGAGCAATAAACATGCAAAATAATAATTCTGAAAAAATTACTAATCAAGGCCATACAGGTGTCTGTTCAGAGCCAGAAGCCATTATTTCTGTATTACAACATACAGGTTAAAACCCTTCTGACTCCAGTCCAAACAGGTATATATCAGGAAACATTGGGGATGCATGGAGCTTAGCTTCCTAGCAAGCCAGGCATCCCACAGCTTGGCCATATGTGAACCTTTGCATGGTAGGGCTGTTTTCATTAGCCCAACTACATGTAGCACACTAGTTCTGATCAAGGGGAAATAATGTCATCACAACTACAAGTGAGCTACCTTGAAGTCAAGACCCTAATAGCAGGTTATTTCACTTAAATGTGCTAGGGACATTAGCTCAAGCTATTATTCCCAGCAAAGTAGGTTTTTTGGATAAAATAGCCTTCTATATGGCGAATTAGCAGGACTTTTTTTATGGTGAATATGTAGCTCAAACTAAATTGTACAACATGTATGCTTTGCTCGACTCTGGCTATAGCCTCAGTCCTTAAATAGGCTGCCAATTCTGATAAGGGGATATTATAGCTCAGTTTCAATTAGGCTCCAGCTCACTACTGAAATGCTAGTAGTGGGCTATTTCACCAATGTGCTTGAGAAATTATAAGTTTATTTATTATGCGCTGTTCAGCAAAAATTCAAATTATTCCAAGAAAATTAGGGTTTGCTCTTATGGATGTTGATAAGCTTCCAAGCTCAAGCCACTCCTTGAGCAAGTGCGCTTTGCTTGATATAATGGAACTTCAAACTCAGACTGTTTTGTTGAGAAGCGCTAATCTGTTTTATATCTCAAGTCAAGGCTTATTCAAGATAAGGGAAGCACTTCCTAGCACCCTGCTATATCAAAGGTCACATGTGCTAATTCACTGCACGCATCTTTGGAAAATACACCCTCGGATAAATGTTGATGTGCTCAAAGTGCTGTAAAACGTACATAAGCAGGCACCATAATACAAAAGGCTGAACTTTATGGTGTGATACTTAAATTGCAACCGTGAATCTAACAAGTGAGATAGTAAGATGAATAGAAACTCATACCATTTCACATTCTTTGCAATTATCTTTTTTCCTGCAATATTTATATGAATAGGATATAAGACTCAAGGGGTGAGTGCAAACAAATTCTTTGGGGGGATAAAAATAATATTCCAAGCCATATGCAGCAAGGATGAGTTTCTTTTTCTTTTTTGTATTGCATTGCAATAACAAGGTTCTTTAAAAAAATATTTACCGAACTATAGTAATATAGTGGCATTAGGACAAAATATATTTGTATAAATAGCCAATCTAATTTAGTAGAGATAACATCACATGAGTTGATGATTGATATTGAGTTTTATCAAGGTTTTCTACATACTTAGAGATGTTTTTGGATCTACTCTGGAATGCGATTATTGATCCTCGCCAGAGAAAAGGGGGGGAGAGAAGAGAGAGAGACAAACAGACTGAGATAGCATGTGACAGGCCAACTGAGTACGGTTGACCTAGCTAAAATTCATGTTATCTGTTGAGAGGCTTGAGGGCATCAATTCTGTTTTACAGTACATATGAAGATCAAATCTCATAAAGCATTTTTTGTTTGTCACAATCTTGTATAAAACAAACATATAATATAAAGGCCACCTGTCTGTAAAGCCCAGTTTGGTATCTCTTGAGCAGTGTTTCTCATTTCTGTATTAACCAAAGCAAGCCTGGATATTAAGACTGCTTAGTTTCCTACAAGTGGTCTTCACATACAGGTTTGGCTGTAGTACCCATATAATAAGATTATTCCTAGCCACATGGATGCTCCCTGTAGCTCCACATGCATGGAGGTCGTACCGAGGCTGTTCTAATCCTGAATATGTACATGAGTGTCCCACAGCGCTTTCTGCATGAGTTCTGCTCATAATACCTGCTACATCATAGGCCATCTGGGCTAATCTAGTGTGAACATGTGTCCATTGAGCATGAAGAACAGTGTCCCAGGTCACTTTGTATGCCTACCTCCCTCTTAAACCTGCTGCCCATATACACAATGGCATGATTCAATCGATTGCAGTTATACGCCTCACTCCTTTCCAGAAAGTTAAGCTTACAATACAGATTTATGCAAGCGAAACTTGC